GACTGTGATGGACAATCTCACGGGCAGTTAGTTAGTCTCACGTGCACCCGTGCTTTGCCCGATCGCGGCTGAAATTTCAGGTACACGGTCCGCCCAGATGTACCAACTGCTGCAAGGGTGACCTCATGCGCCGAGTGCTTCGGTCGGCAAGTCCCGCCTGCTCCCTGCGTGAGGAGTGACGGGCTTCTTCTCTCTTGCACTCTTCTTGCTCTGCTGCGAAGGACGGAGAGAGAGTGTTGTACTATGGATTGTTGGAGAGATCGGCTTGTCAACTCGTTTTGATACCCTACCTCTAGCTGGACACTTGGCGATTGGAATCCAGGACGACCGAGGGGATCGCGCGCAAGGTCTCTTCTCCAGTTGCGCGTGTCCTGATTACCAGCTCCGACAGCTACAAACGATCGAGTTTCGTCCACCGCGTTTGTTCGCCCTCCTCCCTTTTTCGCATGCAGGTTTCCGCGACACCTTTTACGGATTGCCGAGTATCGTTGTGCGGTTCGGGAGATTCGGGTTGGATGTGAAGACGGTTGGAGCAGACGGGAGACGAGATGGAACCGCATCGCAGCTGGCCGCATCAGGGCGGTGGGAATAGCAATGAGTCGCAGAGGCCTCCCGGGGCGGGCTTTGGGTGAGTACAGCTCCCAATGCAGTTAGAGATGGGTGGTGAGGACGGCGAGGACGTGGTGTGTCCTTCCTCTGCCCTCCCTCCCTCTCATTCCACATGCGTCGTCGTATATCTTCCTTCAGTTGCGTCGCATTGCATTGAAGCGTCAGAGAATGGACATGGCTGACCAAGGCGCCTTCTGCAGACCCGGCACGCCGCAGCACCCAACACAGCAATCTCCGCCCAGCGGGCCGAGCGGTGCAGGCGCGGCAGGTGGGCTGCCACCGCCCGGCAGCGCCTTCCCTCCCTTCCACCAGCACCAGCACCCGCACTCGCACCCGCACCCGCACCCGCACCAGCACCAGAGCCACGCACACAGCTTGGCGAATCTGGCCGGCATCAGCCAGGCCTCGCCGCGACAGGCTCCCTCGCAGTCCGCACATCGCCCAGACGAAGCTCAGCCTCGCCCGCCACCTGCTGCTCCCGGTGCATTTGGCTTGCCCAGTCTGAGCCAGGCCACCGGTCAGCCACCCCACGCCGCCGCCGCCGAGCGAGAAAGAGAGCGCGAGAGGGATCGCGAGAGGGATCGCGAGAGGGAGAGAGAAGAGCACAGGATACACATCAAGGAAGAGGAGGACCGCAGACATCGCGAGCAAGAACGCCAACGCCTGGAACAAGCCCCGCCACACCAGGCCCAGCAAGGCCCGCCAGTACACCTGCACCAGCCTGTCGCTGTCGGTCCGAGGACTGTTCACGGTCCTAACGGTCTGCTAGGCAATCCGCAACTCGCTGGACCTGGACCTGGACCTGGCCCTGGACCGCAGTCACAACAACATCTACCGCTAGGAGCCCCCACGGGCCCTGGCAACATCTTCGCAGGTGGTCCAGTACAGCCCGCGCAAGGTCCCGGTTCTCAGCAGATGCAGCCGGGCCTACTCGCACCCTACGGACCCGGAGCTCAAGCGCCTCCCGCACAGCAGCAGCAGCCACCACCTCCGGCCCAACAGCAGCAAATGGGAGGCCAGCCGCAACAGCAGGGACAAGGGCAAGGACAGCAGCCCATCCTGAACGACGCGCTCAGCTACCTCGACCAGGTCAAGGTGCAGTTCGCCGACCATCCAGACGTCTACAACCGCTTCCTCGATATCATGAAAGATTTCAAGTCTGGCGCAATAGATACCCCTGGCGTCATCGGCAGAGTCAGCACGCTCTTCGCTGGAAACCCGGAGCTTATTCAAGGCTTCAATACCTTTTTACCCCCTGGCTACAGGATCGAGTGTGGAACTGGAGACGACCCGAATTCGATCCGCGTGACGACGCCCATGGGCACCACCGTCAGCAGCATGCCGCAGCCACGGCCATTGAGCCGACAAGAAGGCGGCGAGAATTATCGCCCCTCGAACGGAACGTACACCCCGCAGCCCGGAGGTGGAGGCGCACAGCAATGGAACAGCCCCAGCGCGCGAACGGTTGGACCTGCTGCGCCTGGTCAGCACTTGTCGTCATTGGAAGCTGCACGCCAACAGCAAGAACAGCAGGCCATTCACCAGCAGGAGCAGCGCGGTGTGATCACCCTTCAAAGCGCTGTCTCTGCCGCGGCAGGCGGCGCTGGTCTCCGAGCGGGAATCTCACCGCGTGCGACGCCAATGCCTGCCGGTGACGGCGGAGCTGGCGCTGAGGGCGTTGCGCCAGAGAAACGTGGCCCGGTCGAATTCAACCACGCTATCAGTTACGTCAATAAGATTAAGGTGAGTGAGTTTGAGAATACGGACGTGACGAGCACAATAGATCTTGGCGCACAAACCGCTTGTTGTTTGCGTTGTTCCTATTGTCCCAGCGGCACGCTCGCCCGTCAGGTCAGCCGAGACGACATCACCAACTGACTTTATTTCCTATTTAGAATCGCTTCGCATCACACCCGGACATCTACAAACAATTCCTCGAAATCCTGCAAACTTATCAGCGCGAATCCAAACCGATACAAGACGTATACTCACAAGTCACACACCTCTTCAAGACAGCGCCGGATCTCCTCGAGGACTTCAAGCAATTCCTTCCCGAATCCGCCGCGCACGCAAAACAAGCCGCAGAACGCGCGCGACAGGAAGCTGAAAACAACGTCATGACTTCCAACGTACGTGGAGAAGGCGGCGGCATGTACGGTAGTCCAGTCATGTCTCGCGAGCCTCACATGGGTACGCCAGGCCATGGAGGCAAATTGCCGCCGGTCGGCAACTTTGCTCCTACGCCCGCCTCCAAGGACAACAAGCGCAAGCGCGAACAGCGTCAAGGCACGGCCGGCGCACCGGACGGTGTCGTGGCACCGAGCAACTCAAAGCCACATCCAGGACAGGCAAACAAGCGCGTGAAGACGGGTGCTGGTCAGGCTCTGAGCCGACCCAACGAACAGCCGCCATCGTCTCCTTCCCTCATTCCTTCACTGCCCACGCCACTTGAGCCAACGACTACATCTGCCGCCACGAGCGAGGAGCTCGCATTCTTTGACAAGGCCAAGAAAGCCATTGGCAATAAGGGTGTCATGAATGAGTTCTTGAAGCTGTGCAACCTCTTCAGCCAAGATCTCATTTCGCGCGAAGTCTTAGTCTTCCGCGCACGAGCCTTCATCGGGAGCAATCCCGACCTCATGAAATGGTTCACCGACTGGCTCGGCTACGATGAGCGCGATGTCGTCGTCGAGAACAAGCCTCGTGTGCCAACGGGCAGAGTCATGCTCAGCAACTGCCGAGGACTCGGCCCGAGTTACCGTCTACTACCCAAGCGTGAGCGTCAGAAGCCATGCAGCGGCCGCGACGAGCTCTGCAATTCCGTGCTGAATGATGACTGGGCGTCCCATCCTACTTGGGCCTCCGAGGACTCCGGCTTCATTGCGCACAAGAAGAATCTGCACGAAGAAGGTCTCCATCGTATCGAAGAGGAGCGCCATGACTACGACTATAACATTGAGGCATGCAGCCGCACCATACAGCTGATTGAGCCCATTGCTCAGACTCTGAGGAGATTGCCAGACAATGAGCAGAAGGAATACCGACTTCCACACGGCCTCGGTGGACAGAGTGAGACCATCTACAAGCGAGTCATCATGAAGCTTTATGGCCGTGAGCGAGGATCAGAGGTCATTCACTCACTGCACGAGCGCCCGTACCAAGTCATTCCGGTAGTTCTCAACCGACTCAAGGAAAGACTGGAGTCGTGGAAGATGGCCCAACGCGAGTGGGAGAAGGTCTGGCGTGAGCAGACGCAGAAGATGTTCTGGAAGTCGCTTGATCACCAGGGTGTCGACAGCAGAAAGAACGACCGTCGACAGTTCCAAACAAAGGCCCTGCAGAGCGAGATCCAGCTCAAGTACGAAGAAGGCCGTCGCCAAGCGCAGCTCAATCCTGCGCTCGTACGCAAGCCACAGTATGAATACGCTGTGGGAAACCCGGACGTCATTGTTGACACGACTTCATTAATTCTGGAATACGTCAACTACACCTTCGGCGCCGAGAACTTCAAGTTCCACGCATTCATTGTAGACTTCGTCTGCCTATTCTTTGGCTTAGACCCAGACAACTTTCGAGAGCGTCTGGACAACGCCGCAAACGCATCCCCTAGCAACGAGAATGCAGACGAAGCATTCTCTGGCGGCGAGGACTCCGCTTCGTCCAAGCCGCGAAAGGGAGGTGCTGTTAAGAACGGCGGCCTACTCCGCGCAGCTCTGGACCGTGGCAGACCTGTCAATCGTGCCAACGACAGCAACGCCGGCAGTCGCGCGTCGACGCCCGGTCATGGATCGAACGCCGAGGATGAAGTCGCCGATCCTATTGCAGAGGCGGAGAACCGACAAGATGTTGGTTCCGCGCGCTGGCTCGAGCACCCTATGGATAACAACAAGCTGGCCGGCAAGAATATCAACCCGCACGAGCCGCAGTCTCGCAACACGTATCGACTGTGGGCCAACACATCAATCTTCTGCTTCTTTCGCCTGTTCCTCATGCTCTATGAGCGACTCTGCGATTTAAAGAGCGCGGAAGCCGAAGTCAAGGAGGCTGTGCTCAACGCCTCACGCGCGAAGCCTGCCATAGAATTGGGCATCGTTGACAAGCTTCCCACTGAATATTTCACCCGGAGCGTGGATGGTGTGAGCTACTACGATCAGATGCTGGACAAATTCCGCGAGGTGTTGAAGCAGGAGACGGAGTACGCAGAAGTCGAAGACACCTTGCGCCGCTTCTACCTGTCCCGAGGCTATCGACTCTACGCGTTCGAAAAGATCATCTCGACCATGGCACGCGATGCGGAAAACATCTTGAAGAACGACGGTAAGGACAAGTCCGCGGACCTCTTTGCTTTGTTCAAGAAGGACCGACAGAAGGAGAGCACGACGGTACAGCAGCAGGCGGATTACCGCAAGGCCGTCGAGAAGATGGTCAAAGATTCAGAGATTTATCGCATCGACTATGTAAGTGGCACCGTCACCCTTTTCCTCGCAGCATAAGAAGCGCGGGAAGAATAACCAGCACAAGCAGGATCAGGAGGCCAGCAGGGTCAAGATCTTCCTCTCGAAACGCGACGATCTCATTTCGGACGACGGACTCACGGTCATGGATCGCGAAAACAAATGGCGCTATTACATTGCATCTTATACCTCTGTCGACCCGACGGACGGTGTGGATACCAATGCTGTCTCGCAACCGCTGCTGTGGCGTAGTATTCGGGCGTTCGGAGCGGATCCTCGTGAGACTTCTTTTACGCTTGAGGGAGAAGAGCGAGCAATCAGCATGAAGAACAACGAGCAATTGGTTCTGAGGATCGCGGTGAATACTTACAAGCCCGTCTTTGAGGCCAAGACGGCGGAGAGTTTCCATGCTTCCTTCCCTAGTCGACAACGGGGTGCAGAAGGATGTGAGGCGGTCGAGAGTGTCAGAAGCCAGAGGGATGATGAGATGCTGGATCGGTTTGTGCACATCAACAAAGCCATGACTGGAGCTAGTGCGGAGAGCGTGGAGAGCGCAAATGCCACGTTCTCAACCTTGGTGGAGAAGGGTGTCGGTGCTGGCTCTGGCGACGGGGAAGCGATGGACGTTGACGAGTGATTTCTCTATTGTCCGATATGGGAGTTAAGATGACACGGGCGGCATATGGAATCTCATCTTGGCAGGCGTTCAGAGCAGTACCACCCCAATTTTCTACAATCTTGGAACGGTGGCTGGCTGCGAATGCGTCCAGGCAGACGTGTACACGATGACAGACAGATGGGACTTTGAGCATTTCACCACAAGAACTTTCGTATGTCATCATGATGGTGTGTCCTTAAATTTCTACTTCTTTCTTGCCACTCCTCTCAACCTCAAATAACCCAGCCATGTACTCCCGTCTTCCTCCCTCGTGATCGCAGCGTCGACCAGCTCACAGATCTCCCTCACGACGCTCTCCTTGGTCCCTTCCGGTGCGAATTCCAGAAACTCAGCACACATGAGACGAACCCACCCCTCTACATCTTCCACTCTCGAGGGGCGATATTCCGTTTCTAACTCGACGACTTCGAATCCCGTCTCCTCGAGCATCCTCCGCATCCAATCCTTGGAAGGGAAAAACCAGGGCGAAGCTTCCCTCGCCGTCTCCAGAGGAACGCCATGGTGTGTCAGAGCGGCGATGGAAGCGGTCAGGATCTCCGAAACATTCCCGTGGCCGCCCTGTTCGAAGACCAGCGTCCCGGAGGGTCGGAGGAGGGAATGGCAGGACTCGAAGAACTTGCGGCGAGTCTGAGGGGGGCGGAGGATCCAGTGCATTGCCGCGTTGGAGAAGATCTTATCCCAGGGTCCTCCTTCGCGGGAGGAGGAGGAGGGGGAGAGATCCTTGCACGTGTCGAGAAGCGTGGCGTCGTGGAGCAGGAAGGGGATGTGGGGATATCTCTCCTTTGCGGTCTGGATGAACGAGATGCTGGAGTCGACGCCGAGGATGCTGCCCCCCTGGGATGCATCCAGTCTGGTGGAGATTTGGGACGTGAGTTCGCCGTCGCCGCAGCCGATGTCGAGGATTCGGTCGCTGGGTTGGGGGTCCAGGTAGGAGGTTACGGTGGTGGTGAGTTTGGGGACGAAGGCTGCGGTGGAATTGTAGGCCTGGGCGGTCCAGTGGTCTTTCTTTGGGGGGTTCGTGGTGGACATGGTGGTTTATGGAGTCTTTGGTCTAGGAGGGAGGCAGGGGGGATTTATCGAATGGAGGGTTTCCAATGGGTTGTTGTAGGGGCTTGCTTTGGATTTGTTGGAGGGATGGTGTTGGAATCGAGATGCTGCGGTGTCGATATGATCTTCCAGCGTCTGCAGCGACGAGTGACAGGGTTTTCGAATTGGAATAGAAATGTTTGGTATATATGTTTATGTTGGAGCTTCCCTATGAGGCATCCGGGGTCCGATGTCGCTGGGAGGAGTACCACCACCACTTCTGACACGCCATGCCAAAAGTCTCTGTATCAAATTCCAATGCACGCCCGTGCGTCTTGCTACATCCACGGCCGTTGCAACCACCGTAACAAGCACAACCACAAGCACGTATTTCCGAGGAGAAATGGCTGCGTCATCGGATGTCCACAAGGATTGTCCTTTCCCGGAAGTCGCAGAATCTCTACGGCCATTCATCAAGACTCGGCAGGAAGTCGACGAGATCCGCCGAGCCCATCATGCATCTCTTGCGCTATCATCGGTGGAGCTTCTCCAACCCGACGTAGGAGACCGTATCGATCCTTCGGGCCTCAACGGAGCTCGCAAGGCCTACTGGAGAGCCCTCCTGGCCCATCGAGCCGCTCAGTCGAGATACGATGCCCTTAAGGCCGAATTGAGCCAGATGGTGCACAATCCGCCCTCTAGCAATGGGACAATCGAAGACGATTCCTCGTTTCTGGCGGAAAACTATGTGCCCCTGATGCAACAGCGGGAAAAACATCGCAAGCTGAAGGTGGTGGAGAGCACCTACTTGAAGATTACTGCATCGGGAGACGCTATCGGAGAATCCTTGGATAAGACCATCAAGCGGAGGATTGGCGAGTTGCCTGCACCTCCTTCTACTACCTCTCTCTCGGATCGCGAGCCAGGATCAAGCACAGAGTACGACTTGACGCAGCTCAAGAGAGCTATCCTGTCCGCTAAGCAGAGACTGGAAGATAATCGCAGGCGGTCCAAAAGCGTCAATGGCATCGGTGGCGGTTCAGACTCGCGTTCTGAGCTGAGGGCTCTTCAGAAGACCCACAACGAGCTCACTACCTGGATGGAAACACAGCTCAGTCTCATCAGCGAGGTCGATAGCTCCTCAAAGGAAGGCAGTGAAGATTCAAAGTCTCTGAAGTCGTTGAGCGAGTCGAGCGGCGCAGTTTCCCATTCCACTGAAGATATCAACAGCCTGTATGAGCAGTACTTGGAGGCCAGACAAAGGCTTCTAGACACCGTGGCCACTGCACCCGGAATCGCTCTGGATTCTGCAAATTCTCGGGACCACCAGAGACGTGCATCGGAAGCTCTGGACGCACAACAACGGGCCTCTGGCTCGGAGATCCTGCTGCCCTACTTGCCAGATCTCATCTCTGCAAAACAGCGCGAACAGTCCCTGCTGCAGCAGAGTGCACATTCTAGACGACAGATCGCTTCCGCAGAAGCCCACACCAAGGCTGTACTCACCCGGCTTGCTGATGAGAGTCACCTGGTCCAACCGGAACTAAGTCGTGGGTCACCACGGGGCAGAGATTGGGCAAAGGCTGCTTCTGAAGCCAGCTCAGCTACCATCACGGCTGCCTCGCAACGCATCAAAGCTGGCCAGGCTTCTGCAGATGCTGCAAGAGACTCCCTCGAGAAGATTAAAAGCATGCCGAGTTCGATGGACAGTACTTTGAAATGAGACGCGCAGCGCAAATGTGAGGCTATGCTTGAAGCGACCGTATGAGGTCTCTTTATTCAATTTCTTCATGGCTCGTCAGTCATCGCTGGCAAACTTTCACTTCCGAATCGCCTGAGACCGCGCTCGCGATTGGCAGATAAAATAAAGACTAATCGCAAAACCAGCTAGTCCGAAGGCCAGACCAAGCCACCATGCGTCTCTGTATCCCCCAAGAACTCCCTGTGTAGGAGTGGTATATCGCGCGATAGTACCTGCAATCCCGAGGCCTGTGGCTATGGAATAGTTGACCATCTAGAGCCAGTCAGCATGCAAAGAATCAGAATCAGAAGGGAGAGCTTACCGTCGCTACAAGCGATGCAGCTATGCCCTGATGATGCTTCGCAACTGCGTTTGACATCAGGATGGTGGCCGATGGGAAACTCCAGTTCATGGCGAATGGAGCTATCAAAATCGAGACGAAGGTGTTGGCCCAGTATGTCTGGCTTGGAGGCGCAGTGAGTAGGAGGGCGATGGAGAGCGTGAAGACAAGCATCGCGGCACTCATGAGCTGCAAGCTTTGTTAGCTTTTCTGAACGACCGTCGCCGAGTGCTCTGCCTTACCCATGGAACCCTGATCTTCGTCAAAAGGGCTGGAACAGCGAGGGCAGCGCAAAAGCCAACAGGCGCCACCGGACACCATTCCGCGGCTGTCAGCAGAGGAGTGTGGTTCCTGATTTCTTGAAGAAACAGGAAGAAGTAGTAACTCCAGATGCCGTGGCTAGCCCATCCTGCAGCAATGCAGGCCAATGTGAAGGCTGCGTCTCGGTGGAGACCTCTCAGTGGTACAATTGGCCTTGCTGCTACGCAGAGCTCCACGTAGACGAAGGCAACCATGAGCAGGACTCCAATTCCGAGCAAGACCGGAATGTACGCCACGTCCCAGCCTTCGCATGGTGCTTCGTTCAACGCGAAGTTGATTAGTAGCAGACCTGTCACTCCCGTGACAGATCCCAGCAAGTCAAATTGGTTGCGGGATTCCGGCAGTGCACCAGGTAGCGGTGTCCTCGCAATGTCTTCCGGTATGGCGAAGTAACTCAGCCCACAAGCAAACGCACAGGCGATTGCCGTGGTCCAGAACGCCCATGGCCACCAGAGGAGCTGCGCAAAGATGGAAGAGAACACGGTGCCTATGACAAAGCCGACTGGACCGCAACCTCCAAAGACAGCAATGGCCATGGCACGCTTCATGCCGATTGGGAATGTTCGTCCGAGTAACGCAATCCCGTTTGGCACCAGTAAGGCTGGTCCAATGCCTTGCAGTCCGCGGCATGTACTCAACATGATCGGTCCGCCGAGGAAGCTGAATCCACAGATTATTGAGCATACGCCAAACCAGACCCACCCGATGATGAACATCCGCCTGTGGCCAAACATGTCGCCGAGGCGGCCAGCGGGAAGGATGAAAGTCCCCAAGGTCATCGAGTATGCAGCAGTATACCTGCCAAACACGACCGTCAGGTTGCCCTCTACTCAGCCAGTGGCATTGTAACTTACCAGCTCATCTTTCCAGGATCGTTCACGCCGAACGAATCCGATATCACCAGAAGCGGTGCAATCGACTGGGCTAGGCCTGCCAGCGAGAAGAGTTGCGCGAGGCAGACTGTAAAGACAAACATTCTTTCTCGCCAGACACTCATTCCTGAGCCTTCTTCCACAGGTACTGGCATTCCCGGGGTCGATGCCCGCTTGTAGTGCGGCAGCACAACTGGAATCTCCGTCTCATCCTGCGTCGCCCATACCGAATCATTCCTCGGTGGCCCTCTCCATGAACGGCGATTGACGTAGGAGAAGTTGAAAACGGTCTCCATTGATGGATTGAGAGCCCAGCTTTTGAAGTCCGCCTCCTTCTCCTCGCATCCGGTCTGCAGGGCTCGCGGTGGTAGTGCAAGAGAATACGATGTACTGGAGACAGGTCTGCTGTCGTCTGTGTCTGAATCGTCGGCTTTGGTCTCCATTTCGTCCACACCGGAGTCTTCTTTCCACATAGATGATATCGTGGTTTGTGGGATAGGTTGATCTGTCGGGCTATGCCTATTCGCAGAAGAAGCTCTGGGGCCTGGTTTTCGGGAAAATCTTCTGCCATCTGTGGAGCCTCGGTGAGTCGATCGGGGTGTTGTCTGGGTTGTTACGTGTGTCGTCGCATAGCTGTTCTCGGGAGCAACAAGTGTCGGCGTGACAGGAAACACCGGTATCGGCAAGCTCCTCGATCGCTCGGGATGTTCGCTCATCGCCACGCTCCTGCGCGTATGTGCTGAAACCCTAGGCAAGGGCATCTTGCCAACGAGGACTCCGAGTCAACAAGCTTGCAGGAGAAAATATCGATCCGAGAAGGTGTCCAGATGTCGGTCAAGGGTTGTCTTTTCTTCAGAGACACATGTTAATGTTGATGAGAACGAGAGTCGAGTCCGCAGATGGACTCCTGGCAACCTTGCTGACCACATGGGTCTCCTAGCGCTGAGGCCCTTTGAATTGCATCCGGTATGGTTGATGGCAACCGCAAAAGAGCGATCTGCGTGCTTTATTGCAATCCACCGGCCACCTAGCACGAGCCGGACGATGGCCGAAGCTTGGAGCGCCATCAACCACTTCCGCTTGTTGCAGATGTGGTGATTTCTGAAGGAACATCGTGCCAAATACCGCCTCGAATTACATTCCTTGGAGCATTCCAAAGATCAACATTTTGCGACACATTCTCAACCAAAATGTCGGACTCCTTATTAGTCGAAGCGGAAACGTTTCGCGCAAACGACACTCCGCGGCGCCCGGAGAGCAGATCGCATTGTACACAGCCGTTGCCGAGATCCAAGCAAACGGGGGGCGAGAGAAAGACGTTGGAAGTCGGAATTAGACCCAAAAGGTACCCGCTACCGCAAATCCTAACCAATCGAAATTCGTTCCGAGAACCGGTAGTATTCTTAGCTAAAAAGCATCATTCTACATCGCTCATGTCACATCAAGCTCTCGCTCGCCCAAATGTTCTTTGAAGCTGGGCGTCTCCTGCTGTTCGTACAACTCCGTATCATAAAGGGCGCAAAAAGGATGACGAAACGTTTTCGTTACATTCCACACGAAGCGCAGCTGAGAATATATATACATGTGAAGATCTTATTGTTCAAGAAGCGAGCGAGCGAGGATGTCTCATGCCTCTTGTCCACGTCACCTCGATCATCATTGGCACTACATACCTTACGATTTGACAAAGAATAAACAATGGTTATTAGATTCTTCCTCTTCCTCTTTCTCCTTATTATTACTATAGACGACGGCAAGTGACCTTTTCGTAGTGCAGGTGTGTGTCTGTCTGTCCTCGGAAAGTAACATCCATATCATATCATATCTTATCATGCATGTTTGTCTTCTTCTTCTTCTTCTTCTTCTTCTTCTTCTTCTTCTTCTTCTTCCATTGCTCGGCCCAACAACAGATCCCTGTCCCCTTTCTGCAGAGTCCAAGAAAATATAAAAAGCTTGTATTCGTGGTCCACCAGAATAGAAACTAGAGACGCAAGCCACACTCGACCACTACGGCTTTGCACGGCTCCTCTGCCGTGCTTCGATAATGATGGCTGCACGACTCGCACCGCCACTAATTCTGCGTCACCTGTGGGAGTCTCTCAATACGAGAACAATGGGATCCTTCCGCGGAGCGTTTATCACATACACCGTTTCGGCTCAATATTCCTCGGAAATCCAAGATAGCATTGAGGAAGACACATGCAAACCACGCGGATGGCGAAAAAAGAGGGAAGAATGAAATTGGAGCAAAGTTCTCAGCAAATGTTCTTTCCCATGCTATGTCATATCTTCTACAAGACGAAATGCGTCTGTCCAAGAACCATAGCTCTGCAGGCCGTGTCCCATCATTCGAACATGCACACATGTCCGATCAGAACTGCGCCTGTTTGGACTCGACTTTAAGCCCTTCTCCTTCCAAGCCATGCTTGAAAGCATCCTTCAGATCACCTGTCATTGGAATTGAATGCTGCTGCACATCCGTCTCTTCGTCCTTGATCTTCTCGACGAACATCTTCTCAACCATCTGTTCGCCCAGCTTGTCGGCTTGTTTAGACTCTGCGTCAGTGGCGCCCTCGCCGGCAACTCTCTCGTCCAAGGCAAGCTTCGATTCGCCCAAGGCGTGGATCTGTTCCTCAATCGTGCCCTTGGTGACGAGGCGAACAACCTCCACGGGACGAGTCTGGCCCACACGGTGGGCTCTGTTCTCTGCTTGAATATCATCTTGAGGGTTGAAGCCGCTGTCGAAGATGATGACCTTGTTTGCAGCCGCAAGATTGATTCCGGCTCCGCCCGCACGAGTGGAGAGCATGAAGACCGTGATAGAATTATCCTCATAGAACTGGTCGATCATGTCCTGCCGGGTATCCATTTTGGTCGAGCCATCTAGACGCATGAATCTGATGTTCATGGTCTCTAGGACTGCTTCCAGGATATCCATGAGAGTGGTGAATTGTGAGAAGACCAGGACACGATCGCCATTCTTCGCGTACTCGCTTACAAGCTGCTGGAATCTCTTCACCTTGCCGGAGTCCATCCACTCATCATGCTTAAGAGCGAAGCGCTTTCGCATTGTCTCGCGCTCGTTGGAGAACTTGTGAAGCCCAAAGTCGCCGCCTTTCAGGCTCTGAGCGGCAGTGCCATCCAAGTAAGCTCGTATCTTGTCCGGAGGATTATCGCCGAACTCGTCCGTTTTCCTCAGCGCTTTTACCATCTTATCAAGAACCTTATCATCGTACAGGCGACGAGCCAACAGGGGATGAATTGCGGCTTTCCGCAGAGCCATGATGACGTTGGAGCTCTGTCTCGCGGTGCCTTTCGTACCGCCGGCAGCCTTTTCGGTGTAAAACTTTTGCGCATCCTCCCAAAGATCGGCATAGTAGTTGGCTTGCGAATCCGTCATGTCGCAATATTCGACGCGAGTGGTCTTGGTAGGAAGGTCCAGAACTTGTGCTTTCTTCCTCCGCAAAATGAATGGGGTCATCATGGTCCTAGCTCGTGCAATTCTGTCGTTGGACAACAAAGCTGCGCTTGCGGTATCCTTCGTACTGGCCTTGTGCTTGAAGATATACTGTAGGTCGTCCTCCTTTTCAGAAAAGATGTTGGGCATGATGAACGCCAGTATTGCGACCAGTTCTTGCAGATTGTTTTGCAAAGGCGTGCCCGTCAAAAGAACTTTGAAATCAGCTTCCAGCCGAACAAGTTGACGGTATCTGAGCGAGTTTGGGTTTCGAAGAGCATGCGCCTCATCGTAGACGCAGACCGAGAAGGGACCCATTTTGCGAAGGAAAGCATTGTCATGTTTGCTGACGGCCATGTCGTACGTTGTGACGATGACATCGATGTTGCCCCAGTTCTTCTCAATGTTGTACTGCAGCTCAGTACGCTCACTCTGGTGGCCGTAGTATGGCTGAACGCTCATGCTTGGAGCAAATCGTTCAAACTCGCGGAGCCAATTCTCGAGCGTAGAGCCGGGTACTATGATGAGATGGACACCATCAACCTCTTTGAGCTGCAGATAGGAAAGGAAACCGATGATTTGACAAGTCTTGCCCAACCCCATGTCGTCTGCCAGAATGCAAGAAAGTTCCTTGGTGAAGAGAAGGTAAAGCCAGTTCAAGCCGACCAGCTGATAATTCTTCATGGCCAGATCCTGATTCATGTTGGATGGTTGGCCAATGAAGCTGCCCTTAGGCTTGTTCTTGCTACTCTTTTGAGATGGCGCATCCTCGGGTGGCACGGAGCTGGAAGGTGTCCCAATACCCGAGTCGTGAGCTTCATCGAGGCTCATCAATTGCAGCTCACCCCCTGTTGACTCGCCGACACCCCAGCCACGGAGTGCTTCTTGAAGAGGTTGTGCAATCTTTTCGCATTGCACGACAAGCTCGTCAATTGCGTCGTAGCCGGTCATGACCTCCCGACAATCTTCAACGAGCTTCTCTCCAAGCGGACTGCTCTTCTTCGATGGCTTGCCTGTTTTGGTGAGGCCTGCTTGGACTACAGCGCAGACGTCGTCTAGACTGGCGAATGGGCGCTTATCCAGAACGAACTGAATCTTGTCCTCTTGCTGTCCGCTCAACTCCGACAAATCGTGAGCTGTGGCCTCGTTAATCAGCTTGAGCAGACGAGTATCGCGCATGCCCTGCAGATCAGCATGGAATGTTTCAGGTTCCGCCTCCTTGGCGGGTTTCGCATATTCCTCGCTAGCATCGCGGCCGACGCCAGAGTCCTCGTCATCGTCAGAGTCGATTGTGATGACTTGCTTTCGTGATCGTGGCTGAGGAACTGCCGGGGGAGATGAAGGTGGACTGGCCGGCCCAGACTTCCGCCCTTGCAGTATTCTCCCGCGCTTGTTGGGCTTGACATCCTCGTCCTCATCTGAATCCGAACCATCTTGTCGCTGGGCTGTCTTTGCAACGCCTCGATTGTATTTTTCAGCAATAGTCTTGGCAGGTGCCTTGACTTGTTGCTTGGCGGTCGACCGAATAGGTTGCGAGGATGGCTGTGAAGTCTGGGATACTGACTGGGCGACGCCTTTGCGCCGGATGGGACTGCCAGAAGCCAGCTCGTCGCTCTCTTCCTCCTTCGAGGCGAGGTACGCCATTGCGTCATGCATATGGTACCTCTTACGCTCGAGGGCATCCATGCAGCTTTGGACATCATGATGATGACCCATGATGGTTCGCATATCAGAAACTTTTCGTCGCACAACGGGCAGGGGAATATCTTCCAGGGACTTGAATACATGCCCACGGAGAGGAGCGAAAATAGCTGGCCCTGGTCCATTTTGTCTCGACGTCGGTTGGGTCGGTCGTGCAGTTCTAGAGGTACCAGCATACGAACTAGCCATGTCGTCGGCAGGTCTTGCCGGCGGGTGCGAAGGCTTGTATCCGAAGTTCGACAGTATGTTCTCAAACGTATTGTTACTCTGTTTCGCCAGACTACGTGGAGTTTCCTGCACCACTCGATTCGGTGACGAGTCCAAGCCCCGCCCAGCCTTCTTAAAATTGGTGGGTTTGATGTTGGAGCCGAGGCCCTGGGTGCCTTCGTCGTCGCTGCGCTCGATGGGCGGATCGTCGTCGCTGTCGATATCTATGGCTTGTGGCCTGGACTGAATGCCCTGGGGTCGGCGAAATGAGGTACCGGGAGGGGCCATTGCGCTTGCCAGTACACCTCCAGCTTTCCCGGGCTTCGCGAAAGGTGCTCGGTTTATAGGCTGCGGCATCGGCCGCTGCGACGAATTGTCTGGTGCCATCGGCGACGATCTCTCAACTTGCACATGTGATTTCGGCGGCACGGGTTGTGTGGGTTGAGTGACATGCTTCAATGTCTGGGTAGGCTGAGTGACATGCGCCGGCTGCGATGAGGAAGCACGTGCGCTTGCAGCGTAGTCGGATTGAAATTGTTCCGCGGTGTATGCCAGCTGTCTCTTTTGCGTTCCCGGGAGCGGCAATGTGGCTTCAGTCTGAAAGTCATCTTCATTGAAATCTCCAGCCTCATCATCTTGCGAGTCCCAAGCCTGTCCACTGCTCGGATCTGAGTTCAGCTTCCGCCGCTTATTCGGGGTCTCGTCGACAATGGGGTCGTGTCGGTCCGCCATATTGTGTGCGTGCGCGTGGTGAATACAAAGTTGCGAAAGGCAGGGTTGTGGTACAGATCGTGGTCGAGGCCGGTGGACGTGCGAGGGCGGAAAATGTCGTATAGAACCAAAGTCGTGCAGTATAAAGAAAGAGCGCCGGCGTTCCGCAATGGTATTTGAACAAAGCGCCGCTCGGAACGAAAAGGTGTCGCCGACAGAGAAGGAGTTGGGTGTGGAATCGGTGGTGGTCGGATGTCGCGAAGACGCGAATGTATGAAGATGAAGTTCAGGTGGTGGTTGGTCGTCGTCCGTGCGTCTTCACGCGAGCCTCAAATGACGCTACCAAACTCTGGTCGCTGGTCCTGGCTTCGGCTATCCCCGCCCGAGACGGTCCTCAATGTTCGCCATTCCATCTATAACTCCCTCTACAACACAAGATAAACAGGAATTATGGCGACTAGAAGAATCAACACATCCGAGAAAACACATCTCGACCAAGATGAGACCAGGTCGGAGCCTGTATCCAACATCTCACCTGCCGTGCCATCGTTTGTCGCTTCTCCTTACGAACAAAGAAACATGTGATAGACACACTAACTCGCTGCAGGTCGGTGATAGCAAAACTGCTCGGATTCACATTTGCCATGATCACGCTCCCCATCGGCAGCTACTTCGTGAGCGTGAATTTATTATTTGGAGGTTCGCTTCGTCCTACAACCGTCCACGCTGGAGGAGATAGATTCCAAACTTACACGGCGTAGGCAATTCCACTTACGCGGGCGGTCTCGCTGCGTTGATGGCGAATGTGGTTCTCATTGGCTATGTGATTGTGGCGTTCAATGATGATAAAGCGGAGAGAGAGGAAATTGCATCGGAAGAGAATAAGAAGTCGAAATGAGGAAGGATTGCCTTCATTCTGGGCGGCAAAACTGCTGCTGCATCTGGATCCCAATTCGGCAGGCCCTTTCTTCTCGCACCAGTATGATTTGCAAGTCTAGTCGGTGCTGGATTTACAAAACTCCGGTCTCGAAACCACGAAAGAAACGAATGCTGTTCTAGGCGTTCGAGGAGAGGAATTTGGTCAAAGCGAGGGAAAGCCATTCCCGCTCTGGGCGAAGCATACTATGACTGGGCATTTGATACCAACTAGCTAAACATCTTCTCATAGCAGTGCTCTCCAATTTGCAGCACATCGATCTCATCTCCCACGCGAATAATACCGCGAGTAAAGAGCGGAATCATGGAAAGGCCCAGACACGGATGCGGCTTGGCTCCTTCGTCGACCTGACGAGTCCGCTTGAGAGTCGCATGGGGCTCATTCCTATCCTTCACACCACTCCCCGGGTGTACATTAGGCAACGTACATCGTGCGGTCCTGCATGCTACGTGGTATCCCGCTGGTCCAAACTTCCCATCGCCAGCAAGCGCACGACCAATGGCGATCTTCATCCATTGATCTTCGGCCGAAGCAGTCACTCCATCGACATATATGTTGGCTCGGAATCGAACTGCATCCAATTTGCCTTTGGTGGAAGCGTTGGGAGGGAGGTCCTCGTCGACAGCGCGGACACTCGCGAGACTGAGTAGGTGTACCGGGAAAGCATCGGCAAAGCCGACATTGAACTTCTCGTCCAAGTGATCTTTGGGCAAGCTGCGGGAGATTTCACGTAGGTTATCACAATCCACTCGAAAGAGACCCAGTGTGTTCTTCACACCCAAGAATTCTTTTAATTTGGCAAGGGCGTTCGGGTCGATCTCATTGCTCACATTCAGAGACATCGGACAGTCCTTCCATATGGCTATGGGCTCTGACGTGTACTTCTTCTCACGCACTCTCTGGGGTGATGGCGTCAATGGGATCTTCATGGTAATTATCTCCGTTCGCTCACCAAAGACAGTGGACTTCTGCTGGTAGGGGAAGCTCAAGAGGAGACACCCACCCTGTCCGACCCAGTCGTCTGACATCGATTTCTTCGATCCTTCAGAGCGGGCAGATATGATGGTCCCTGTGCGCTTCTCGGTTCTCTGTCCATGGCGACCCGCCTCAACTTCGCGTCTTGGATCTGGTACCCAAAGCTCTGTCGTGAGCAAAGCTAACTTCGGAAACTCCCTCTGGGTGATGAAGCGCCACTGCTGAGCGCCTTCAGAATCTACAATCGACGTCTCATCTCCAACACCATGCTTTGCCGGCACGTATTGCGCAAAGGAAAACATTCGATCATAACTCAGTCCAGTGCGGGAAATATCCGAAGCCGCGAGCTCAACTGCGCGACACGACTTGACAGGATAGACATAGATCGCCTTCACGCGCGGCAAACCAGCAGATCGGTCCTTGATAGTATATTGATCATCGAGATTGCTCTTCCCGCGGAGTCCCATCCGTAAGCACCCCGGAATCCGCGTCTTGCCACTGGGTTTCAAGGCCGTTTGCTGTAGGTACAATAGGACAGGAAACGCGACCAGAATTGAGAAGAGCCCTTTGGAGGACAACAGATATTGCAGATAATGCTGAAAGAAGGTCTGGTGCTCCATGTCTGCGTCGAGTTGCTGAGGATGTTCCAATCATGTCCAAGGCACCGGGCTGAGAAAAGTCTTCAGATATCGCTCAAGAGTTTGCGTGTATCATGTTGACGTGTGATTGAAGCGACGCCATCTTCGCATTCATGGTGGGGACGCTCTAATCAGCGCAAGTTGGCCTTTATGAAACCAGTGTTAGTGAGAGCCATGGAGGGTGAGAAATCTCACGATCCCCGTCAAGACCGAATCCGAGACACGAGCCAAGAAAATGGGCTGGCCCAAGCGCCCATCTCAGCAGGTCACCATATGGTCGTTGAAGGAACGATATCCTCACAGATACCTACTCTAGGGACAGAAAGCACCTATATCCTCTCAAGTCGTCGCTATAGATCACCTTCCAGGTTTCATACTTTCACTCGCCTTTGCGATCACGCCTGAGCAAGACAGAAGGCAAGCGGTAATTGCGTTATTAGCCTGCCAAGTCTTTTGCTCTCCGATGATGCCACCGTCCAACGCGCCAGCCAGGAATTTCCTTCGAAAACGCGCCGCACGATTGAGATCTGATGCAATACAACCACGTAGCTATTCTCCGACTCAAGTTTTAGTTGCTCTTCTCTTCACACGAATTTTGGCCTTCATGGGAGGCACAAGCGTCATGCCGAACAGCGTCGAGGCCGGGCGGCCAGGGAGAGGCTCAATGTCGTAGTTCATGACCATATAAGCCAAAACCATCTTGAGTTCCTGCTGCACGAAGAAGCGACCCGGGCTAAAAAAAAAAAAAAAAAATCAGCAGGCAATCGACGACATACGCACATCCGACGTCGGGGGCAGACTCACCAAGCATGCCTTCCATGGCCAAAAGGCAAGAAATTCTCACTCGTACTGGTGAAGCTTGTATTCTGCAGTTTCAGAAATTCCATCTTCTCCTGCTCTCCCATATTGCTACCGCTTGCCTGGAAAGCTTCTCTCGGTCGGGAAAATCGAAAGGCATCGTACTGGTTCGGGCTCGGGTAGATGTCAGGGTCGTGGTGTCTATCCGCATTGTTCACGGCGATAGAGCTCCCATACGGCGCCGTCCAGCCCTCTTCGGCATTGCGAACGCCGTCCTTTGCAACGACTTTGCGCGTGGTATGAGGCGTGATATCGTTGTTGCGCATGGTCTCTCGAAGAGCCGAATCGGTTCTCAGCAGCTTGTTCAGTTCTTGCTTTGTCCAGACTCCGTTTGCCTCCTCGTAGACTCTTTCGACTTCCTCGCGGATGCCAGCGAGGACACTAGGGTTCGATCCAGCAAGATCGAACAGGGCGTTGGTGCCAGTGATTGAAGTTGTATGCAGGGCGGCGAACTCAATGCCAAGTACGGCGCGGGAGATGAAGTCTGGTTCGGACTCTCTGACTTTGCCCTCAGACTTGGCTAGACGGATATGCCAGGTGAAGTAGTCTTCTGGAATCTTGATCTTAACATCTGGGTTCCTCTCCTGCTCTTCTATGTCTGCGATCCTCTGCTTGATAATCGGAAGTGTGTACTTCCGAGTCTGCCAGTAGTGGTAGTTGTTCGGTAGCGCAGCGATTGGCATGAGCACGCTTTTGAGGATATCGGGAATGAGCTGATTGGCGATCAAACAATTGATCACGTCCTGCGCGAAGGCTGCGTTGGCCTTGAGAAACTTTTCGTTCCGGCACAAGGGCAGGCCGACAAGCAGTCGGTTGCTGAGGCGCGCAACCATGGCCGTGATGCTCTCGAACACCACGATGTCCTTCCACTCCTCCGTATCGTTTCCCCATAGGTCATTGAAGCAAGCTTGAACCTCATCCCAGATCTCGGGAATAATGACCTGCAACTTTCGAGCCAAGTTACGATGAATCTTTGGATACGATTAGTGATATGCGTCGGTCGAATCTGTATCTGACGTCCATGATCCCAACTTACCACATGCTCATGATACAATTTCCCCAATACCTCCGGATTTGTGAACGAATAGTCTCCAGCGAGTCTGGAAAGTCAGTGCGATTCCGAGTACCGAAAAGCGACTACCATATCCAGACGTACTGATCATAATGAGCTGCTCCCACGCTCAACTGAATGTCTGAATGGTCAAACATCCACTGAGCTTTCTCATTTGGAATCATGATAAATTTCGTGCCGGAAATGTCTGGCAAGATGTGCGACTTGCCATTTTTCGCATACTGTCTGGATCATCAGTATCAGGATAGGTCTCGCTCTCGGATTCGAACACCTTTTGATAGCCTTCCGTCATCCAAGTGCGACCTCTCTTCAAGATTTCCAGCTTCGATTTGTGAGAGCCGCTCCACGGCAGGTCCGGCATCGTCGGGGACTTGGCCAGCCATGCCGACAAGATCTTGTAGACAATCAGCAGCGCGCCAGCAATGGCGACCACCGGATGATTCTCCAGGATAGACAATAATCCCATGGTTGTCGAGTGACTTGGAGTCTTCTATCAGCCGTGTAGAAGCCCAGGAAACAAGGTACTGGCACATATGACCAGGATCAAGGTCGCGATTTGCCTCTCGGATGTGCCCAGATCCGGATGGTGCCACTTGAAACCTCAGGAACGCGTTCAAGATGATCTTTGGAAGATGATCTTTGGCTTATTAGAGTATCAAGTCTCTGGCATCCTGAACGGCTGAAGAACACTACCTTGAGCCATCTCAGCGAGACCGCCATTGCCAGCCAATCAGCTTGGGCGTGCTGACAGTCTATCCACAGGGGTGATCAAGTTAGGATAGATTGACGCTAGTTGCTTTTCTATGCCTGGAATGAGAATTCAATAGATCAAATGTGTGGATCGGCAGTGTCCGTGGCACTCATGCAACCGGACGGTAGCAGGTAGGACGAGCAGGATGAGCGCGTCACGTCTCAAGACCTTGGTCGAGTATCAAACTGCTCGCGGCCAGAGTGCCATCACCTACCAGGAAGTTGAAGCCATGCAGTATCGTCCAGTAAGGAGCTCAAGGTAGAACATTGACCGATATCTGGTCTCTGCCCTATAGCTATCCCCTTTGGGAAATGTTGTAAGATGCGCCGAAAAGCACATCCATTGCTCTGAATGCGAAGCACGCGACGCGAATCGTCTGCAACAGCAACTTTGTAGAAAATACAATCAGACGGGTCTGTCTGTGATGTTGGTGTCGTGACAACGAGAGGACGCGATCTTTTCCCAATAGAGACGCGGAGTTATTAGCAGTACGACGTACCATGTGATATCACGCAAACCCTAATCTTATTTCGCGCCGTGGCTGGATCTTGTTCAGGACTTCCTGTCCCAGATGCATTGGTTTCACATCTCTGTAGGACCAAGACGGCGGCGAAGCTGACGCGCTCAAGCTAAGTCTGATCTCTTCTTCTAATATGGAACCTGGTGCTGGTCTTCTCTCGTATCTTCGAACAACGCGCAGCGCTCCCGAAGGAAGTCGCCAACGATGGACGGCCACACGAAGAGCGGGGACGCCAAGGAGATCCAGATGCCAGAGTGGGAACATATCGCGGCGCAGCAAGATGGCGGAAAGGTGGAAGGAGGAGAAGGGGCGCAGAGAGGACATATACCGTTGAAGACGCGTGTGGTTGGAGTGTTGGACAAAATCGTATCGCCGCATCGTACCTACTTCGGTAGGAGGCGGAGGACGTTCTTGCTGGTATTGCTGGGAATCTTCCTCGCTTTGTTGGTCTTCATCATAGGGCTAGCCGTGGGATTGTCACATCGAGGGTGGGATAGATATCGGAGTACGAGGTTGGGTACAGGAGCTGACTGCAGGCAGGAACGCGAATCTCCCGCTCCCTTCGAACACGAAGACTTTCACAGGCGACCTCACGTACTACGAGCCGGGTCTAGGTGCGTGCGGCGAGACATCTACCAGCAGCGACAGGATCGCAGCTGTGTCCCACCTTTTGTTCGACGCCGCCGGCTCTACGTCGAGCCATGGCGGTAACTCGAATGGTAACCCACTCTGTGGTCGCATGATTAGGGTGCAGAGGTTTGATGCGTCTGCGGGAGAGACGAGGAGCGTAGACTTGAAGGTGGTAGATCGATGTACCGGGTAAGCCAAGCGCGGAATATCTCGTGAGCGGTCTCCGCTAATGTAGATTTGCATACAGCTGCGCCGCTGATGATATTGACACCACCGAGAGCGTCTTCAAGAAGCTGGCTTCGATTGAGGAGGGCCGGGTCCCTATGACTTGGGCGTGGCTGCAGTGAGCTTCATAGGCCAATTCAAAGACCTGGACACGGCATCTCAAGATATATTCAATGACCTGGACTTGGAGTTACCGAATCGGTCAGTACGAAGCTTCTCTGGGTTCAAGAATACCATATGTAGGCGTCAGTCCATGCGTTGTCGACTTGGCGTTCAACGTGCCGTGAGTCCCGCTCCATGTGTAAGGCTGTTGCCCAGCTGATGGATGGCGAGGCGAGCCTGCGGTGCTACGAGGGAAGCCGGTTTCCCTTTCCACCCCCGAGGACTTGTGAGAGGGAATGCGCTCACTGTAGCTGTAGCAAACACTCCCGTCCCCTGCGCTCGACGTGGCTGAGGGGTCGTGCCTTCCGATTGCGGCAGTTCGAGTTCCCTGCTCAATTAGGGTTTGTATCATGTGAATAGAAGGCACGAGCGACTTCTTCGACTGCCACTTCCACCATCACCACCTCTGCCAAGACTGACTCGGCCGTGCCTGCTCACTCTCGTCACCGCGCGCTTGCCTTCAACTTACCTTCCCTTCCCTTTCCTTCCTGTTTCGGTCCGTTGCCGACATTCGAGCCATCAATTGCAGCTTCGCGACGCGCCTCACCGAGCACCCATCTTTCCTGGCACGTGGCGGGCCTGCCTCGACATTAGGCCGGTCGTCCCCGTTGGACAGCGCGCTCAGTAAGGTAGGTAGTGCCGTCTCCTCCTTTCTCAGTGCCAAGATCGAACAAACACTCACCAGCATTTCCAGACGACTACATCTCAGCAAACCCCTCATCCGTGCGCATGCACCTGTCATCGGCGTCGATATCACCCTAAGCCCCTATCTACGACTTGCTCCGAGCCATGTCCTGGTACCGCGATATGAACCGGGAGAAAAGCTACCATCGGCCCATCTTTCTCGCCGCTGCGTTAGCCACAGCCTCGCTATGCAGCTTCTACCCACTGCTGTGCTTCAAGAACTACAGCAGCAAACACAAGAAGGAGGCGAACGACAGGGTGGCAGACTTGGAGCGGAAACAGGCCGAGGAAGAGGAATGGGCGCGGACTCATCACCCGAGACGCGCGAGGCATCGTTCCCATTCCCCGCAACAGACCGCATACACGCCACACCACCACAGACGCCGTCACTCGACAGCGAAGGTCCCGGAGTTTCGAGATGGAAAGCTCTACAGGTATCGGGACGCGGACGAGGTAGAGCAGAGCTCGCGCTCGCGCTCGAGCGGCCACCGTCGCCGACCCTCGAACGACCGCGAGATGGATCGGGAGCGCCGCCAGCGACATCACGGTCACGCACCGCCGAGACGATACCACCACAGCTCCTAGGAGGGCGTGCTGGCTCCGATGCCGTCTCACTGAGAAAGGGCTCCCCTGACTCTTTCAAGGATTACAGAACGGGCCAGATGGAAGCAACGAGTGCCCATCTGCGGACCGTCATGTCGTCCAATCCGGTTGCGGTGGTGCCTATAAGTAAATCTTCATTGCGCGCGACAACATGGGAAACGTCGGCCGAGCGCTCTCGTTCAGTAACTCCAGTTTCTCGTCACTCATCCCCAGTCAACAGCATATCATCTCTAAGCTCTGGACATTCTCCAGCCAGCAGCTTCGCTTTCGATCTACGTAGACGACTTCCCGACCTCAGGCTACTGAAAAAGAAAAGCAAACCCCTTCAGCATCTTGTTGACAAGCCGAAAACTTCGCCTTCTGAGCCTGCGCGCTCACCCTCCTTTTACCAGCCCCGAGTCGTGGAGGACAACGGATTTATTCCCTCGGCGACCGCAGGTATCAGGCCACCTTCGCCGCCTCAAGCATCCATTGCACTCAACCTGCCTGATGCGGATGGCACCGAGCCCCCTATCAAGCCGCTTCGAAGGACGCAGACACTATCCAATCGAGCTCCGGGCAAACTTTCAGTTCCCAAGCGACTACAGCGAAAATGGCCTGCTCTGGCACGTGCAGACTCCGCAAAAGCCATAATCCCGCCGCAACCCATTTCGATACTGGGTTCGAGCCCAGTAACAACTTCTATTTCCGCTCCACTGCCACCAAACCCGCCTGTCACGCGACAATTGCGCTTTCAGAGCCAACAAGTATCGGGCTTGCGCAATCCCGGAGCGGAAAGCTCACAGCAGCCGCTCCAATTGAAGGACCTTCCACGAAAACAGTCAATGCCGCAACAGCAAATACACTTTTCTGCTATTACTCCTTCCAGGGGCGTCTTTCTTGCCCCAGGAAGCTCGTCGCAGGCGCAATCCGATTATTTCATGGCCTTTCCGACTGACACCACGCATGGGAAAGAATTCACCCCAGCGCTATCGCCTGCGTCCACCGAAGAATCCGGTCCTCGATCAGAGTCGCCTTCTGTATCTACGTTGGAGCCTCCTTCCCCGGGCTTGACAGAGTCAATGTCACCGGCGGCACATCCACTGATCCGCGCCGAATCATCCACAGCTAGAAGCAAGAAGGGCAAGAGGAGCAGTGTCTTCACCATGTTCAGGAAGTCGGCATTCAACAATAACATGTTCGAAGAGACCGAGCTCCCCGCTACTGTTGGACAATTGCCCGGAAGCGCAGAGACACCGGACATCTTTGTGCACAGCCCTAAGGGCGCGGCGCAGTTGAAGAAGAGGTTGTCGAGCATGTTGCCCGAGACACCACTTCCACCTTATTTTTCGCGCCCAAAGTTTCGTCGAGGCGCATCCGAAGACGCATCTCCTTCCGCGTCCCCACGCACGGCATCCCCTATGCCCACCATCGAGGACGACGAAGTACCCACACAACGGCCTCAACGAAGTCGTTACCATAATCGATCATCCTCGGAGCAATTGTCCCCAACAGCAGTACCACGGCATCGGCCAAGGTTGGCACGGCACCGTCATACGCGGGAGAATATCCACGATGACACCAGGAGGCGTTCAGCTCAGGTGAATACCTCGCAGAGTTTGCCGACATTAGCCAGTTCAATCACAAACCCAAGCCCAAAGGCGCCGGCTAGCTTTGAGAATGCCCAGCCTAGGCAAAATCTCGATTTTGAACCGTCAGGGCCGGACACATTGTTAAATGCGGCTCGGAAGAAGTTCAGTATGCCAAGAGACATGTTCCAGGAGCTACGGAAAACGCATTCTGTAGGCTTTTTCAACACCCGTGAAATTGTTACTGCGCAAAGAGAGCTGCAACCCCGATCTTCCATTGCCCCATGGACGGCATTACGACGACTGAGCGTGCGAGCCTCCCGATCAGCCAAGGCAGTGATGAAGCCGCGCACAAAGTCCTCACGCAATCTTGGCTTGCAACTCAACAAGCCCTTGCCGGCCTTGCCAACAGCGGATGACGACCCCAGGCAGGGAAGTGAGATCTCTGAAGCCAACAAAGCAGATCGACCAAAACGGATTATCACGGCGGCAGACTTGGAGGTCACAGAGTTTGAGCAGACGCCGTTCAGTCAGCGATACAATGACAGCAAGCGCGCACTGCAGCAGCAGATCCGCTCACTTGTGCAGGAGGGCATGGACGAAGACAATGAGGAGGATGAAGACATTGTTCTTGGCTTTGAACAGGATGTGCCTGACCATTTCCCTAACTCGCCTTTGTGTCCGCTGCATCCGAAGCACAAGAGCGGTGGCAAGGCGATTTGTCCCCTACACGGGCGGTACAAGAAGGCGACAAGCAACGCAGTCGTTCGCGTGGGCCCTGCTAGAAGCAGACGCGTGTTGAGCGTGCAGAGTCTCAGACCGTTAGTCGAGGGCGAGGCCCAAGCTCAGCCTGTGCAACGACATCAGTGGTCAAGTGACTCTGTTCCGAGCAGGAACAAGATGGAGATTGTGTTCGACACGATGGTTCTCGATCAAGCCAAAGCAAGAACGGGCAGTATGGGTAGTGACGGAGCAGGCTTGCAACCTTCTCCAGCCAGAAGTGGAGAGCAGGAAGAAGTGGATTGGAAGATGGAGCATCGTCGGATGAGCGAGTCGGAAATGAGAGGGCGGAAGAGGACGAGGGCTGAGTGTGGCTCCCAACGAACGCGTCGTCGACGACATAGGATGTGTCGCCGCTGAAGAGAGGTTTGGACTACCCTTTCGTTGGCATCTTGCATCATCAGGAACCTGGGCATAGCGAACTTGAGAGGCTTTCGATTGTTTCTTTGTGATGCTTTCACAGGAGTTCGTGAAACTCTTCAATAATACAGTCCTGCCTGGAATCTTTCTGGTTGTTGGCCTAAAGCCTCCTGTCCACCCGAACGCCTGCCTGCCCGCCCGCTTGAACGCAGCACAACGCAAGAGACGGCTCTGAAGTGTCTGGAGCGATATGAGGGATGCTCATCTCGCGCCATCCTTGCCCCAGGCCATCGCCCTCATCCTCGCCTCGATGTTACTCCAGATCGTCTCCACGACCTCTCGATCTTGCCACCTGTTTGGACCCTTGTCGATCTGCACGCTCATCACACCTCTGCCCCATCCTTTCACCGTCTCTGGCACCATCTCACCCTTCCAACCCACGTACACACCCAGTGCGTGCGAGAACAGCTCCGCGGGATTTTGCCATTTGTAGTTCTTGAATTGCCATGTCTGACCTGTCGTGAAGACTGCCACGACGCGATTCCAGTAATCCGGTCTGAAATGCGAAGGGTCGTCCACGAGGATGAAACGCGTTGGATGGCCTGCGTAGATACTGCGGAGGTTGCGGGAGATGTGGAGAATGTTGGGTGCTTCGCCGGAGGATTCGAGGGGTTGGTAGACGCCCTCTGCCAGGAAGGATTTGATGTTTGGCATTCGGAGGAGGGAGGAGAAGGAAGATGAGAGCAGGATGATAGGTTCGACACGGCGGTTTGCGTGGGAGGGTTTGACTGGTGGTCGAAGAGCGGGATTGTTGGTGAGCGCTGTTGTGGTGCCCGCCTGCTGTTGAGCAGGTTTGGCTTTTCCGAGGAAGAGGGAAGAGTATTTGCGGATACCGCTGAAATCCTGGATCTTGATGCCGCGGAGCACGGTATTGTGGTCTCCCATCTTGCGCTCGCCGGCGTATATCATTTTCAGTCTCTCGCCTTCCTCACGACGCTTGGAGTCGTCCATTCCTGCATCACGCATTTCGACGTCCGCATCTCCTGCGATTTGCTTTGCCGCATCGTCGGCTTCCACGCGCACGGCTTTGTTGTCGTCTAGGCTTTGAATGAACTCGCTCCCATTCTCGCCAGTATTCCCCTGCAGCCACCCGTTCAGATCTATCCTCTCCGTGAAGGGAATGTTGAGAATCGTCTCTTCCTTTCCCGACTGCTTGAGCTCATCATTGAGAGCTTGAAGGTCCTGCAGTGTCGTTGTCGTGTTCGAATCCTTGTGCAGCCAGTAGAAGTAGACGACTCGCAGGTGCAATGCTTGCTTGTGGGCTGCCGAGACGAAACGGGTCTCTTGCGTGAGGGGAACGGCGATGTGCTGACCTCCATCTTGCGGCGATTCGAAGTTGAAGATGAGGAACTGCGCCTGGGCTAAAGAGACGTCGGATTGCGCCTGGTTTGAAGGATCGGGGTCGGTGGTGAGGATTGGCGTTTTATTCGCTGCTATTGTCTTGCGCAGTAGCAACAGCGGATCCGGCGGCAGGCCATCTACTGTGGCCGACATGGTTGCTGGCGAGTGTTAGTGTTTGGAATTGGCGGCTGCTTCTCTGAACGTCGCGAAGTTGAAGAGACGCGGCCCAGCTGCGTGGAAAGTTTAGCCGGCGCAGTTAGTCAGCAGTGCCTTGGCATTCACTTCGCTCTTTCCCTTGACGCGGGCTTTCACATGCTGTGCAAAAGGTCCACTGTCAAAACTCTAAAGCTGCGCTCAGACCCCGCATACATGAACTGCTTTGCACATTCACATCATCATCTGGCTGCTCGTGGATCTGTCTTCGCCACGCGTAGATATCTCGCAAGGATCGAGCAATGATTGCCAAGGATGGCGTTCTCGTGAGTGAGCGGACACCGCCTGTCAGACAGATCGGAAATGATAGCGGTAGAGGCACAAGTCTGCCTTGATCGCCTCTGTCTGAAGTCGATGGAGTCGGAGGCAAGTTGAGGTCCTTGGAATCCGCCAGGATTGGAGACCTCCGAATGTACGCTTGTAATGCGGCTGAGATCATCGTACCTCGGGAAGCGCACTGAGTGGAGCCTGACACGTAAGTAACGAACTCATAACCCCGAAAGTCACGTAGACACGATGTCTCAATGCAAGACCTCTTAGACTCTCACAGTCGCTGAGAGACCGCCTCGCTAGATGGTGGAGATCATGTCGTATATGCAGATTATCTACAATTCGTCATTAACAGCGCTGAGTTGAGATAACGCCATTCGCCATGCTACACGCCCAGTCCTGAATCCTCGCGCTTAAATAAAAATTGCAGACGTCCCAGGGATCAAGTTCGGAAGAGGCCATACTATAGCTCTCTTTCCTCGAGCTTCTCTTCCACCTTCTTTTGTTGTAGACTCACGCCTCTTCCTTTTGCGTCCTTGCCGACGGCTTGAGGGCCGCCGAAAGTCTCGAAAGCCTTGTGGAAGACCCATTCCGTTGCGTACTCGACAGGTTCGTCGAACATGTAGGGTAGTGCAGGGACTGCAGCAAGCCCCAATCCAATGGGTCCCCAGGTCCGTAGTTTGACGTTCTTGACATTCTTCATCGCGCGTCCTGAGTATCGCACGATGCTGTGGATAGTGAAGGCCGGCAGACCCATACTCGCAAGGCCCTGGAAGACTGCTCTCTGCGCCATTACGCTACGGTAGTCCTCGATTGCAGGTACTGTTCGTCCAGGGCTGAGTTCCGCTTCCCGCTTGTCCTCTTCCGTCTCCGGATTCAGGATCCTCTGATTGCGTATACGTGCTTTGTACCCCTCGTATCCCACGTCTCCGATGAGGTATGCCCAGGAAATACCGTATGCAGCGCGAACCATATACGGATGTGCAACCGGTCGGAATGATTCTCCTATATCGCTCGTGTAGGCTACGTATCGGTGGGCGCTGAGCATGATCGTTCGTAGTCTTGAGGCATAGGCGGCATATCGGACGCTAGACTCCGTAGAGTCCTCGGCTTTGCCGGAGGTGAGAACAGCCCAGTAGCTCTGCTCATCATCGAGATTCTTTTGGAGCTCTTTGGGAAGCTTTTGTCTAGGTAGAGGTTGTGAGAAGTCGGGCCGTTGTTCTTTTCGTTCGTGAGGGATTGTGCCAAGCTGGTCGTCGTCGGGTTGAGAGTTCTTATTCGACATGGTGTGTGATGATGGTCGTTGAGGTTGCTGATATGTTCTATAGTCTTTGCTCGATATGTGTGGGATCTAATTTATGGTATTGCCGAATTCTGAAATCATTAGTGCAGAGAGAGGAAGACGGAATGTGTGGACTGAGGTCGGAATGATGCTGAAGTGAGCTGGGAGCTTGCGGTGTTGTGGCTGGAAAAGTGTGGCGCGGAGAGCTCGGCAACTCTGCCGACCAGAACCTCACGAGTTCTTGGAGACGGCATCGCTTCGACCCCAGCTCAATCAACCAATCTCACCTCCTCTACAACCAACACACATCACCGCAAAGATGGTTGCCTACTACAATATCATGGGCCAAAAGGTTGGCTCCCATGTGGTACGTACAGCCCTCGCATTCGCCGCCAGGACCCCTCGAGAGTCAATGGCTCTGCGACGGAATGCATGCGACTGAACACTCAAATGCTGACTGCGAGATATTTCAGCTCTCCATCGCGACCCTCTCGACCATGTTCGTCGGCGGGTGGGCCCTGAGCGGTGGTAGCAAGAAGCAGCAGGCTCAGCAGGGCCCACCGATCAATGCTTCGAGCAAAGATGAGGAGAACTTCATACAGTATGTCCTACAGGATGAACGAGCGAGCGATGTCCGTCAGGATCTGGACTGACCAGCACGACACAGAGAATTTTTGAAGTCAGCGGAGCAAGAACAAAAGGCCAAAGACGCGAAACATTGAGCATGAGCTGTGATGATACACCGGAGACCGTGGGCTGGAGGGCAAGGGAAGCTGGACCCATGCTAGGAACGGTCGGAGTGCCTTTGATCAGGAGCTGCATCGTGCGTGTCGAATGTGTATATATAGACGCCATGCAATGGGCTTCTTCCTAGGTCTTCCAACGGGCGTTCTCTGTGGACCATTTTGAATAAACGTGTCTTGGGATGTTATCGACACGGCGACGCTCGCAGCTGTCAAATATGGGAACGAACGGACACCAAAACAAAAATCAATCGGTCCCACTGAGTCGAACGTAGATCTCCTGGGCACTGCCCCGCCGGAGCGGCAGGCGTGTCAAACGGAAGGGAGTGCGGCATGCGTCCGTAGACCCCTCCTTTTCCCACATGAGCCAGGAATGCTTGCCGTTGCATCATGGGACCGCGACTATGAGAAAGAAGGCAAACGATCGCAATATATACTCTTCGGTAATGCGCTGGCGAAACCCATGGAAAAGTGAAGGCAATGATGAGGAGCAAAAATGTACGGCATCAGCGAGTTCTCGTGCTGACTTAAGTCAAGGAGGAGGCTTCGAACTTGGCATAGATGGAAGGTAAGATCGTGATCATCCGCTGATGCATTTCTACATGCGCTGGTGGTATGGTAATGTACAGTATCTATGCTCTTGTGTCCTCGTAATCGCTCTAAAGGTTCCTCTTCCTGCTCGCTCATGATTGCCAGACCAACGCCACGCTAATTCAGGCCTCATGAAGTGCCGCTTCCTCGATCAAGCTGTCTGCTCTGGAGTCTTCGCCATGCCCGCTCCGACTCCCCTCAGCAGAACAATGGTATTGCCCGTCTGGACACTCTGTCCCAACTTCTCCCCGAACTCCAGTAGCCTCCCACCCTCCACGTGGAATACTCTCAATTTGTCCTCTTCGCTCTCCGACCTGTTATTCACGTTCTGCACCTGCAGTCCTTTCGCGGCAAGATCCAATACCCTTCCCACGGAGAACTCTGAGCTGTAGAAGAAATTGCCCTTGGGTATTTTCGCCGTCAACGTATCTGAAGAAGCCTCCACAACGAGATATATCCTCTTGTCCTGTGGAATCTTCTCATCACCCTTCGCCGTCCTCTTCAACGTAGCCGTCGCAGCTATTGAGGCCGCAGCAGATTTCTTCGCAGCACTCTGTGGCACATTGACCTTTTTACTCGCTCCCCACGCGCGTAACTTCTCCAGAGCCGCCAACCCTCTCTCTTTCTGAGTCGTAGGCCTCGCTCCCTTCGGTTTCAAATTCGCACAATCATGATCATACGTAAACCGATGTTTCAGACAATACCGATAATTGCACTTCTCACACTGCACGCCCGTCACCAGCGGCGTATCAATCAAAGTCTTACAGCTCGGCAGCGAACATTGCTGTTCATGCGTGAGGATATTCGGTTTCGGGGTAGGTGTGTATCCGGTCGTGCCTTGGCGATTTGACTCCGCTTTTCTTCGGCCCCATTCGCCTGCTTTGGGACATTGATGGGCGGTTTCGGTGCGATGGTCTAGACAGTATTTTCCGCCGCAGGACATGCATTTGAAGGGGAGGAAGTCGATCTGGCCGCAGAAGGACATTTGGCAGTGGGCGCCGATGGCTTCGACGTCGCCGACGGACATTTTGCTGTAGGATTCGGGGGGTGTGACGTTTTCTGGATTGGAGGATGCCATGGTTGCTTGATGATGAGTGCTGTCTTATAGGGAGGATTAATATGAAGACGAGCTGTTATTGCGTGGCATTCGCAGCCTAGTGATCACTCAGCGGCGAAGAAGCTTCTGGGCGATGAGGCTGACGACGGAGGCTCGGCGTTAGATTCCCGAGACGTGGTTGCCTGAGTGATGGTTGGATACATGTATCGTTTTGCATACAGCTTCTTCGATTTTCCAAGCACTCAAATTCGCGATATCGCTCTACTTCATCCATCTCACGTGGTGGGTCCGAATGGGGAAGTAGCGAGCAATCACATGGAGACGGATGGCCAGTGCTTAAACCCCCCGATCCCGTCCCGAGTCGCCGCGGCTACTGATGCGGATCGCTCCCGAAGGTGGAGACGGACCCCGCATCTTGCACCTCCCGGCAGGCACGCGATGCTGTCCACCATCACGTCTCTTCCCGTTGTTGGCCGTGTGTCCGGGAGACAGACGTCGGTCAGCTCTGCGTACTCTCTCCGTCAGCTCGTCTCCCTCCATCGTCCACTTCTCCCGTCTCTGCCAGGTGCATCACAGAGCACTGCAGTGACAAGGGCTGCTGTGCGGCTGCTCCCATGCTTGTTGTTCATTGACGACCACGCATCCCTCCATACACGCGCCTTGCCTAGCTGATGAAGCTCCGATAACGACAGCCGCCTGTACTCACCTACACCCTCACCTACTCTCTATACCGCTCTCTGCGTTGTACGGTCACTTGCCAACATGCTTCCGCCACAGCTCCAGCACGGCCTGAGGCGGCACTCGATATCACTTGCCACGGCTGCTGCTGCTCTCAGACCGTCGACGACGAGCTCCATCGTTCGCGCCACCCAATCCCGAAGCTGCTGGTGGGGACGCCCGCGAGACTACCCATCGCGAGTCGATCCAATGTTCCACCGCTTCGCCCGTTATCGAACGCTCAAGACAAGAGCCAAGCTGCTCGATAAGCTCCGACGCAGAGGACGATGGGATTGGGATGCCAACCAACGCCCCTTCTTCAGCCCCAAGCATGTCCGCTTGGCTAGCCACATTGGCCGGCCAAGATGGAAGATGTATGGCAACGAAGATGGCAAAGAGAAGACTGCCGAAGAGATCCTCGAACAGGAGGGCTTTGAGCTCAGCCAGCGGGAGAAGGAATGGAAGGACCAGATGGAGGCCATGCGGAAACGCATCGACCAAGATCCATATGAGGCCATCTTTGGCAGAAGATTCGAGCCTTTCTGGAATGGTCTTGTACCTGGCTGGATGCGGAACGAGATGGGTCCGAATGATGGTCCCAAGTCGAAGGATCCGAACAGAGACACTACCACGTCCAGATCCACGCCAGCCAAGCCAGTGTCGAGTGAGTCAAAGTTGAAATCTGATCCAGTTAAACCTGTAGACCGTACAGCGGCGGAGCGATCCACGAATGATCCAGAGTCGGACGGCGAGACCCCTAATGGCCAGCTCACCAGCTACACGTACATACCGAAACGGACTGTTGTCAATAGTGACCCAGAATGCCCCAACGGCCAGCTGACCAATTATTCCTACGCTTCGTCCACGTCTACCTCGTGGGATTCGTGGACTAAGAAGACGAGGAGAACAGAATGGGACTCGATGTCTGGCAAGACAAGACGCTACGAGTACGACCCCATCTCCAATCGCATGGTTGAGATGGCTCAGCCAAAAGCTGGCGAAGCCCGCAGTGCACAAGCCTCCGAAGCCGCGAAGCAGGATCCCATGTTTGCAGCGGAATCGAAGTCGAAGCAGCCTGCCATCAAGTCAGATCGCGCCGCCGGAAGCTCCCGCTCCGAAGCTGTCGATATTCCTGTGAAGCCCTCAAGTGAAAGTCGCAAGTCAATTCCAATCCCCACGCAAACGCTTGAAACGACGTCTAAAGCGAAGACATCTGTCTACTTCCCATCTCTGATCAACACTTCTGTAGTGTCCAAGGTTACCAAACCAGAGGCTCTCACCGCGAAGTCGGAGAAACAGCTTGAAAAGCTTACCGCCGATGATGTCCGAGCTTCTGTTGGTAAGGCGAGAAAAGAGCGTGACGCTGCCACTCAGTCTCAAAGAAGCGATGAGGAGACAAGGGCTCATCGATACGGCAGGATGGATCCCAAGCAGAGCCAGTGGGATCAAGCTGAGACTGATGTGATGCTTCAAGAGGGCTGGTCTAAGAGAGGAAGAGAGCTGCGAGAGCAGTCCCGGTCTAAGCCGAAACTCGAGACGGCGTTAGACCGTAAAGTCAACACGACCACCGCGGGCCCCCCTCGAGGGGAGCCTGCAGTGAAGTCAGCGATTACAGGCTCTCTACAATCGTCTCTTGAGCGCATGCAGTCCAAGACTTTGCCAGCGGCAGTCGAGCTCGACGACTTGGCAGCTCACGAGTCGACCGGCGACCGCGTGCACAACTCTGCGACCAACATTCCTAAGCAGTGGGAGAAGCAAGCTGATATGCTTCAGGCGGATCGTATCAAGCGGACACGTGGAGGTTGCGATGAGGCCACGCCTGCAATTGACAGTCTCACTCAGAAACTGACTTTACATCTGGACAAGCTGAAGGAGAAGCATTCCACAGACAAGCCGCGATGGGTCATTCGCGGACAAGGTCATGTATCAAGTAATTCACAGCGTACCCAAACAACCGGAACCGAGCTCATCAATCTAGGAAACAAGAAGAGACTGGAGATGGTACGCCGCGAGGTGGAGTCCCTTGCTGGAACAGATCCGAAGCTGGCCGAGTTGGTGAAAGAACTAGATGCTCGGGAGGCTGCTAGAAAGACAAAGCTTGCCAAGGCCAATGCTATGCTCGAGACCGAGGTCGAGGAGCAGCGAACGCGGATGCAGGCTCACGAAGGACGGACTGCCCATGTACCCTCTTCAATGCCCCAAATTAACTCTCAGAGTAGCTCCCGCGATGCTCCGGGCTTTCAAACAGAGAGAGAACGATATCAGCAGAAGATTCGCGACCTCAGGAAGGAGCTTGATACCGCGTTCAAGCAGAGCAGCGTACAGGCTGAGATGCAGGTCGATAGAATCAAAGACTTGAAGAAAGCGGCGGAGAATCTCCCCCGCGAGGTGACGGAATTCCAAGTGGAAAGAGAGCGTTACCAGCACAAGATTGGTGATCTCAGAAAAGAGCTCGACACTGCGTTTAAGCAGAGCAGCGTCAACGCTGAGATGCAGGTGGAGAGGATTCGAGATCTGGAGAAAGCCATGGAAGACCTTCGCAAGAGCAGCATTACCGATGTTAAATTTGAGGAGGTACGCTTCCAACAGAAGATCAATGTGCTGAAGGCAGAAATCGACCGCGCGTACATGCCATATGTCACAAAGTCCGAGATGCAAGCCGCCCATATCCGAGAGCTGGAAGCTCAGCTGAGAGAAGCCCGTGCTGGGCCACAGGAGACCGCGAAGGGTGCCGAGATCTCCCAGGCCGAGGGAGACTTTTGCGCCAACGTGACCAAATACGCCAAGGATAACAGCAAATGGTATAAGAAACCTTGCCGCAATCCTGAGGCGACTGGGAAGCCGACGCAAGAAGAGATAGATGTAGCGGCGAAGAAGGTACAAGACCAGAATCTTACGAATGAGGTTCAGAACATCTATGAAAGGAAATATGGAACCATCGATGTCAACCACCGCCAGCCAATCGAAGCTTCCTCTAAACTTCCACGGATGTCGAAGCCTGAAGCACAGGTCGTAGAGGTCGAGTCCGATGTCGACCTTGGCAAAGCACTCGCAGACTACGAGAAGGACCAGACTTATGACTACAAGAGAGATAATCTCGAAGCTGAAATTGCCGCAGAAGAGAGGGAAGCTCATGAAGCTCAAGCATTGATGGCCCCAGAGTCGTCGAGCAAAATGAAGCAAGCCATTGCTAACAATTTGAACCGGAAGGAAGGTGTACATGGCGCGCGCATCGTTGACGACAACCTTCCGAAGCTCATTCCTACTGAAATTGCTGGCCAGAAAGAGAAAGAGGCTGCAGTAAGTGAATGGGGATTCCAATGGGACGAACCTCCTGCCTACAAGGTTCTTGCGTACGATTCTGGCAACGACATCATCAAGACCGCTGTGACTTCCTCCAATTTCACCAACAAGGAGACTCCAATCACAATTCAGGAGGCACTTTCGGAACTTTACCAGCCGGCCAGATTTGTGCCCCACTTTGCAGGTTTGCAAAAGGAAGGATACCAGGTGATTTACGGCACCAAAGATCTGCTTGTATTCAGGAAAGTCAGGCAGGCGCCCGAAGCAGCAATTGCGAAATCAGAAGATGCGGAAAGCCTCCAAGATCACGGCTTGTTCAAGTCTGCTGATGAGAATCCCCCCGCTAATTACGCTGGTGTCAACCCAATCGATGGCACCTCCCACCCCGTTGAACCCAGTACCGGCTCTTTCGCTTCACCTACCGGGTTCGTTGGAGATCGATGGTTCTCTGAAGGTCAAGCCCAATCTCCGAGCACGGTTGCCAATATGTCCAAGCTTGAACGTCAGCCCGCCGAAGAGGCTACAGAAGATTTGGAATTCAAGCACTACCCGCGTGTCAAGCGCGAAGAACGCGTGTACTCTGGCTCGCGACTCCAGAAGCAGCAGGCGAAGCAGAGAAAGTCGCATTCCGCTCACGAGCAGCGGAGATCTGATGGAGCGCGGGAAGAGTCTGCAGGAGCTGGCTGGAAGAGGGTTGCTTTGTCGGCTGCTACCATGGGCGGTGTGTGCTATGCGGTTGGCGCTGCTGTCGAGAGGAAGGAGGAGAGGGAGAAGGAGAGGTGGGAGCAGATTTTGGAGGGAAGGAATTTGAAGTAGCGAGAACGCTGCTGAATGATGACGATTGTTGAGCATGTCTTACGGATTTCGCGGATTGATGGCATGACGTTGGGAGTTCTTTGGAATCTTGGATGCGTTCGACGTTGGTCATATATCGAGAAGATGTTAGCTAAGACACCACTCAGTCTTGACAAATGGTTACGATTGCTAGAACAGAAGATAGCTGGAAATGCCTTTTCCTCTCCCACCAACTATTGCTCAATTCCTCTTCTTCGCCACATTGGAGCCCGCCCGTCTTCTGCTCAGGGTGAAATGTAGACGAGTGTACATGTCGACGCCCATGAATACGGCTGTGACAACCGCATCCGTCAGTAGGGCATACATATATCACGAACAAGAAAGAAAAAAAAAAGCGAAATAAACTTACACAGCGCCAGATAAGGCACGTATAACTTTCCCAGTTCCACTTTCTCCGCATTCGAATATCCCTCCCAGCTCAAGTAATCCGCAATACACGTCGCGGTCGTGATTGCTGTTTGAACGGCATATACGAGTAAATGGACCGGAACCATGGAATCGTCTGCAATCACTCAGCCATGAAGGATAAACGAAGCAACGGAGAGGTATCTCGTACCGCGTAAGAGTGCGCCCACGGCCCAGAGACTCAAAGGCACGTGATAGATCAACTCCATCCAGATGTACATTGTGAACCATGCGGGAGGGGCAATGAAGAATTTATCGCGGTAGGTCTGGATGTACCAGTTTCGGAGGAGGGTGATGGGGGTTGGTTTTAGGGAGGAGGGATAGAGGGGTGCGAGGTCAACGACTAGTTCTTGTTCTTTAGTAGGAGGGGGAGATGGTGGTGTGGTAGGTAGGGTAGGGTAGGGTAGGGCAGGGGGTTTTGCGTACAGAACATTACGGGGATGTGGATTGCGAAGAAGATGAGGTAGATCAGGTCCTTCTTGCGGGAGAGGAGGGTGGACATGGTTGTGGGCTGTGGTTTCTGTTGAGTGTGTCAAGGATTTTATGTGGTTGTTGTGGTTGAAGGTTGAAAGCTGCGAGTTGGGATGAGACGTGAGGTGAGGGCAGCAGTCTTGGCGTATCAGCTCTCCAAAGGGGTTTACAACAGCGACAAGGTTTTATGAAATACACTGAAAGGCGAGCTGAGCTGATTACAGCATGAGAAGGGTGTTTATGTGTTTGTTTCACAAACATTTGTACAGCTTCACAGGTGGTTCCACACATTTTACAAGGTGGACGCCTTCGAAGGTGAGATGCCAGAGCAAACGCCATTGTCGCCTGCAACCATGCCGCATTGCTTCTACATGGCGCCGTTCCATTCCATCGGGGACAGCGTGGCCCACAGCATGCTCTCCTGTCTCTGCGCAGGTGAATCCGCCGCATGTATCATGCCGAAAAGCTACAGCTCGAGTAGATCTCTGGGATCGCTCCGGCGGAACCAGACTCGTTGGAACTGGTAGCAGTCTGTCGCGGCTGGCGATGGCGATGTACCGTCGCTCAATTACCATCAGCAGCTCAAATGTTGGTTTTTTGTCCCAGGACCTGCTTCACAACCCTGGCGACCTCTGATCTGTCCACATTCTTGCCCTCAAGACTTCCTCCAGCACCTAGGAGCTTCTTCAACGCATCGCCCATATTGACCTTGCCTTGAGCGACAGCGGTCATCTCGTCCACGACTTTGGTGACGGCACTCTTGATGTCGTCCTCAGACAATGTCTCCACACTTCCGGCATACTCTTCAAACACCGCTGCCTGAGCCTGCTCCTTTTCAACCAGGTCATCGCGTCCGGCTGCTTGAAAATCGTTCGACGCCTCTTTTGCTGCAGCCATCCGTTTCCTCAAGAGTGACACCTACCGAGTAAAGACCTATCAGCCTTGGATGTTCCTACCTCGCGAGCTCTTTACATGTCCCTTACCAGCTGCATGTCTGTCTTGATGGGATTCGATGTCTTGGACGAGTTCGTGACATCAGCGATGATGCCCCGCAAGACATTCAGTCGATTCGTATCCTTCTCCTTCATGGCTGTCTTGAGGTCTCCCTTGAGTTTGAACAACAGAGGCGAGGCCGGCATTGAGGTTACTGAGGGCGCAACAGCGTAGGAACGGCGGCATTGGTAGCAGACATCGCTTGCGCGCGACATTGCTCTGCTTCTGGAGAGCATTCTGGATGGAGCGAGTGCCATTTTCGAGGAGGTGGATGTCTTGGTGGGACGGTGGAGGTGTCTCGATTGTTCCTTGATGAGCCCAGGCGCTGTTTCTCGAGACGGTAGGTAGCGTTGGTCTGTGCTTGGAAACGCGCGAACGCGCCCCGAAGTTTATTCAGAGCTTCACTTTTGGGAATTCCATTGAACAGAACAACAATTCCATCTTCTGCCCCGATTTCCATTGTCGCCTTGGCTGCGCGAACGAGGACGAAACTTAACTCCCATCCCGTTCTCTCTCCGAATTCACGATCCCCCTCACGCGCATTCACGGATGAAATTGAGAGTAGCTTGCATGCCACGCCGAACATCTCCAACCTCCCTCAAGTAATGCGCTGCTGGCAACGCACCGACAGCCGCGTCTTCTTCTCGACCTCCCGATAACACCCTTCGATCTCGAGCAACCACATCGCGAAAAGATGGCAACAGTCGCAGCTCCCGCGACGCCTCAACGGCCGCCGGTACCAGGACAATGGAACACCCCAGGCGCTGGATACCAGAGCATCTTCGGTCCACAAGCTGCCTCTTTGCGACAGACCACGCAGCAAGCACCGGCGTCCACGACGGGCACAGCGACTACAAGTCAAGTGGACTCGCCGATTCAGGTAGCCGCCAAGACCATCAACAGCGCGTTAGAGATGGAGCAGCGCTTCCCAGAGATGGAGTCGTACATCACACAGGGCATCAGTGGAGAATACGAACTACCCTCGAGTCCTGCATGGCTACCTTTTCAGAAGCTTAAGATGCATGATCTGCCGCCCAAGTTACTCGAACAGGCCAACTACAGCGGGATGGGCATGATGATGGGCATTTTCCCGCCTGTCAAGCACGCGTGGGTTGCGCTGGACAACTGCTTATACCTGTGGGACTACACGCTCCCAAATCCAGAGATCATTGGCTTCGAGGAGCTAACACAACCCATCACTGCTGTCAAGCTGGTACCGCCCAAGCCTGGTGTCTTTATTTCAGACATCAGGCATATGATTGTCATTTGCACCGCGAACGACATGTCCTTGCTAGGTGTGGCAGCACAAATCACTTCGACAGGCGCTCAGACCATTGCTCTCTATAACACACGCATGTCGATACCAATCAAGGGAGTTGGCGTGGGTTATATCGAAGCTTCTAGGAAGACCGGGCGTATATTCTTCACAGGCAGCCTTTCGGATGACATTTTCGAGTTCCAGTATCAACAAGAAGAAGGATGGTTCCGAGGAAAATGCAGTCGGATAAATCACACCAAGAACAGCATGAACTTCGTCTCCGAGAACATCCATGCCGTGGGCAAGTACTTTGGCCCGCAGCCGCCCACGAGAAAGCAACTGCGCCAGCTGGTCATCGACGACACCCGGAACATCATGTACTCCTTGAGTACGACCAGCGAAATCAAAGTCTGGCTCATCAAGGAACGTTTGGAGCAGTCACTGACGCGGCCTTTGTCTTCCCTCCTCCAGGGCACCGGGCACTTCAGCAGCCGGACAGAGCTCCTCACCGCGAGAGAGGTCCGTCTGGTCTCGATCAGTGCGTTACCAGCTGCGGAAGCTCGCAAGATCAGTCTTATGGCCACCACGAACACTGGCTGCCGACTGTATCTCTCTCTCACCCGTGGCTATGGATATCAGGTTGACGCACAAAATGCGCCTTCGAGCATGCAGATTCTGCACATTCGATACCCTCCAAAGGACCCCAACGCAACGACGACTACAGCTCAGCAGAATCAGACTGCGCTCACTGCTTACAACCAACCCACCAGCCAGGTCGACACGAATTCGGATTACCTGAAGCCTACAACAATGGCATACAGATTTTCTCCTGGATACTGGATGGCTTTTCAGCCGCATCCAAGTGACCCAGACACCAAGGACAGAGTCTTTTGCTCTGCAACCGACATGGCACGGCTACAGAATACAAGCGACAACACCCCGTTGACTTCGAAGTTCTCCGAATTTGGCCAATGGATCGATTTGCCCTCGGAAATGCAGCAGGTCCAGAGCATGACAGGAGACTTTGGCGCAACAGGCGATCCCACTGGCTTTGGTAACGAACTTGCTGCGCAATACGACACTGCTGCCTCTGAGTTCGCGATTGTTACAACCACAGGTGTGCAGACTATTCGACGAAGAAGATTAGTAGACATCTTCGCAGGAATGATGAAGTATGGCTCATCAGATGACGAGGGCCTTGAGGGCGACATCAAGAAGTTCATCCGCATTTATGGCCGCGCAGAAACAGCGGCCACGGCTTTAGCTGTAGCCTGTGGTCAAGGTATGGATGTTGCTGAGAGCCGCGTTGCCAACGTCACAGATCCGGAAGTTCTCGAGAAGGCACGTCGAGCGTTTATCGAGCACGGCGGCAAGCCTGACTACAACACGAATGCCGTAGTCGGCAATAATGGCGATCCTGTCCAGAACGTACGCGCGAGTCCACGCCACGATGGCATGGCGCTCTACATCTCAAGGCTTGTACGATCGATCTGGAAGGTGCGGATTATCAAAGATTCTGCTCGGCCTGGTGCTGCCTCGCAATTAGAGTCCGCCATTCCAGTGGCAAGATTGCGCTCCATACAGCGAGACCTCACCGCATTGAAAGACTTTCTCGACCGAAATAAAAGCTTCATCGAAGGCTTAGCTGGTCCGCGCGCGCTCAGCAAGGCCAACACGGTGCAAGAAGAGCGCGCACTTCAAGGCGAGCACAAGTATATGTATAGCCTTCTGCAGCTTATAAACAGCATCAGCGAGGGGATAAGCTTCGTGCTTACGCTGTTCGACGAGACGCTCGAAGAGATTCTAGCTCTTCTTCCCGAAGATAGCAGGAATCGCACGAAAGAGCTCACTTTCGAGAATCTTTTCTGTTCTCCTGGGGGACGCGACCTTGCCAAAGAGCTTGTCAAGGCGATCGTCAACCGAAATATTGCAAATGGAAGCAATGTGGACACTGTAGCTGAGGCACTGCGCCGAAAGTGTGGCAGCTTCTGTAGTTCCGATGACGTGGTCATCTTCAAGGCTCAGGAGCAGGTCAAGCGAGCCTCAGAGACCGGTTCCGAAACTGAAGGCGGTCGGGTGCTCCTGAACGAGAGTGCGCGCCTGTTCCAAAAAGTTGCAGCCAGCCTGACCCACGAGAACCTCGAATCTGCTGTCCAAAGCTATGTGGCCATGGCTTTCTACGCGGGCGCTATACAAATATGTCTCACCGTTGCTTTGGAGAAGGACAAATCGAAGCGGGCACTAGCCTGGATGAAGGAGGGAAAGCCTGCTGATGACGAGCGGGAGAAGGCATTCCAGAGTCGCCAGCAGTGCTACGAGTTGATCTTCTACACCATCGCGGAACTTGAGAAAGCTACTGCAAACGTACCTGATGTTCTGGACGGCAAGTCCACGCTGGAGACGAAGAGACGCAACGAGGCATATGATCTCATCAACAACTCCGACGATGTTGTATTCCTGACATGCTTGTACGATTGGTACGTCCAGGCAGACGAGGCAGACCGGCTTTTGGAGATTGAAAACCACTATGTGGTGGAATATCTGAAGATCCGCTCAGATAGCAGCAGGACGCATGCTGATCTACTCTGGCGATACTACGCGCACCATCATGACTATTTACAAGCGGCAGAAGTGCAACTCTTGATAGCGACATCCAACTTCGACAATCTCCCTCTGGAGAAGCGCATTGAGTACCTCTCGCGAGCGCGGACGAATGCAAGCACAAGGCAGACTGTTATCACCGACTCGCGCCAGACCAAGCAGGCAATTCTGCGTCAAGTCTCCGACCTTCTCGAGCTTGGTATCATCCAAGACGAGTTGAAAGATCAGATAGGGAATGACACGCGTGCAACCCCGCAGAGACGTGCAGAAATCATTTCCGAGCTCAACGACAAGATCCTGTCCATAGACCTGCTCTTCCATCGATATGCTCAGAGCGCGGAATATTGGGACAAAGTCCTGCTGATCTACCAGGCTGCGGACCATCGCAATCCAGCCGATGTTCGGGTGGCATGGACATGTCTGATTCAAGACGAGGCTTTCCTCGCGCCTGCGAAGTACGCGAACAGCACCCGGTGGGAGGCTGTGGGCAGTGAGGTCACAGCTGTGGGTAAACGGGTCAAAGACTCACCTGCCATCTTCCCCATTCATCTGATCTTGCCTCTGCTGGAGAACTTTGCTCACGACCTACCTCGAGGAGAACAACCGCCGGAGAATTGGGCCGTAGACCTCTTACTCGCTCTAGACATTCCGCATGAGGCGCTTCTGCCCGTGCTGGAGCAGATCTACTACAGCAATGAGCACCCGTTCGTCGGATCGAAGCGGAGACTGATTGCGGCAAAGATGGTTTACTTGCTCAATCACTGGTTTACTGCAAGCGACCGCAACGGCGACCGGGTGCTGTTTGGGAGTGAAGAGAACTTGGAAATGGTGCAGGAGTGCTTGAAGGGTCTGCAGAGAGGCGAGATGGATGCCGTGTCGAGACAGGCGGCAGATGGGCTGATTGCGAGCATTGCGCAGGCAATGAGATGATTGATCTTGAGAAGAGTAGGGGCCGTTGGACGCCAAAGCCAGAGTTTTGTCGTGTACGTGTAGTGGCCTCATTTAGCGATGGCGTTTCTGATGTGTGTGTTGGTTTCTTGTGCCCGTGGCCGGAAGACCTGCTCGTCGTCGGTCTGGGTACGAAGGGGTTTGCTCGGATTGAACAAGTTGGACTTTGCTTTGTTCGACCTTCGCGAAACTCGTATGATCTATTCTCACGCCATGCCATCGGTCATGACGGATTTCATCATGGTCCTGGTCAATTTCGCTCACCATTCTCCCGTGCCGAAGCTCGCTCGTATGTATCACCTTATCTAAGCTAATAAGCGACTAGGAGGAGGAAGCGGACTCCCCCAAGACATTTTTTCTTGATTGATTGATGATCAACAACAAAGCTACAAAAAAAGACGGAGACCGGTTCGTGATGGTGAAGATGTGAATACCGTATGATGGATGATGAGATAGCCAGTCATCTTAGTGCGCTTGCCCTGTGGGAGGGAAAAACTATTTTTACCCCAATATAGCGTGTGTTTCTGTGTATAGTAGCTATACGAGGTGACAATGGCGCTTGTCGCCGGACGGAGGCATTCGCCCGATGCGCCGTCGCGTGGGATGTGGTAAGAATAATCATGATGTGAAGGCGCCAGGTGCGGTCTATTGCCTAGCCTAGGTATCTAGCAGACACGATGTACGTTCTTTCTGTCTGCGTTATTTGTCGGCTTATCTCCTCCCTCTTCTTCTTTCTGGAGTATCGCCGACGCAAAGAAGTACCGACCGGGTTCTCTGATGCGGGAAATTGCTCTGATTTCCTTTTCCTGCAGATCGTCTGCTCGTATTCGAGGTGGCAACCGGTCCGATGCCCGGATCATGAGGCCCGTCGTAGTGTTGTTGAAAAGTGAGGCTATATGCGGCAGAACGTCACTTGAGCCTCCTGGAGGCGGGCATGGGGTAGGTTGCTAAGCATTTGGGGCTTCCGCAGGGAGCCGGAATCGCACTGGTGTCAGCAGCATCACTGGTTGGTGTCAGTTCAAGATCTCAAAGGGCTGAAGGAAGAGAGGGAGGAGGGGAAGGGTATAAGATCCTTCGTGATCCTTCTCTAGCAGTTCTCTCCATCCTCATCCCCAACAACCAACCAATCAATCAACCAACTACACTTCCCTCCAACCACCACCAACAACAACATCATCAAGATGAAGTCCTTCTTCGCTGTCGCTCTCGCCGCCGCCGGCTCTGCCGCCGCCGCCCCAGCTGCCTGCGCCGCTTCAGCCCCAAGCCCCGTCCCAGTCGCAGCCCCATTGCACTTCGGCGGCCTGTCCCTCCGCTCCGCCAGCCCCATCCACTTCGCCAACATCAACGCCAACGGCCAGGACTTCTGGATCGGCAAGAACGCCTCCACCTACTGCCCACCGGAATCGTCGGCCTGCGCGACCGTCAACAACAGCACCACCATCTTCTCCTACCTGAACGGAACGCTCAGCCTCGACACCCTCGTCCCCGGCGGCCAGCAGGTCTACGTCACTGCCGGCAACACGACTGCCGGTCAGCTCGCCGGTCTGCTCAAGTTCACCCAGGCTCACAGCACCAGCACCTTCGGCCCGGCTCTGTACGATGGATTCTCCGTCACCTACGAGGGCAGCATTGCCAAGCTGCAGTTCGAAGGCAAGGACTGGTTCGCTTGCCCTGTTGACAAGTTCAACACTGGCTACGGCATCGTGGCTATCAGCCGTACCACGGGCTCCAACGCTGGTGCTGGATGCCTCTCCTTCACCTTCGACGTTGTTCAGGTGAACTCCAGCTACCCAGCTGCCTGGCAGTACCAGTAAGCGCAGGGTCCCGGAGACTCCGTGTGAGGAGAGAAAGGGAAAGCGCGTACGGTATGAGCGTGTTTTGGTTCTTGCATAGCGGGGAAAGTTTGCACTGCATTGCATTGGCATGTAAAGGGAAAAAGTCGTATTACCTATTCCATAGACCACTTCGAGAGAAGAATGAGTATAATGAGATGTTACTTGCCTTTTACCTACCCATGAACTTTTGCTGAGTATCTTCAACCCAAGCAAGAGCTTACGCCCTCACCCAAAGTCGGCAAGCATTCAAAGGTCCAGGTGAGGTCGAAGAATCGTTCCACTAGCACGGCGCATATCGATGAGTCTAGAGGAGAGTCTGCGTCAAAGGGTTAGTATGAGGACTGGTACGGGAGCCTATCGCTCGAGAGAGATGAGAAAAGCGTCTTACCGGCCGAGCAGGTCTCACGAACTTGCTACGTCGAGACGTAGGATCGAGATAGCGCTGCGAGCAATGTCAGCTTGAACGTCTTGCACCTACCTTCTGGCTGGCCGCAACAGGTGCTCCCGAGGCATCTTGTGGGAGACTGTGTATGACTGCACTCATGTCAATCGCTTCAAGGATCTCGTATCGCTTTCCCCGGCCGTGCCCATACCTCCATGTGAAGAGCGGTGAGCATTCAAGCAGCCGGCGCAGCTATAAGGTGTGGTCCTGCCCTTCTTATGGCATCTTAGGGCACGATGTGGCATGCAACGGTTGGGCAGATGTCGTCAGATCATGCTCAAGCGATAAGCAGCCACGCGTTCCACGAATCCATGGCTTGGGCGCCATGGCTTGCATGACGGAGGATTGTAACCAGAGCGCTGGCTCGCCAGTTGTTACTTGTGCTACTCCTCCTCTTATACCTCCAGCTTGGCGAGGCATCGGGTGGAGGGCGGTGAGCTCTTCCATATTGATATGCAGGGATCGGAATAGGATAAGAATTGCGGGCAGGAGTTCTGGTAGACATCAGCTTCTGGAAGCTGATGTAGGGTGCCTTATCTGCAATGCCGACCGAAGGGCGCGCGTCTGTGTGACGATGTATCCGAGGTTCAGGCGGAAGATCTGGAACCAACCCTTTTCTCCTGCGGTAGATGATGAGTATAGCTTGCCGAACGCTTTCGAAAAGCTGTGTCCTCCGCGGCCGCGACAAGTTCAGATCAGCTACCAGGATGCCGCGGTCCAGAGCGTCGGGTCCGGAGCAACGTGCACGAGCGGCAATGCACTTACACGAGCATTGGTGTCGTCTGTGTGCTCTCACAGCTCTTTCTGAAATTTGCTCTGAGGCCTGTGGTGGCACAGATGACGACGCCCAGCTGCCGGTGTGTGCTGGCTTATTCTGTGTATCCTCTCTGTCCAGCTGCAGATGTTGCCGAGGCTGGTGGATGCACGTGGCCAATTCTAGCGGCCGTTGAGACACGCTTGAGTGGCAACCGTTTTCGCAATCGCCAGAACGCCATGTTTTCGGCAGGGCTGCAAGCATCTGCATGCCTTCACCTACGCGAAATCAAAATGGAGATTCCTGATACCAGAATCATCGGGACGTTGGGGGCCCGCCAGGCGATCCGACGCAAATGGCTTCGCGTCTTCCGACGAGGTCCAATTTTGCTGTTTCCAATACAAAGGAAGACAGGCTCGCTTCTGCAGCTTTGACGGTGATCCGAGGCTCCGCGCTGTGATGTAACCTCAGAGAAGTCGGATCTGTGGAGAACAGCTATATCTCGCGACTGTCGGTGCGAATCAGGGTCGACTGAGGCGTCTCGGTTCAGCAGAGCCCGGTGAAAAAAATGCTCGCTGACCAGGGTACGAACGCGGGCGTTACAAGGATGATCCTGACTTCCATCAGCTTATTCCGCGGTGGGAGGTGGGACGTTGACATGTCAATCATCCACCGTGCTGCTGCGAGATCGAGACGCCAGTGGATACAGCAGAGTGCGGCAGCTAGTCAAATCTATGACGAAAGCTGGCAGATCAAGACTCTCGCGCATTGTTTGGTCCTCGGTCTCCGTGTTATATGTGTGTATGCTTGCTTGAAATTAGGTGAAGAGCGATCGGATAAGCTCAGACCCGGGGCCACGTCGACGGGTTCAGAGCGATGCAGCATTTGTGTACCGGATGCCGGGATCCACAGGTTGACGGCATCTTGAACGAACCAAGACGCTAATCTAGCCCTTGTGCAAGTAGCCCCTCCTGACTTTGTCTCGTCCGGAGCTGATGTCGCAAGTGCATGCAGCAAAGCCAAGCGGCGTGAGCCCGAGGCCAATAGCTGAACCGCCTGCGGACGGCCATGCAATGATGCTGTGAACGCCAACATATAGATATGCGCACCCTGGCATGCCATTTCACTGTCGAGCGGGGTGACGACTGGCCACGAAGTCAGCACAAGGTTAGAGCTGCCCAAGTGTGAAGCATCCGATCCGATGCGGTGGGTAGGATGCAGATGTGGCTGTTTGGCTTCCCGCTCACTGCACAAGCGCACGGGAAACCCATTGCGATGGTGCTGGCTCTTGACAACCTGAAGCTTCCCGATAATTTAGTGTGTGGGCATTCTGAGCTGGCCAGGGAAAGACTTTGCGCTTGCCGCTTTCTGCGATGCCGATGCGTCCCACGCGGCGTGCCAACCTTGCCCGTCTGCCACTGCATTCTGCTCCGGTGGTGCAATGTACTGCATTCGCAATAATCTGGCGGTGCGCGGGCCGGCCTATCTGATACGGCGACGGCTTCCACTTTCCCTTTAGTCGCAGGATGCTTGCCCTTTGAAGCTTCTAGGGCACCATCAGTGCGGTCAAGCGGACCGGTCTCAAGCCTGCTGGCATAGTTCTCAACTAGCCGCGGTTTAGGATGTTTTGCCTGTCGCTGTGCCTACCATGGGTATGGACTGAAAGCGAACAAAGTATATCGGCAGTCGTCGCCTCGTTTCCCTTTCGACTTGCGATATTGGTACTTCCTGGCCATAGCTGGAACCCTCCATCATCCAAGCAGTCCACAGTCGGTTGTGTAAGGATACCATATGCGCTCGTGAGCCGCACTCAGGTGGCATTGAGTAGCACCTCCACCGGACGGGACCAGCTGATGTGTCATCACAGAATGTCTAGTGCTCCGCAACCACGAGACAATAGGCTGTACACCTTTGAAGGCCGGAATTTTTCACAGTTCGGCTTGCAGAACAACATCCATTGTCTACCAATCGATGAGGTCAGTTCATGATGATCTCGGAGCAGACGACTCTATCCCAAGATGATTGCCGTAATCTGACGCGGACCACTGGCAGTCAGAGGAAAGGAATTACGACCAGGTCAATGCGCTGTTCAACGAGCTCTTGGGGCGTGCAATACTCCCACCCGCGCGCCTCAACACACTGGATGATGCCTGGGTCCTTGATTGCGGTTTTGGCAAGGCTGCGTGGATAGACACAGTCGCGAACCAGCACGATAAAGCTACCGTAAGTCCGCAATCGCTCACCTGAGCCCGTCCCGTGGCACGGATTCTTAGAAGCACGCACGATGTCCACGCCTCGTTTGCGCAGCTGACATGGTCTGCAGATCGTTGGTGTCGACATCTTCACCGGCAACGGCGATGGAGGTGACACGGATAGCGAGGACGAAAGCGATGGGCCGGACAACTGGATTCGAAAGAGATGGAACCTGAATGCGTCCTTCAAGACGAGCGGAGACATGCACCTCAGGCCAGATACGTTTAATCTCATCAACAGTCGATTTCTGGCAGACGGTATAAACGCAGATCGATGGGAGTCGTACATCAAGGAGCTCAAGGCCATGCTAGAGCCTGGTGGCTGGTTGCAGATGGTAGAGGTGTCCATGTGTTTCCAATCTGACTCTGGCCTCCTTTGTGCCGACAACAGTTTTCTCGCTCGCTGGTGGCAGTGGTACCGGGCGGCTTTGATTGCAATGAATAAGCATCCCGCAGTTGGACAGGAACTTGGAAGCAGAATGCGAGATGCTGGATTCGAGAGAATCCAGGCTGATATGCACCGACTGCCGATTGGTGACTGGATGGCGGGTAAGGCCATGGTGTCCTCTAAGGCGGCCAGACATGGAAGGTAACTGACATGTTTTCGCAGGCAAAAAGGACCTTGGGAATACGGCTCTTGAGCTAGTAAGCGAGATGATCAGGTCCGCGTCCTTGTGGCCTTTCCTACGCATCGTGAGGCCCGCGATGCAACGCAACGATTATGCCGTACTCATGCGTGGAGCTCGAGCCCAGCTGAGACAACCTGACCTGAAGCTTTATCTGAGAGTGTCAGTATTTCCCCAACGCAATAGCAAGAGATGATTCTGATCCAACCCTAGTTATTCCGCATACGGCAGGAGGCCAGTGAGGCGGTAGAGCGGCCCCACCCAGCCAGTAGCAAATGTGTCGCGTTCAAGCTCCATCGCCCAGGGACGGGTCGTGGAGTTGGGCGATTCAAAGACGATCCGGAGACAAGTCGGCGTGTATTCCCTTGCCGCCTCTTCCTAGAGCAGCAGGAGCCCTGCTGCCTCCCGTCGGCGCCTTCGACTGTTTCCCAACAGTCCTGATTGAGCCGTGGTTGACTTTCAGCTGCACGAAGTCGCGACGCGGATGCAAGTTCCAGCTCTCCATGACACACAAGAGGTCAATCGGGGTGCGAGTCGCGAGCGGTGCGCCTCCAGCGAGGGCTGAGATGTTCGGGAGGTGCATCTCCGACCCCCCAACCGCAATGTATCCCGACAAGAAGAAGAAGACACGGTCCATGCCTTCTTCAAGAGCGTCGTCGATGCGGGAAGGGGCGTTCGGAAGGTCAGGTCTCGGGCAAGCAGCAGGGCAGGGCGGTTCCATGGCAATGATCTGGTCGGGGAGGCCCGGTAGTAGTATGTCGGATGTAAGGTAGTGAGGGGAGATGGAGGAGAGAAGAAGGGAAACAGGATGAGGTGCGCGTGATGTTGTTATAAGCTCGCCGGTCGCCCCTAACCGCATCAGTGCGTGTCCCAGCCGAATGGTTCGCTGAAGCAGAACCATAGAACAACGAAAGCTTGTCTGCCCTCGTGCCTTCCCTCTCGAATGGATCTTCGACGGACCACGCACGGGCGAATTCCCCCTCCCAACTGGTCGCCTTGCTGAGCACTTCCGGCTTGTTGCAGAGACGCTGGCAGCGACGCTTGCAGAGATGCTCGCACCAATACCTCGCAGACAGATGTTCGCGAAGATGCCCGCACCGGTGCGCTCAGGAAGGGTCCAGTCGAGAGCCCTCACGTCTTCCACGAGGCGCGGAGAAGACGCGTGCGCGCGCGTGAGGGACGGAAAGCTTTTTCTTTTTCACACTGTTGTCTGGCACTTGCCCCGGAACGGCCATCTGCCCTAGGCTGCCTTGCACGCGCAGAGCCATGAGCCCCGCAGAGCATCACGGCCACTCTCCAGCTGTCGCTCCCGTCCCATTGGCACCTCGGGCTTGCATCCGATTCGCAGGCCTCCTCCCATTGGCAGGCGTCGGGTGCGTTCGGGGAGCTGGCGGCCCCGCTCGAGCGCATGAATGTTCGGGCACGTTACCTGCGCGACTGGGCTACCTTATTACCTTGCTGTCGGGTCCTTGCTTGCAACATTGTCACGGTGCATGTACCCGAAGGATCTTGATGATACTGTACTTCTCACCTGGAGACTATCTACATGAGCCGTCATCGTCCGTCGTGGAGCTGCAAGAAGTTGTTCTCGAAGGACCTCTTCCACACCACTGACAACACCCAGCATGCATGCACGGCCTGAGGCGGCCGAGATGAGCAATCTCTCACGTCTCAACGCGGCGCCCAGCGCAGTGCAGGTGGTTCGGTACCTGTACCCTTGTTCAATAACCTTGTTCAATTGCCACCCACTCGAGTCGCCAAACACCCGATCGACGGAGGATGCACGATGCCATGTACCGAAGAATACGCCACGACAGACTGACATTCACCCTCTCGGCTGCTCCTGCTTCCCCTCCCTACTGCACCAAACCAATCGTCAAGAAACTTGCATCCTTCTCCACTCTGCCCTTCAACTCCACCAGCTCATCAACATCCCAAGCAGCCCACACGAACTTGCCATGCAAGAAGTCACTCTCAGGTGAAGCAAGCCAAACAGCGAAATGCCCCGGGAGTCGAATGTCCTCCCACTTGAGAGCATCCTCCGTCATGCCCAGCTTCCGCACAGTTGGGGTATACAGTGCTCCTGGGTGGTAGCTGAACATACGCACGCTGTCTTTCTGCGGCGTAATCTGCGAGGCGAGTTGCGTGATCATCTGCGTGAAAGCGGCTTTGGAAGGACCATACCCCGTCTGGCCTGGAATGGTCATGTGTGATGAGCATGAGGACACGTTGATGACAGTCTTGGAGCCGGCTGCTGGACTTGGCTGCCCAAGGTAGTGTCGAAGGATATGGTAGTTGGCGTTCACGTTGGTGAGAACGGTGTCGAGCACTTCAGATGAGGGCAGGTCAAGCGCGGGCAAGAAGGGGTGAGACGCCGCCGCAGAGAGGACGAGTACGTCTGGGAGCTTGTCAGCCAACCATTGCAGATCATGGCCGCCCGCTATCCTCACCAACAGGGCCAAATTCATCCTGGATCTCCACCATGCGACCGTAATCGGTCATGCTGGCCTGGCAGAGCACAACCTCCACATTGGGAAACTTCGCTCCCAATTCCTCCTTTGCCTCTGCTTGGGGGCCCGGACTTCGGGAGACAATAATGATCTTGAAAACTCCAGCCTCCGCGAAGGACTGCGCGATGGAGAATCCAATGCCGGTAGCTCCGCCGGTGATCAGGACCACTTTGTCCTTGCCATCGAACTTGGTCTTGGCGGGAGCAATGCGATCATAAGTCTCGGAGTGATAGGTCTTCACAGGTCTTGGCAAGTCCTCCAATCTGGAAGCCTCTGGCGGAACCTCGGTAGACATTTTTCGATGAATGCTGATTTGCAAAATACCTGTCTTGCTGGTTGTGTTGGAGGAACACTGGCACGAGAACAGCTTTTATAGAGGTGCTTCTGGACGCGAATCCTGCGAGTTTCAGCTCCGCACGTAGACGATTTGTAATCCTTGGATTACAAAATCGCCAGATTACTACAGCATCTCTCGAAGACAACGCCGTCTGCGGCATGGAATGATGCTCGTGCGAGCTGCTCAGAGAGCTGCGTCCAACAGGAATGCCCTTTGGAGTGTGGTGTACGCAACCACGATCCTTGAGCATGTCAAGCAGCCGTTGATGCCTAGAGAGGAGCATGCGAAGCGAACACACACTACGCTCTCAGCTGAGGAGTCTCAAACCTCGAAGATATGTATGTTAGCAGGCTGCATGATGCATGTATATTACTCGCGTGAAAGCTGCTTGATCAGTGAGTGGTACAGGAGCAAACGCGTCGCAGTAGCCTCCAAACCTCGCTTGGGGAAACGAGCATGCGTGACAGCCTGCTAAGCGCCCTTTCACGCCTGCTACGACTGCAAGAACCGTCCAGATTGAGGGACGAGAAGAGTCATGATTTCGAGGGCAACGTGGTACTGTGAAGGAGTCAGATGGGAAGGCAGACAGCGTGTTTCTGGGCGCGCGCTGATTGGTCAACGCGTATCTCGGAGCGATCTTGACTAGGGATCGGCCGGGATAGATGATGATGGCACACCCCTCGTGTCCGAGATCATCTGCTTTCCAGTCTTCCACGTTGCTTCTAGATTGTTGCCAAGTTGCTGTAGATTTAGATCCCTCCGTCGCGATACCAGTCCCTTCTAGCCATCAGAAACAGAGGGGATCATTCAGAGATATGGCGATCCACCGACGGCTCTGCGGTATGCCGACCTCGGAAGTGCCACCACCAGCAACATCAGCGGAACGCGTTGAAGCATGGACAGTCTCTCAGGCAGCCGAAGTCTTGAGCGCAACATTGCTCTCAGATCCTTCTCCGCGTTCTGCGCGCGGAACTACGGTGACAATCGATATCCCCCTCGACGACGCGAACGACGAGCCTCCTCCCAAACCCCGACCGGAAGCAGTTCATACCGTGTACAAGCGACGAGAACCGATCCGAAGGGATAGCTTGAAGCGAAGGGAAGCCTTGCTCAAAGGCAAGGAAGGGAGCAGACAGCGACGAAGGTGGGAGAACGACCGTCTTCTGAACAACCCTTACGCCGAACCTCCCCTCCCGAGCGACTGGCAAGTCGGGCCCACGTATCCTGTCCATCGCGTGCCCTACATGGTCCTACCCCTCTGGGATGCCGAATACGCCCGATCGCAAAAGGAACGCCAAAAACGCGCCGAAGCCGCACGAGTGCCTGCTTCCAAGGAAGAGGCGGAAGCCGCCAAGGTGAAGCAGGAATTGAAGACCAAGTTGAAACGCTCGAAAGGCGCCAAGGGACTGCTTCAAGATCTGGAAGAAGAGGTGCGCGGCTTCGTGCGAGAATGGGAAGTGAAAGAGCAGGAAATGCAGCGCGAAGGCCTCATAGAAGCGGACAGCGAGGACGAGGAAATCGTCTTCGTGGGCAGGAACGGCGCCATGAGCGACGAGCGAAGACGGGAGAAGGAAGATAAGACTCTGGAAAAGGACAGGCTGGTGTACCAGAGCTTGCTCGACGATCATGGTGCCGGCTTTTCTCGATACCTCGTTCATTGCATCGCGCAATATGTAAGTGGTTTCTCTTTTGCCGTTTTTGCGCGTGAAATTGCATCACCCTGACAGACCTATCAGTACGGTTTGCAGACTTGGTCCGTCACGACGGGCAATCCCGCTACGCGATGCGCATACGTGGGCCTCAAGATCGATCCGAAGACGCGGCGTCCCAGCTTGACGCGGAGCGAGATGCCTCAGCCTCTGTATGCGATTGTATGAGCACAATCCCATGAGATCGTCAATTCGACGAACGGACTCTTGTGTTGAGTTGCTATGCAACGGTATTACATTCAACAGGTGAACATGTGGCTTTTTGATTCAAGGCTGAAGTATGTAAGGTAGTACAACTAGGCAGCTGTAGGGTTTAAGGTTTCTTAGGCAGGTACATGTGTATGTGCTGCGCGCCACCCCTTCATCTTTCATGAAGACGCACGGAAGGCTCTAATACAGAGTCCCTTTCCTTGCCAAGATTCGCAAGATGAGCATCCATAGTTCTGACTGCCTTTGGATTCTATCAGCGAAACTGACGGTAGCGGCCGAAGATCAAAGAGCGACTCCGATCACCCTGGCATTCAACCTCTGTGTGCGCCTTGGGACATTGCCTCTTCGAATTCAAAGTCGGGCTGCATTTCCCAGTACAGCGTTTCCGGGTCGCTGGCGTTCTCGTACGTATACCTGGCCGCCTCGTCCGGGGCGTAGACTTTGGGAATCCCATTCGCAGCCGCGGCTTCGACCTGCAACTGCACCTCGCAGCTGCGCTCCATGAGCGTGTACAGGTACGCCGCTTCATCGACCGTCGATCCCACCGTCAGCAGGCCATGGTTACGGAGGATCATGCCCTTGCCGTTCGGTCCGAGTGCCTGTGCCAGCCGCTGGCCTTCTTCCTCGGTGAAGACGACGCCGCCGAAATCCTAACGACAATCCCATCAGCATCAGCATTCGAAACGACCCTGCTGCTGATGAGCTCGTCCTTTGCCTGCCTGCAGCACTCACCTCATACACCGCCTGCGCCTCCCCATAAAAATACGTAACGTCCTGGTTCAACATCTCCAACGGCCTCGCAAACGCGCTCCACGCTTTGCCAGCGGGGCTATGCGTATGACACGCCGCCACCACATCCGGCCGCGCCTTGTGCACCGCGCTGTGGATCAGAAACCCCGCCGCGTTCGCCGGCCGACTCCTATTCCCCCCGATCGCGTTGCCGTCGTAGTCGACCAGAATCATATCGCTGGCTTTCAGCAGGCCGAAGTGCCGGCCGAGCGGGTTCGTCCAGAACGTGTGCGGGTTCTCCGGGTCGCGCACGGAGATGTGCCCGGCCATGCCCTCGCAGTAGCCTTTGCGGGCGAAGACGCGGAAGGCGAGCGCCATGTGCTCGAGCGTCCATTGCCGGTGTGCGGCGAAGGAGACGAAGGTGGGGATTCCCGGGAGGCAGGTTCCTTGGGAGATGAGTTCGAGGGGCGATTTCTTCTTTTCAGTCTGTCGTTCTTCTTTTCCTTCTTCTTCTTTCTTCTGTACCGTGGCTTTGGTCTGGATCGGGACTATTTCGTTCTCGCGCGTCGTGGTCGCAGAGGGCGCCATAGTCTTTCTCTTTCCAATTTCTTCGAGTTGTGCTGATTGCCTTTCTACCGAATCGTCTGAATGTAGTAGAATGATATGATATGATGTTGGTTTGAGAAGAATCTACAAAGAACATCGATGGCGGAGAGCTTCTTTTGGTTATCATACGCCCTGTGGTTACTACATCGAGGCAGCTATAGGCGAGTGACGGGGAGGAAACTTGCCTAGGGAGCTTGGCCGATTGCCGAGATCCAAATTCCACCGCGAGTCTACCTACTCCTGCTGTCATTCGCCGACCGAAATGGGATCAAAGGTATAATCTACTCGCCTCGTCTCTCTCTGTCTCTCTGTCTCTCTCTCTCTCCCGACATCTCGATCATTGATTGGTAAGTGCAAGGCACAAAACATTCACCCGCTCCTTCCAGCTCGGGAAAGGTCACCTGCGCGCGGGCGGCTCTAGCTCTAGCGGACTTTGGAGGGGTCGTACTTTTTCCCCTTTTCCTATTATTGCTCAACTCTCTGTGCTGAATCATCAAACACGAGCAACGCATCCCAAGGCAGCTCAGCTTAGCAAAGCAGCGATCTATAAGAATCTAATAGGTGCCTTGCCTTGCCTTGCCTGATGAAGAAAGAAAGAAAGAAAGAAAGAAAGAAGCCGCCTATGCCTATGCCTATGCCTATGCCTATGCCTATCCCTATCCTTATCCCTATCCCTCGCACGCAACGATCCAGGTTTCCGAGGGGGCCGGATCGGATGAGATGAGATGAGATGAGATGAGATGAGATGAGATGAGATGAGATGAGATGAGATGAGATGAGATGAGGAAAAGTCCTTCCTCATCACCATTGTAGAAACGAAAGACATATCTCTTCAAATTTTCCATGCCATCTCGTCGACGACGACAAACGACAATTCCTCTTCGTCCCACTCCTCCATTCCTATGATACCCGACCTGGGAGAGTAAGAAGGAAACGGTAAATAAAACAATGTCCTTGTCTCACGGACCGCGGACCCGACATGCCGGCCCACCTGAATCATCGGAAAAAAAAAAATCAAAAAAAATTCCAGTGTCACGGAGTGAGACTCATACGCTAAGAAGCGAGACACAAAATTGACACAAAGTGGGGACAGAACAAGCGGGAGAACCAGAACATTGTGTCCTTTCTTTGTTCTTGTGTATGCGTTTTATTGAAATGCAAAAGACGACAAACAACAAAAACACCTTCGCTAATAAAAAAAGTAAGTTTCGCATCGCTTTCTTTGTCTATTTCGTTTCTCATCCCGTCCCCGTCCCTTCGTACACACACAACACAGGTAAAAGCCCAGAGAAGAATCTTTTTTTTTTTGCAAGTCCGTCGATCGATGATGATCATGAGCCAACCAACCGGTGCTTTGATTTGAGAACTCGTCGTCGCTGATATCCATTTCAAGAGAAGAAACCAATCGAGCGAAACAGAAGTATCTAATCAAAAACCAAACAGGTCGGTTGCTCAAAAAACGATTATCGAAGAAAGAAGTGAAAGAGGTGCACGCACGGTAGCCTAGCTACTGCTGCTGTTGCTGCTGACCAGGTTGACCACCGGGTTGAAGTTCTGCCACGCGCAGTCGGTGGAGATGGCGACCGAGCTGTTGCCCAACGCAATGTTCGCGCCGCCTCGCACGATGGCGACTTCGGGCGTGACTCCCGTGGCGGACACGTACTCCGGGAAAGGCACGTAGCCCATGGCAGGACCGCTGTTGTTGGCGTCGAAGGTCCAGAATTGGTTGGTGCCGACCGACATGGAGATGGTGGAGGCTTCGGAGACGAGTGCCCAGGCGAAGACGGCGTCTTCGGGCAGGTCGTTGTTGCGGATCGTGGTGGAGGCGCCTCCTGTGCAGACGGTGGCCTTGGGGTGGATGCGGTGCCAGAAGATGACCTGGTCCTCCGTGATGGCGGGTGGAGTGCCGTTCTTCCAGTACGAGATGTAGTACTGAGCCATGATGCGCCATGCAGAGTGGTCCTGACCGTAGACGTAGTTGCCCATGTTGCCTAGCTCTACGAAGTCACTCGCCGTCTCGTCCTGAGACGGGAGATCGCGGATGTAGTGAGACTCGCAGAAATCGTTCCAGGTCAAGATCTCGATGATGTCAGGCTGCATTTCATCGTCGTTGGTGATGGACTCGAAGCGCGTGGGGAAGAGCATATCGCTGTACGCCACCCAGGAGTTGAGAGGGTTGCCGTCGTCCATGTCCTTGTATTGCCATGGCGACATGGCTGCCGCTAGTGTCAGCCACTTGTTCACTTTCTTTGGAGAGATCCCTTGCAGGACAACTTACACATGATGTAAGGCCCCGTCCGGCCTGCATTCTTCAGCGCAGACTGGAACGCCTTGTCGGGCGAGGCGGTGATGTTCTGCTCCACATTGAGTGGCCAGGCCTGCCAGTTGAGGTATCCATCGATCGAGGAGTAGTCCGAGATCAGCTGAGAAGCTGCTGCAGCCGGACTGGACTGTCCGGCCATGGAGTATTTGGTCAGGGCGGGCGCGAGAGTGATGGCGTTATTCCAGTACTTCATGTTGGCCTTGAGACCGGCGAAGAATTCGTCACCATATTGGTCCACCATGTCACCACCGTAGGTCGAGACGAGGATGTTGCTGTTCCAGCGGTATGTGGCCGAGCTGCCGGCGTACTTGGTGATCATCTGTTGCATGAAGGTCTGGTTCCAGTAGACATCGCATACGGAGTAGCTCATGTCAAAGGAGTACATGAGCTTGAAGCCGACGCTCTCGGCGGCCTGGAAGGCGTCGTCGATGCGGTCGACGACCCAGCTCTCGTCGCCCGCGCAGTTGGGAGGGATCCAGTTGAGGGCGAAGCCGTCGATGCCCATGTCCTTGGCGGTGGTCATGTCCGTCGTCCATTGGGCCTGGTCGTAGGCGTACGAGTTCTGGAGCATGAAGTGGGCGACGACGCTGGCTGCGGACGCTGTCCGGAGGGCCAGGGCCGAGAGGAGGGCGAGGAGAAGGGTAAGCATGGTGAAGGGGGTTTCTGTCGTTTGGTCTCTTCGTCCTGTTGTTGATCTGTGATGTGAAGATCGCTGCTCGGAGGGAAGGAGTCCGGTGCAGGCGGAGGTCGGAAGGTTGGCGGTATGGGAAGGCAAAGGGTCAAATGAGTGTCTTGATGCTGGACCAAGGGACGGATGCCGTCAGGGGAGCATGTGAAGGGAATGACCGTTGGGGATGATGCAAATGAGTGTGGGGAGGAACAGCGCCAGGCCAGACCTCGTAGAGTGGGTGTAGAGGGTGTGTGCTATGCCACGCCGTGCATACGGGCCAGAAGGAAAGAAAGGGAGGAGGTGGTAGGTGGTAGTCGGGAGAGGAGGTGTCTTGCAAGAGGCGTGGACGTCCGCTGGTACTTAGGTCGCCCAAACGGCGCCACGAGCCCGGGGGGGACCAGAGAAGGGCAGCGCGGGCGGCGGCACGGGCAGGGGGGGGGGGAATCGGATGTCATTCAGCGGGTGGGGCGGGGGGCATCCTGTGCGGCGCCGTCTGAGATTGAGTGAGGGCGAGCGGGCGTGAACAGCAGGCGCCGAGATGCTTGAGATGAGAGATTCGATGCCTGCACACTGTGAGATGGCGCTGCTGCAGTGGATTGGATGCAGTGGATGCAGTGCAGTGTGAATAATGAGAGAGATCAGCGTGGAATGAAAGAATGCAAGGGCCGTGTGGCGGCGGACAGGTATGTCGGATACCGGTGCTGATGATGATGATGATTGTTGTCGGCAGGGATGCAGATGCACATTCATTGCACATTCATTATTGCATTGTTGTTGTTGTTGTTGTTGTTGAAGTGCAGTGCAGTGCAGTGGTTGTGTTTGTGTCTTGTGTTTGTGTTTGGCTCGTGAACGCCTTTCTTTCCAGGTTGCCTTGCGCCTCCTCTCAATCCAGTCTCAATCCCGCCTCAGCCACTCAGCGTCCGCGAACCGCCCGGGAGCGCCCGTCACCCTTCCTGCAGCGAGCCGGGCGTGGGAAATTTCTCCCTGGGGCGCCTCTACCTGAAACCGGTGCGACATCCACTAGCCGCCTCATGCGGAAGCTCATGCGGAAGCGATGCCGCCTGCAGCAGAGACGAGGTTGACGAGCAGACGACCGGGGCGCACCGAAACCGCGCCTGTGCCCCGACCACGGTGTATGGTGCACCACCTCGCCCTTGGCGCATGCCATCTGCCATGATTTGTCCAGAACCTGGGAAACAATAATGCCCATGTGCACGCCGACAGCCAAGATACTGTACCACAGATTCCACGCATCATCAGTGATATCGCCCTACGGCGGCGCCTCCTATATGCAACAGTGGCTTGCTCGACCGTGGTCTCGACCGCTGTCGCCCCTTCGGAATCGAGGCATCTATCTCGCCAGGGTCCGTCTGTACGGTACCGTCTCCCAGCCTACGCGACGCAAGGGGATGCTGCTTCAGAACCGATTGTCGGCGGCAAACAGCATCGATGCCAGACGGTGCCGGATGAATAATCCCGCGAGCCCGCAGGCTGTCTGCATCGCGAGTATCTCCACCGCTAGCCGGTCCTCGCGGAGCGGGCCCCTCCATACCAACCAGAGATTCAGAACCGTCAGATTGCTGCTCTCCGTCACCCTCCCCGTCTCATCCACCCCCACCCGCACCACCTTCACCCGGTGCAGAAGCTTGAGCACCTGACCGACTATCGGATTCAGCGCTTTCTCCTTGGGAAACACCGCGACCGATGGTTCCAGGAGTCCGGTGCGCGCATTGAAACGCGGCAGTCGGTGACGCGGGCACGGGACAATGGCAAACAGCTGTGGCGCCGAGTAGCAGAAGTTGAAGATTTGGGGGATGAACAGCAGCAGCAGCGTCTTGCTGAAGTGGCCGAGAATGCCCACCACGGCAAAGACCATGCCCGCGAAGTAGCAGTACGTGTCTCCGACGAACACCTTGGCCGGGTACCAGTTGTGCTTGAACAGCGCCAGTGAGACGCCGATGAACGGCAGCAGCAGGTAGAGACTGAACAGGTGCGAATCGCCAGCCGGATGCGGCTGGTGTACCAGTGGTGAGAGGTACAGCACGTCGTTGAACGCAATCAGCAGCGCAATGACCAGCGACTGACCAACCTCGATGCCGTTGATGCCGGCCAGGATGTTGATGCTGTTGGGGCAGAAGATGGCAATGGCTGCCATATAGAGGTAATATAGCGCACCAAGGTCGACGATCTCACCCAGGTAGGCACGTAGTGGTAGCGGCACCATAACATGCGTGACGCCAAAGTCGACAAAGTAGAGGCCAAGCATCGGCAGCGCCGCGAACGCGGGAATGAAGAACTTGTGTCGCCATCGCATGTCGAACGAGTCGTCCAGGATGCCCAGGATGATGACGGAGGCCAGGGTGCCGTACGCGAAGCCATAGGAGGCGAGCTGGGCCAGCGGTTAGCTGCGTCGCACCGCAGACGTAGGTAGAGAGGGTCATGTCGCAAACCTTTTCCAGCGGGAAACGGTGGAGGAAACGTCCTGTCTCAATCTGCTGTGCCTCCAGGATGCGCACCCTGTCCCCGGCGCCCGACGTCACCTCGACAATGACGCGCTTGAATGCGAAGGGCAGGAAATTGATGATGGCCAGGAGGTAGACGAGGGCGCACACCAATCCCATGGCCTCTGGTCTGCGGCATGGTGAGCGGCAGTTGAGAGGGAGGTCTCAGGCTTTGTGGGTGCAGCGTACTTACATTTCCGTCGGATTCTTCTTCGACAGGTCCTTTCCCTTGTAGCCTCGCTGCAGAAAGACCTCGCCGGTCCATCGTATCACGGCGTAGGCAAAGGCGAAGGCAATGCCACTGATGGCGAGCGATGCGAACAGCGGCTCTCCATCGCTTCTCCAGGCGTTGACGAGCACGGCGATGCAGACGAGCGACAGCGCGGACAGCGAGGACGTCTCCGCACCGCTGAGAGGTTGCATGTCTGAGGTGCTCTCCGGATCACGTTCCAGTAGTTCTCAGAGATCCATGCAAAAGTTCATCGCAGGAAGACCAACCAGAGCAACGTGTCTCGTCCAAGGTGAGAGAAGCCGCCGCGAGCAGGGGTCTCCCGGTCTTGGCACCTGACGACTTCACGCGACGTCAATAGATGAAGTGGGACATCACACACACACACACACACACACACACACACACAGTCACCAACATCCTTCTTCGCGTGCACCAGCGCGTGTCACAGCGTCAACTTCTGCACATCACAGGCTTCACAGCATGAGGAAGGTGGCTTGCACCTCGACACCACCCCAACCCGTAATCACCGCACCACTCTCGGCAGCAGCGCGATGAGAGCTCCGGTCAGACGTTGATTGCGCATATCCCTCCCTGACCGTGTTTCAACATGGGCACCGATGGATTCCACCGCTTCTCCCACGGCCACCAGGACCTGCTCCTCTCCGTCAGCTACAATTTCTACGGAACGCGCATGGCCTCTGCGTCTGCAGATCACAGGGTCAAAGTCTGGGACCGGAACGAGCAAACCGGGCTTTGGACGGTCACGGATGTATGGACGGCACACGATGCCGAAGTCACGGACGTGAGATGGAATGGTCCGTTCGTGGGCGAGCATCTGGGCACGATCGGCGAAGATGGCCTGGTCAAGGTCTGGCAGGAAGACGTCAGTGAACTGCCCAATTCCGGACGGCGATTCAAGAAGATCTTCCAGCAGGTCACGGCCACCGGTGTTCCGTACATGTGTCTGGACTTCAAGAACATCGGCACGGAAACGTACTTGGCCGTCATCACGCGTGATGGATACCTCACCGTCTGCGAGCCTGAAGACCACGACCAACTCTCCGCTTGGCGCATCATGTGGTCCGACTACCTCTGCAAGACCCCTCCGCGCACAGAGGAAACCGCGTTCAGACTGAGCTGGCACAAGGAGAAAATTCCCGCATGGCCAGCCGTCGTCGCGGGTCTCGATCGCAAATGTCTCAGCTTAGCAGTCGCCATTGGGACCTCGGTCAAGGTCTTCCGCACCGACAAGGAACGTAAATTCTACACCGCAGCCACGCTCGAGGGCGCGCAGAGTCTCGTGCGAGACGTCAGTTGGTCCAACGGCAGCATGCGAGGCTTCGACACCATCGCCACAGCTAGCAAGGACGGCTGCGTGCGCATCTACGAGCTCCATACCCCGGGTGCTTCGTCTCTATCTACCTCCGTCAATGGCTCTCCCACCGAGCACAGCGTCTCACAAGAGCCGTCGCCTTCGACACGACCTGCTCGGTCAGGCATAGGCGCGGGCCTCGCGGGAGGGTCACGCGGCAGGAGAGACGACAATGCCGGGGCACCGGGAGCTGTCAGGCAAGAGGTCAAGCTGGTCGCCGAGCTCGAGGCGCACAGACTCACGCCGTGGCGCGTGTCCTGGTCGCCCAATGCGGACATGCTCCTATCCTCGGGCGACGACGGTGTGACGTGCGTCTGGAAGAGGACAGTAGACGGCAAGTGGCTGGAAGCTGCGGAGATCGATGTAATTGCTGGCTAGTGGCCTTAACGTGGCGAGGAGAGGCTCGTACTGACGCTCCGTGTACCGCATGGGCACCGGTATTATTGGTACATCCACATGATACATGTCTGCTGTACAGCACACCACCGCTTGTGCGCCGCAAACACAAGCCCGTCGAAAACGCCGACCGAAAATCGGTTCATGCTCTTGCCATGTGGCTTTGGTCGCTCCCCGCGTGCTAATTCGCAGAACACAACGCACCGCCCAGTACAATGCCATGCACCATGCAAGGCGACAAGTGTCACTGCTGTATGCTAGAGAAACCACCCAAACGCCATCGAAACCCATACCGTCTATAATCTCCCGGAGTGGAGTTGTCGTCCTCTATCATCGTCTATGCGCATATCTCATGCCTCTATTACTTACTCCAGCTGTTTCTGGAGCTTCGATCTCAATGTGTTGTTCACCACGCCGCCAAAGCCAAAGGCAGGCACGATGCGGCACATGCGAGCAAGACTGCTCTTCAACCAGTCTACGCGTACTTTGCGTAGACGATCGCTGAATGGTGTCCCGCCATTGCGGTTGTATAGGTCCAGTCCGTAGAGGTGGAAAGGGGTGGAGAGGAGCTGAATAGCTGCTGGGGCCAAGAATTGCGCCGTCGACGCGCGACTCACGTACTTTTCCGCAGCTCCTGGGAGCGGGAGAATGGGCGCGACCATGGGCGGGAGGTTGAAGCTGGCGAAGATGGTCATGGAGTCTCGAATGGCGAAGAGGAGGTACGTGGCCGGCGGGACTGGGCGTGCGGAGACGGTGCCGAACATCTTGGTGAAGTGCGAGTCCTTGAACATGGTCAGGGACAAGTTGGCCGCACTCGTGGCCGCGAACTTGGCGGTTCCCGAAGTCGTCGTGGCGGCCGGTTTGGCCTGGATCGTAGATTTGAAAGTATCCAAGAAATTCGCCGAGAGGTACGTGCCGCCGTACACCATGAGAATGAGGGCGAACGGCTTGCCGGTGAAGAAGAGGTGCGGTTGGAATACCAGACGTTGTACGGAGGCTTTGATCGAAGTCATGAGTGGACGTTTCCCCGAGGCATTCTCCATGATGGCTCTTCAAAAAGCCAAAAGGCCCCATGTTAGCACATTTTCTCCCCCCAGAACTAACATGTACCCGACCACCACGCTCAACAATGCGTCATATGGGACAAACACATACTTATCAATCATACTCACAACCGGAGCCACCAAGCCTCCCGCCGTGACGGCACAAACCGCATCCATCGCCAATCTCCGGGCCAGATGTTTGGTATTCCATCCTTCCGACGAATCCCTCATCCCGACTGCCCCCCACGTGGATTTCGTCGTCTCCGTGAAATCGGCGGCCGACGTGGTTTCGGGGAGTATTCTCTGCTTTGGATGGTGCTCTGTCTTCTGGGTATCATCGCTGGGATTATTACTTTCGTGTACAAAGGCCGGACGCTGTCCGACTTCGGCACCCATATTCGTTCGAGCCCAGATAGCGCGTCGTGTGCATGGGACGGCGACGGGGGGAGGGGACCCCTCGCAACGGGAGAGGTGTGTGCGATTGGTGGTGGTGGTGGTGGTGGTGCGGAGGTCCTTGTGGGGAGAGGAGTTAGGCCGGCGAGGAGGTGGAGGAGGAGGTAGGTAGGTAGGACGGTAGGTAGGTATGACGAGATGAGAGTGAGAAAGTTTTGACGAGCGAGGGTTAGTTAGGTTGAGGCTGGGTTACGCGCAGGGAACCTCGAGACGGGACGGATATCCACTTCACCTTCACTTCAACTTTCACTCCCTAGTAGCTAGTAGCTAGTAGCTTACGGTCCGAATAAGGTAGTAGATCCATCTCTCTCTTGCCGTGGGCCTATCCACCGCTCTCGACATTCTCACCGCTACAGTGTCTACTGAAACGACGACGGAATCCGCATGGCTTCCTCGTGTGAAATCGACTGGTGTGGATCCGACAAATGAATGAACCCACGAGGAGCGAATCTCGGCACGGCTGTCGTGCATGACCAGCGCGTTTGGCGACGCGCCCGGCGTCCTAGGTTTTCTAGCGACTTCAACTCCCGGCATATGCATCAGTTGCAGCGGTAATGGCGGGTTAGCTAATCGGAGGATTGATGTTGCCGGATTTAGAGGAGGTCGTGTTGGTGATGATTGAGAGCATCCCCAGCGCCCGCGGGCAGTGGCCGAAGTACCTTATACAGCGCGCCCACGGCACGTTGGAGTGAGAGATCGATCCCGGAAGACTTGGCATACAATTAATATACGTATTGATGTTGTTTTCACAGCAGCAGTCTTTCAGGAAAATAGCTCGGTTGAAAATTACTAGAATTCGACACTTTTGAGAGACCTTTCTTCGCACCCATCCACGCACTGTCCTTTGGACGGGTTTAAACATGGAGTAGGAGAGAGTAACTTCTCCCCTCTCCGAGCTGAATTGGACTTCAACATCTGTGGTCATAGAGGTATTCGATCGCGGTATCTAGATTCGAGAAATTGAATGTTCCTTGCGCACATTCCATCGACCTATCTATCACTTTCGCCTGATCAAAGTTTTTGCATCCTGTTTTCAATTTGTCAGCGCGAATGCCACTTGCGGCATCTGCAGCAGCTCTCTTCGTTTTTGTAAAATCGATTGCACGTAGTCCTGAGCCTTGCCATTCGCTCAAACGCTGACAAGATCGGCATCGATCGATTGTTCTTTGTGGTAGGGTTTTCCCCTTTTGGCTCAGCCTGCCGGCACTCGCATCTTCTTGTTCATCTTTCTAGAATCTTTGTACTCACAAACCCTTAGCATTCTTTCGGGGAGGTGACTTGATCGAAAAGATCAAGTCTTCAGAACGTTGACGTCCGGGGCCCCAATTCTGGAAATCATGGCAGCGAGGGCGTTTCTGTTTCTTCCCCCTTTTCTTCTGGCCGGTGCGAGGCGCAACGCCGTAGAGCCACGATATCTCTGTTTTAGGATTTTGATCGTCCCTTTTTGTAATTTTTATGCCTGAGACTTCCGCTTTCTATCGACTTGCAGCCGTATCCTGTTTGCTTGCTCCAAGGCACTTCGATTCACAGAACCGCTGTGGTCTATCAGGGGGTCAGCTCAATCGACAGAACTTCCGTCTCAGCGGGACACCATCGTCGTTCCTTTTCCCTTCATTCTTGGCGTTCTGCTCAATCGGCGCCCTATGTACCTTCTTATTGTATGAACGTTCCCGTAAAATCGTTGCCAAGAGCATTTAAGAATCTAATCCTGAATTTCATGAGTTTTGGATCTTCGTCTCAACTGCGTTTCTTGGATCTGACACTCGGTAAGCTCTGTATGATTACAAGAAGAAGGGGACGAAGCGCAGACATATATCACGAATTGGCAAGAGGGTATCGTAATGGTCTACACCAAAGTCATCTATGACGGCACAAAGTACGCCCTCTCTAACGGTTCTCGCGCAGACTCCCACGCCAGCCAATCCGATCGCGTTGTCCTGGTATCATGTCAGTTGTTTGCCAGCAGTCAGGTCCATGTTCTGATACTCACGGCAATAATCCCATCCCATTCACCTTCCAAATGCCCAATGCCAAAGCCAGCAGGTTACAACCGATGAAGGCTAGCTTCACCAGAATCATCTGCTGTTTATTTCCACCACTCTCCAGCCTCTGGAACGTGCCTTGGATGTTGAATATCGCTTGTACGGGGGCCTTGAACAGCATGAATACCATCATGATGCTGAAGATCTGCAGGCTGTTGCCCGTCATGTACATGCCGATGGCGTTCATTGGAAGCTGCTTTGCGGGCGCGAGGGCAAGCTCCCAAGCCTTCTTCAGTTTCAGGGTATCCATCTCTTCGGGCGTGGGTGGTTTGCGCGCGGGCGTTGCGGCTTTGGAGGACTTGGAGTGTTTGGAGAGCGAGGTGGGCGCTGTGTAGCCTGGAGGATCAGGGTACGCGTTCGACTTTGGCTTGCTCGGAGGGGTGGAGTTGAGGTCGAGGACCCATTGCGGGGGCGGTGGAGGTGGAAATGCCATGATCGCGGTCGAGGAGGTGTGGTGTTGTATCGCCCAGGATGCTGGTGTTGATGTCAACGTCCGTGATGTGAGACTGGAAGTTCGTTAAGCTCTCTCGGTCTGGTGAACCGAGAATACGGGGTTAAGTTTTGCCGGGCTCCGGGCTGGGGCTACGGGGTGAAACAACATCTCGACAGCTACATGGACATTGTCATATCCTCGCCTGCGCATACTCCTCCACTACTTGAACAACTCGCCAGAGTCGCTGCATATTGGTATTGAATTCGACATCCCTCGCAGACGCCGTACACCCTCACCGGCATCCCCGCGCGCTGCGGCGCATCACGAGCCTCGAAGTTGGTTGAACAGCATTGGTCAGGAGGACTTGACGGAAGCGGACGAATGCATGAGAGCTGCACAAGGCACGACGCCGCCCATCTGAGTTGGACGTGATCACATTGCAGCAGCTGGGCAGTTATGAGTGCCCAAGGAGGTCAAGATGCCAAGTTCTTCGCCAGAGTACGTTTCTCCCTATACCACTCTCGCTCTCCTGCTCCACGAGGATACTCCACGAGAATAGCGATGGACCTCTTCACAGCCGCATGGGTTGCTGCGCTCCTCCTGTCTCTACTCTTCGCCCTCTAGATCTGTGCCTGCTCCCACCACCAGTCGATCATGTTCATCGTTCACCCATACATCCAAGCCAGCGCCCCGTACAGCTCAGGTTCTAACATTGTGCGTTCTAAACAGGGCAAGGTCGCCGAGCTCAAGCTCGAGCTCAATGGCGGCGGAGGCAAGAAGGACAAGAACAATATGCAAAAGAAGATCGCTTTGAAGAAGATCGTCGCGAACATGACAATGAGCAACAACGATATGGTAGCCCTCTTTGCGGACATCGTTGCTTGCATGGGAATTCAAAATCTGGAGATCAAAAAGATGTGAGCACACGTGGGAGGAGCGCACGCGACAAAGCACAACCTGCTAACGGACAACCAGGTGCTTCCTGTATTTGGTCAACTACGCACGCATGAAACCAGACATTGCGTTGAAAGCGTTGCCTATATTGGTCCAGGTATGACTGCCATCCTCTACCTGGAATATCACTGACCCCAGACTCAGGACCTGGATGACGCCAATCCCCTTATGCGGGCTCTGGCCCTCCGAACAATTTCCTACATTCACGTGCGACAGTTTGTTGAAGCCACAGTTGAGCCTCTTAAACACCTCCTCAAGGATCCAGATCCATACGTTCGAAAGACGGCCGCGTTCACAGTAGCCAAAGTCTACGACCACGACAAGCACCTGGTAGAGCGCAGTGACTTGATCGACCGCCTCAATCTCATGCTTCGAGATGAGAACCCCACAGTGGTCTCATCTGCACTTGCTGCGTTGATGGACATCTGGGAGCGCAGCGAAAGCATCAAGCTCACAATTGACTATTCCAATGCTAGCAAGATCGTTCAAATATTACCAGACTGTTCAGAGTAAGCTCTTTCTTTGATCTGATGTACGACTTTGACTGACTGTGTCAGATGGGGACAGACATACATTCTTGAGGCTCTTACGTCGTACGTGCCGCAGGATACCCAGGAAGCAACTCTACTCGCCGATCGCATTGCCCCACGACTATCACACACCAACTCTGCGGTCGTCTTGACATGCATAAGAGTCATTCTCTACCTGATGAACTACATCGAATCCGAGCGAGCGATAGGACAGCTGTGCGCGAAGCTGAGCCCACCGCTCGTCACACTCTTGAGCAAAGGCCCGGAAATACAATACCTTGCGCTTCGAAATGCGCTATTAATTTTACAGAGGAGACCCGACGTTCTGCGAAACGACATTCGAGTGTTCTTCTGCAAATACAACGACCCCATCTATGTCAAAGTGACCAAACTGGAGCTTATATTCATGCTGGCCAACGAGAGAAACATCAAAGAGGTCCTCACAGAATTGAGGGAATACGCCACAGAGATCGATGTCCATTTTGTTCGGAAATCAGTCAGGGCGATTGGAAAATTGGCCATTAAGATTGAGCCGGCAGCTAAGCTTTGCATTTCCACATTGCTGGAACTAGTGGCGACGAAGGTGTCGTACATCGTGCAGGAAGCGACTGTGGTGATCAAGAACATCTTCCGAAAGTATCCAAATCAATACGAATCCATCATCTCGACACTGTGCGAGAACTTGGACTCGCTGGACGAGCCGGAGGCTAAGGCCGCGATGATTTGGGTCATCGGACAGTACGCTGACCGCATTGACAATTCGGAGGTGCTTCTTGAGGACTTCCTGGACAGCTGGGCAGATGAGACGCATGAAGTGCAGCTTGCCTTGCTTACAGCCACGGTGAAGCTGTTCATCCAGCGACCGACAAAGGGCCAGGAATTGGTTCCTAAAGTCTTGAAATGGGCAACAGAAGACACAGACAACCCCGACCTGCGAGATCGAGGATACATGTACTGGCGACTGCTCAGCAGCAGCCCGACAGCTGCCAAGGGCATCGTCATGGGCGAGAAGCCCGCCATCACCGCCGAAAGCGAAAAGCTGGACCCTGTGACGCTGGAAGAAATGTGCCTGGTCGTCGGAACCTTGGCAACAGTCTACCTGAAGCCCGTACACACCGTCTTCCGCTCTGCAAGACCTAGACGACTTCAAGATTCTCCGGCCCTGCAAAAGGAAAAGCTCCCTAGTTGGCAAGCAGCACAGGCGGTGAAGATGGTTGCCGTAGACGCCCAGGCTCCTGTAGCTAACGGCCGTAGTGGTGGACCGGACGTGTTGGACGAGGCGGATGCTTACTTTGCAAGTGTTGGTGCTCAGGGTATCGCGAACGATGGGTTCGCGACAAGTCCGACGGGCATTGGAGATATGATGCAGCATGAGCAGATGTATGTTGTCAATCAGGGGACCGCCCAGGGGACGATGCAGCCTACTATGCACGCGCAGAACGGGGAAGGGGATCTGTTGAGCTTTTAGTAGAGTTTCGTCAAGGATGTAGCCCACACTCAACGTCTATCTGCCGATGCACTTGTGCCTGCTGAAGCGCGTCGGGCAGCATCTTTGCCAACCTGTGCGCTTCTAAGACCGGGATCCTAGTTTTCTGGAGTTGGTCAGCTCGCTTTTCTCCCCATGAAGATGTCTGTAGTTTGTTCTAGGTCTTGCATACTCCTTCAAAGGTACCATTGCGATGGAACTCGTATAGTAGCACCATTTGCCCTTCTTCTCCTCAGACTCCGCCTCCGCCCAGATCAATTCTCAAGTCCTTCTTTCCGGGACAGGGGAACTTGTCAGGAATATATCCCAGCTCCGGCATGCTTTGATCTCTGATTCTTCTCGAAGCACAGTCACACATCCCTTTCAAGTCGACTTCAGTTGTAAAGAAAAGTAGCGTGTCGATGCACTTTGTGGGGCGAATACCTACAAAATAGAGCCTGAATTACCCGAGAGCTTACGTTTGCTGCTATTATTGTTTTCCCATGTGCCTATACGGCGTAGGTTTCGAAAGGCGTGTTCGGCAGGCAGGCACTGTATGTTAGGACATTGGAGTCTGGAGACAGGCGGGCAACAGCTGTAGCCGCCGGGTGGGTCGTTTCAGCCTGTGAGGCTCAGCAGCTCGGTTACGATCATGAGAGAGAAGCGGATTGACTCGTTCTTCCGGCGGGAATTTAGTGGCTCGCGGCTTGATTAGAAGGCAGGACGGGCAGGAAAGAGAATGTGAGCGCAATAAGATTGAAAGTAGATGTTAAGAATTTGGCGAAGCTCACTTATTAGTTAGTGTATTTGCTCGAATGAGTCATTTTCAGCAGAGTAGAGCAGCCTCCCCTAAGTCCCGTGAACCTTCGTTTCGCTCCATCGGGCTAATTCCTATTGTACTTGCTCTGGTCGGTGACTTGTTCCGTCTTTCGCCAGAAGCATTCGAATTCGACTCGTTCCCAATCTTGAGCCAGGCCAGCACCCTCTCACTGAGATCTCCTCTAACCTCGCGGCCTGATATCTCGGTCCCTGAATGCGCGTACCTGCCATCGCAAGGGAGATTTAAGCACAATGCGTTCGTCGGTGGACTAGATCCCGTTGGCGCACATAATACAAGCCAACCAGTGTGCCTTGTGGCAATTCTTTAGAATTTTGTCGCGAACCTCTCCTTGGTCAAAGACCTGATCTGCCTCTCATACTCCTCCGCTTGGCTCCGTTTCTCGGCGCTGAGCTTGGCATTGGCCGTCTGGAGCTCGTTTGAGTTGAGATGAGCGTCCTTGAGCTGGTCTTTGAGTTTTTCATTCGCCTGTTCCAACTCCGAGACCTTCCTTTCACGTTTGTTTGAGGCGAGATTGAGCGCGTCGATCTTGTTCGTCAGCTTATCATTTATCTGATACAGCTCCAGTGTGTGCTTGCCCGGACCATTGCGGTTCGCTTTCAGCTCAGCTATTTGCTTATACAGGTGCTGGCGCGGTACCTCGCCTTCATTCTCTTTGGAATTGAGCCTAGATTCCATGACTTTGCAGGCCTCTGCCATCTCTTTGTCTTTGCGTCGCAATTTGGCTTCGTAATCCGAGGTCTGCCGTGCCAATTGCTGCTGCAGAACCGATTGCAGCTCCACAAAGCTAGTCTGGTGAAGGTGTTCCACATGCAGGCGTTCTTGCTCGACTGCGAGCTCACGAGAGGCGGCAGCTTGCTGTTGTTCCAGGATGTACTGATTCATCCTCTCCAGCTTCCATTCAATGCCTGACTGTGTATGTTCTTGGATCGATGTTGCGTGCTGATTTTTCAAAAATTCGACTTGGTTCCGCGCAGTCGCCAGTTCCTTCAGAAATCCATTTGCGCACGCCTCGCTAACCTCTCCGCCAATCTGCCGGACAAGGTCCCGCTCCATGTTCGATAGAACGGACGCCGTTGCAAAGTATTTGCATTCAATGTCTTCGAGCAAAGCAGGCAGGCTCATTTGCTGAGCGTGATAGTTCTCCATGGTGTTGTTAGAAGCTGATTTGGCCAAAGTCAAGTGTTTGGTGCGAACGGAGGTAATGACCAAGGAGAGAAGACGCGCTTCAAGGTATTGAGAGCAACGCACACCTACCGCTCACTGGCCCGGTTCATGTATGCGGTGGTTTGCGGCGTAGGTCTCGCGTCCGATAGCAGACAGGCTTGGAAACGTCCCTCAGATCTTTCAACTGGAATCCGGAGCCAATAGCAATACGCGCCGGGTGGAGCGTTTCAACTCATCACTGAGGCAGGCCGCAGAGCAGCTCGGCAACAGTAAGATGCGCATGCATACCTGTCCGACAGAGGCAGTGCTGTGAGCGAGGACAGGCAGTCATCTAATCTTGCTGGCGCTTCCGATGGCGGTCAGAATTAGAATTGGATGTTGTATGTCTTGAGTTGTTGAGGTTGAAGAAGTCGGAGAGGAAGACGTGCAGTCAAGTCGTATCGACATCCGCTGATCCGTCCGTGCGCGTTCGACCAATCAACGCCTTCCTCGCATCCGCGTCCAGGACGGGTGCCCGAATCGATCGTGGATGCCGATGGACTCCTTTCACTTCATCTTCACATGCCACGAAATCGACGACTAACGATCCTCCTCGCGATGGAGTACGAAAAATGCTACGTCTTTGAGCCCGACGACTCGCGCCCTGCAAAGCGTCGACGCACTGAACCTCAAGGACTGCAAGCTTCTTGGAACTTGAGGAAGAAGGCATACCAGCAGGCCTGGGAGTCGCAACACTCTCGCATCGTCGACAAGCTGGAGACCATAAACGCAACAACAGTCACGGATATCGTGAAATTCCTTGATGAGACCATCGGAACTTCTTCAGATGGCAAAATTCCCACCGGTCTGATACTGGCTGGTCCAAACTCTGCGCTTCGGACATCCATCGCCTCGCAGGTGGCCTCGCATAGCACGTCGGACGCACGCAGGATCTATGTGTCAATTTCTTCAAATGCAGGCTCAAATCTGAAAGGTCTTTTGAAGACAATCATCCAGAAGGCAACTTCCCGCGTCGCCGACGAGGACGATGATGAACTCGAAGAAACGTCTGGGCCTAGGAAAGGGAGAAAGCTGCTCAACTATGATCTAGAAGCGTTGCGCGAGCACGTCGGAGAGCGAAGAATCGAGCGAGTTGTCATCGCCTTTGAGGACACGGAAGCCTTTGACAGCGATCTACTTTCTGAACTCATCGAACTGCTGGGCTGTTGGCAGGATCGCATTCCCTTCGCGTGCCTTCTGAACATCGCCACTTCAGTCGAATTTCTTCAGCAGAGACTCTCGCGAGGCGCAGTCAAATGTCTGGAAGGAAAGCTTTTCGACGCCGCGCTCTCCATGGAGGAGGTGGAGCAAGTATTTGAAGCGCTCACGCACTCAGATTCGACTGTGTGGCTGGGATCTGGCCTGATGTCGATGATCCTCGAGCGGCAAGCGGACTATGTCCAGAGCATAGAAAGCCTGGTGCAGGCTGTCCAGTACGCTTACATGTCTTGCTACTATGCCAACGCTCTGAGTGTCTTTCTGGATCCTAATCTACATGTAGAGGATGTCCCAGAAGACCATTTTGAAGCTCTGCGCAATCTGGACTCGTTCCGCACCTTCGCGAGAAAGCTGCTGGATGGTGGCAATACGCAGCAATTGCGCGAGTTACTGGACTCTAATAGCAGTCTGTTCGAGTTTGCTTTGGAATCAGTCAAGTATGGACGGCAGGTCATTGCCGACTCCATCGCTGCAACGGACGTCGTGCGCACGATCCAGCAAAGCTTACCGGGCACCCAAGTGTCGGCGAAGTCCAGCCTCTACATCCAAGCTATGTCCGGGAAATTGGCATCTTCCCCAATGGTCCGCTCTCTCCTTCTCGCTCTGCGCAAAGCACCGTCGAACGTTGCCGTCGAGGTCATGCGCACCGTCTCTCGCCTTGACATTTCGGACCAAGCAAAGAAGACTTTAGCAGAGACTGTACGAGCATTGGAAGATCTGATCGCAGCCCAAGAAGACTCCACCAAGCCATTGCGCAGTGAAGACGACGTGAAGAACTCTACTCTGAGAACCACGGTCATTGCACAAAAAGTGGAGCTCAGCAAGCAGAAATCCACACTCTCGAAACAGGATGCAGCCTACACGTCGATTGTGCGGCGCTTCTCTGATCTAGTGGAGGGAAATCTTTTGGCAAAACTCATTGGTGCGCAGGATCTCGTCCTGAACGAGATCTTTGTGTATGACTTGAAGTCTCCATACCGGGAGGTATTCATGCCTCGACCACGCCATGCAGTGGAGCGTGCACTTGCGGCACCTCATGACTATCTGGACTGCGACTGCTGTGGGCCCGAACAAGGAGGCGAAGACAAAGCAACGCTAGCATCGTCTCAACCCGCTACTGCTGTCCTCTACCAACTGTACCTAGAGTCGGGCAATCTCATCAACGCGAGCGATCTTTGGCAGGCATTCCAGGCGGTGACCGGTGCAGAAGAGGACGAGCAGCGGGGTATGGCACTGTTCCAACGAGCACTGGCAGAGCTTCGATACCTTGGGTTCTTGAAGAGCACCCGAAAGAGGGTTGACCATGTTGCAAAGGTGGCTTGGAAAGGCCTGTAGAGTCGCGTACATCTACAAAGTTTAGATCCTAACCAACATACACCGAGAGCGTGAACAATAGAGCTTTGCGGTATCAGTGGCAAGCCGCGCTCTTGGTTGCCGAGGAGCCGGAGAATAGCAGATAGCCAACCGTCGCCCCAATACCGACCGCAATCATGATCCAGCCGTTGTACGTCATGAAGAGAAGCCTTTTCACGCCATCAATAAAGCTTTTACACTCTTTCAGATACGGTGGAACTCACATAATGAAGAACGAATAAAACACCTGCACACCATACAGCAAAGCCTTGACCAGCTTGCCCCTACTCTCCTCCGCCTTGACAGAGTGACCTGTCCAGAGGAGTGAGCTTCGTTCGTGATCATCCTCGGCTTTCATAGAATGAGCCTTCCATTTAAAAAACTACAAAATATCCACATCTCACTTACGCGGCATGTTGTCGATTATGGTGGCGTGTCTGGCTTCGTAGCGGCGTGATGCTTCGCGTACTGCTTCGTAGCCTGCTGTCAGGGCTACAACGGCCAGAAGAGACCCGAGCAGGGACCAGAAACCGGTTATCCTCCAGCCTTTGAATACGATGCACAGGTTGGTGGTGTCCCAAGTGAAGAGCATGTTCATGTTGCACATTGGCATGTCGCCCATGTCGCCGCCGTGGCCCATGTGGCCGTGATCCATGTGGGAGTGGTCCATGGTGGGCAGGTATTATTGAGTATCGTGGTGGCGCAGAGAAGAAGGCTGGAGTTCAGACGGAAGATAAGGCCGTGGAAACTTGCTCATCAGATGTAAGATGCTCAGCGAGGTACATGTGATGATGTCGGCACTCGGCGCAAGGCCTGGGATCGGTCTAACCTATCTGGAATTAGCTCAAAGGTCTGCTGGCCCAAGCTCGAAAAGTTGTTGAAGACGAGAAATTCAGAATGTGTTCCGCGATCGAGTACATCAGGACGACTCATTTCTACCATACTCTCTCTACAAAATGACGGACATGATCACGGCGACAGCATGGGTCCCTCGTGGCCATGCTGCAGCTTTTCCTACCAAATACCAAATGGACGACGGCGAATATGCCAGGATAGCAAAGCTCGCTAAGATGGAACTCGACGATGCGAAGGACGATCTGGAACAAGCGCGCGAAGCTTTGAACAAGAGCGAGCGTGGAGAGAAGGAAGAGACAGAAGGTGGCGCTGAGCGCGAGGAAGCCGACGACAGCGACGAAGACGATATCGCCAAAGATGATGATTTGAAGGAGTACGATATGGAACACTACGACGATGAGCCGGATTCGCCAGATGACGATGAAGAGGACGAGGGAAATGGCGGAATCTTCAACAATATAAAATCGCTTGCGTATCACACTGACAATAAGGACGATCCGTACCTGACGTTACCAGAGAATGGGGAGGCATCGGACGATGAGGACAGAGAAGAACTGCAGATCCTACCCACAGACAGTGTGGTGCTAGCTGCGAGGATAGAAGACGAAGTTGCGCACTTGGAAGTGTACGTTTATGAGGATTCAGCGGATAACCTGTACGTTCACCACGACGTGATGCTACCAGCGGTACCGTTATGCGTGGAGTGGATCGGCACGAAGCCAGGACAACAGACTGAGGAAGGAGGAAGCTATGCGGCAGTCGGAACCATGGATCCAGATATCGAACTGTGGGACTTGGATATCGTGGACTGCATGTATCCCAACGCAGTTCTGGGCCAGAGCTCCCAAGCAGGGCCCGAAGCGCCTGAACCTGTTACGAAGAAGAAGAAAAAGAAGAGCAAGAAGGCAAATGATGCGTACCATGTCGACTCCGTACTTTCTCTGGCCGCGAACCGACAACACCGTAACTTGCTAGCAAGTGCATCTGCAGACAAAACGATCAAGCTCTGGGACTTGAACACCTGCACAGCAGCACACTCCTACGCACACCACACGGACAAAGTCTGCGCTCTCTCATGGCACCCAGTTCAGACATCTGTTCTCCTCTCGGGAAGTTACGACCGGACAATAGTTGCAGCAGACATGCGAGCACCAGACTCCAAGACAACGCGATGGGGCGTAGAAAGCGACGTCGAGCAGCTACGCTGGGATCCTCACGACGAAAATAAATTCTACGTCAGCACTGAAAATGGTGTCCTTCACTGCTTCGATGCGCGAACGCTGCCATCGACGCCGGAGCAGAGCAAAGCCGTCTGGCGCTTACAGGCACACGATCAAAGCCTCTCGTGCTTTTCGATCAATCCTGCCGTTCCGGGCTTCATCGCAACAGGCTCAACAGACCGAACTGTCAAGCTATGGAACGTGACCGAGGCCGGGCCCAGCATGGTAGTCTCTCGCGACGTGGGAGTTGGCAAGGTCTTCTCCGCCAACTTCGCGCCAGACGACGAGATTGCTTTCAGACTGGGAGTGGCAGGTAGCAAGGGCGCAGTGCAAATCTGGGACACCAGCACGAACAAAGCAGTTCGTGAAGCGTTCGCGACAAGAGTGAAGATGCCAGTTCCAGCTGATGGAGAAGTCAAGGAGCGACTAGTCGGCATCGCACAAGACGATGAAATCGAAGAGGAGGAAGCCGAAGCGGAAGAGAATGGCGGTGAAGGTGGGTGGGAGAGTATGGACGAAGATTAGACAGGTAGCCACAGTCATGGTTCAAAACGAAGTCTTTTCTTCTTCGGGTATCATTATACATACAATTTTCCATTCTCCTGCTCTATCAAACAGTCGATCACTCATCATCCTCATCATCTTCGTCTTCATCCATGCCCTCAGCAGCATCGACTTCGAACGTCGGCGCCTGGTCAACGCCCACGTACGAATCACTCATCAGGAAGAGCGTCAATTCATGCTTTCCCGGTGTAGGAACCACGACTTCCAAACGCGTCTTCAGCTCTCTGGCGATGGTAACGCGCTTGATAGCAAGCAAATTCCGCGTGCTCTCTTCTCCCACGATCAGCCACCAATTCTCCGTCTTCTGTGCCGGGTAAGACGGCGCGTGAACATTTAGGTTCGGCTCTTCATCCTCTTCCAACTGTCGTGAGATCGAAACATTGACATAGCTCGGCGCTCCTGACGTGACGTTCTCCGGGTCATCGACTTCGAAATCCATCTCAACATCCGGGTACCGTTCGTTGATGAAACCTGCCGCATCTGCAAGCTGCTTGTTGTTGAACCCCAATCCCTCTACAAGTTTGGCATAGTTGGGATTTTCGTCGGGGTCCATGGCGTCTTGGAATTCGTGTATATCCTTGATGCCAAATTGGTTGCAGACTTCGATCTTTTCCTCTTCGAAATGCGGGATTTGCTTGAGTGGTGAGTCGCGGTCCCACATTGCTTGTACCACCATTTGGCTGATTTCCATGGCTTGCATGGCGTTGAGGTGACCCTCAGAAGAGAGGACGTCAACGCAAGCACTCAGAATGTTGAGCACCTTGCGGAGGATGACTTCTTGGTCCTTGGCGAGATCAGCTGGCAGCAGCATGCGCGAGAAGTGTGCTTGCAAAAGCACAAACGCCTTGAAATGCGGGGATTCGAAGTTGGCTTCGGACAGTTTCACGGGGGCGCGATCATAGATGCGTTGGAGAACAGGCTCCTCGTGACGGCGAATCTGAACGTCTTCGAACTCTGTGGCTGCTGTCACAATCTCCAGGATGCCCTTGAGCTTGGTGCCACGCTTCAGAGATAGCAGCAATGTCTGCATAGTGATGAACGAGATGTTGTAGTACGCAGCGATCATGGCCGCGTTGAGGGGCGTGATCGTGTCCTCCTCTTCATCGAGCTCGATAATTTTGGTGTCGTTGAGCTCTTTGAGCGTGGTCTCGACCTGCTCGGATAAATATGTGCTCAGACCTTCGTGCGATGTGTCTGTTAAGCCGTAGAAGCTTGGGTTCGCGAGCAGTCTTCGGTAGAAGTACGTGTAGGTTGTCCAGTCCACGGCATCTTGTGTCGACTCAATCGTCTTTGTGCTGATTTCAGTCACAAAAGCATCGTGCATATATGACTGCAGCTGGCTCTCGATGGGTAGCGCTTCCGACAAGAACTTCTTGTAGTAATTGCGCTTCGTGTCCGGACACATCAACACACCACGGCAGTCCTTGTCTTCTAGCGTCCGACCAGCCTTGCCGAACATTTGGAGGACTTCGCTGATAGGGTAGTCAATATACCGATGTTCGCGGCCTTCGAAGAACTGTGTGCCCATTACAATGACCAGATGGGCGTTACTCTGCACTTCCCAGCAGCAGTTGCGAGATATCAGCATCACCTGACAGGCGCCCTGGGTGAACAGGGACTCTGCAATGCGCTTGTCGGAATCGCTGAGTGCCTCGTGGTAATATGCAATGCCGTGAGAAAGCGACTCTGCTAAGCCTCGCTCTTTGACCCTCGCTAGAACGGGAGCTATCTGCTCTGGCTCGGCCTTTAAGAAGCGATCCTCATCATCGTCGATGACGCATGCTGCCAGCAGGTCCTGAGCTGTGGCACGAACCTGTTTTCGGCTGGGAACGAAGACCATAGCTGGCTTGTCATCTCCTGCGTACTGGATAATAGCTTGGTAAGTGGGCTTGGTCATAGCCAGCATCAAGGAGGGGAAGTGTGGAATGTTGAAGGTCTGCAGGTGCAGATGGAGTGGCAATGGCCGGTTGTTGGGGCTGAAGTTGAAGATGGTGTGCTTGCTGCATCCGATCCATTCTCCGATATCTCTAGCATTAGAGAGTGAGACGCTGAGACCTATTGTGCGGAGATCATTTTCGAGCTGGGCCTTGATTGCTTGAGAGCGAGACATGACGACTTCGTAGATGTAGCCGCCATGATCGCCGAGCATGTGCAAGTCGTCCGCGACGATGAGGCTGACATTCTGCACATTCTTTCTCCGTTGCCATTGACGAGACATCATGTCCCATTGCACAGGCGTCGCTAGGATGAGGTGACCTCTTTCGAGCAGTTTGAGGTCGGCCGTTGTCTCGCCAGTCAGCTTTACAACCTCCTTGCCACCTGCTAATGGACCGAATCTCTCTTGCCAAGCTTTGTGTCTTGCATCGACTTGCTCTTGAAATGGAGCAATGTAGACAGCCTTGCCAGCCTTGGACTTGGTGAAATGACGCAGCAACGCAAATTCAGCGCAGACCGTCTTGCCACTCCCCGTGGGCGCGCCGACAAAAACATTGTCATCTGACGCAAAAAGCGCGTTGAAGGTCTGGGTCTGAATCTTATTGAATTGGGTCCAATCGGGGTACAGTGAAGCATACTCTTCTCGCTTCAGGGCCTGTACGGGCAGCGGCTGCATGTCCAATAGCTGTGTATGGGGCGGAAATTTCTCAGGCAGCGCCAGCTTCTGGAAGGAAAGCGTGAGCTTCGTCTCGGCCTTCATCCACCGATCACTGATAAGGGAGATGAAGTAGTTCGGGGGCAGTGGCTCAGTAATCGGTACTGTGAACTCCACGACGTGCTCATTCATCTCCGAGACGGCGTAGTCCTTTCGCAGGAGGAATTGGTCGTGGAATAGAATTTCTTCTCCATCACAGTCCTCCACCATGACCCAAAATTGCTCCGCACGCCCATGGAGCTCATCATTCCACTCAAAATTGGGCGTGATGGTGAGCTCGACACGAAGCAGACTTCGCGTGATTGGCTGGCACTGTGCTGCGAGTTCCAATCGCGGAAACTTCGCGATCATGTTGCAAACTTGTCGTCCTTGCTTCGGCATACCAAGAAGTTCGCCCATACGGGGCGGATCCAGGTCGAAGTAGTGAGACCAGGGTACGTCGATACGCTCTGCCTTCTTGATGATTTCTGGAGAGCATTCAGGGAATTGTCGCAGAGGTGTCATGGTCGGCCACATTCGCTTCTCCGCCATCTTCGTGAGATCGAGAGCATCCTTTGCTACTGATGACCATCCCTTTTTCAACGCAATCTCGAACATGGCCCTCAAGAGACGGCCGGCTGATTGTGTGACGTAGACAAGATCGGCCATAAGCGCCAGACCTTCAAGCTTCAACCTGCTGACGTACGCTTGCAGGAGCACATTGATCTTGCACTGTGGCTCGTCGATGGTCTCCTTGATAGGAATAGGAACGCGACCGACCAGCTTTGCAAGCTCGAGCTTTTCATCTTGCCGGACCGGAATGTATTTGAACTCGTCACTGAGTGCAAAGACCCGGAAAAGCTCGATAGTTGTGACGGATGGCTGGATGTGGAGGTTGTATGTCAACATGCTGTTGTGGGTGATGTAGTAATGGCTGGCAACCCGACCAAGATCTGTCGATTGTAATCGGCCGGTTTTCTTGTCATATTTGACTAGGCTTGCCTTCTCCAGTACAACGGCAGCGGAGTGTACCAAATCGACGCGCTTTTGCTCGAGTGTTTCATCTTCCTGATAGTCGGCACCGACCTGATACAGCGCCGGCGACCTAATCATTCTGACAAAGAGGTAAGTGTAGCCCAGCCACTCTACAGCCTCGTCCCGAGTGCGTATGTTGCCGAGCACAATTTCCGCATTGAGGTTGTCAGCAAGTCTAGAGACGAATTGCGATTCAATGGGAAGCTGCTGATTCATCAACGACAGGTAGTACTGAATTTCAGACTGTGTCGTGATTATGATGCCCTCACCGTATGTATCATATTGTGGACGACCAGCACGACCGAGCATTTGGAGCACATCCTGTGGACTGAGCTCTACCCAAGAACCCTTCTCGGGCGAATAGATCTGGGTTCCTTTGATAATGACTGTGTGTGCAGGTAAGTTGACACCCCACGCGAGCGTCGCTGTACAGACAAGCACTTGGATCGCACCATCGCCGAACAAGTCTTCGACAGTAGTTCTGTCGGCACGGCTCATACCGGCGTGGTGGATACCAAATCCGTATGGCAGCAGATCCTTGAGCTCGCTGTTCTGAACAGATTCTGCTTCCTCGCGAAGGATCTCACGATTGGCAGCATCGGTCCGCAGAATCTGGCCAATCGTGTCCAGCTCCAAAGCCTTGTCTCGGATGTATCTAGCCGTCTTCGCAGTCTCCTTTCTGGAGTGCACAAAGATCAACATTTGATTCTTGTTCTGGCCGACTTGCTCCAGCACCTTTGAGTAGCACACATCGTTCATCGTCTTGAGCTGCTTGATTGCCTTCTTCTCTGTGACGCCAATAAACTCTTGCTTGAGAGGACACGGTCGGAAAGTGCCGTCAAAATGGAAGAGGTCTTTCTGGGGATCGACTCGGAGGAAAGTCGCTACGTCGCGATAGTTGGGTAATGTTGCTGACAATCCAACGATGCGGACAGGGTCCCCAGTCTGCTCAGTCCGGCGGATAGTCCTTGATACAATGCTCTCAAGCACAGGTCCTCGGTCGTCGTGAAGCAAATGAATCTCATCGATACAGATCAGACGCACCAAATTGGTGTAGCTTGTGTCGGTTGCTTTGCGCGTGACAACATCCCACTTCTCTGGAGTCGTGACAATGATGTTCGTCTCAGCAATTTGTGGCTTGGTGAGCTGCCTGTCACCTGTCAGCTCCGAAACCTTGATACCGTAGGGTTTCAGTCGCGCGCCAAAATTGCCGACTTGCTCGGCCACCAAAGCCTTGAGAGGGGCAATGTAGATGATCTTGAACGCGTCCAAGTCAATATTGCCCGTGGTTGGATCGCGATGTTTTCCGATTTCACGAAGCATTGTGAGCATTGCTACGTTCGTCTTACCGGATCCAGTGGGTGCGCAAATGAGCATGTTTCCATCATCTTCAAAAGCAGACGAGAAACACTCCGTCTGAATTCTGTTGAGCGATGTTGAGCTACCAAAACCGGTGCGTGCCCAAGCTGGCAGGTCAGAGGTTGGAATGAGTGGGCGTTCGTTCGGGTTCTGTCTTCGCTTCGGTGCAGGCACATGGATTTCTTCATAGCCTTTGAAAGATCTTTTCGTCGAGCCTTGCGGAAGTCTAACGTTCTGATTGGTCATCAGGTGATTTCCCTGATCGAACTTGAGATCATCCAAATTAAGCGTTTTCCGTGGCTGGAGACCACCAACGAGGCCTTCCTTCTTCACCTCCTCCCCCTCCTTGATGGGAAGCTTTGCATCAAGCTCCATAGGGTCAAGCTTGACCGTCATCTTTGGCCCGTCTTTCGTGGGCGCTTCATCGCGACCGCGCAGTTCTTTGAGAATGCTGGCGTGACCGGCATTGACCATCTCCTTCTCAAGAGCCACCCTCGATGCATCGTCCTCGGCTACTCTTCGCCATCTGGTGACCCAAACGATCTTGTCTCGGTTTCTGACCAGCTTAGCAACAAGCTCGTTATGCTCGTAGTCGAAGAGCTCCATGAGATCGTTCTCAACCTCTCTAAGAGGCTTGAAGTCACCCTCCTCATCGGTATCAGACATGATCTTCTCTGCATCTCGCGTCTTCTCAGTCTGAATATGCGCATCTTCATAGAGATTACCAATCTGTCGCTGTAACCAGTACGCGTCGATTTCGTGTGCAGGAACAAAGTTGGGGTCGCCCTTCTCTTCTTTGGCGCTCCGAGGCGGTCGACTTTCAATGACCATGCCGTCATCTTCTTCATCACCGGATCCATGCGCGTCGGGTGGCGGACCAGCACCGTCTTCTGCGACTTCTTCTGTGCCCATAGCCAAATCGTCTTCCGATTCCTCGTCCTCGTCTCTAACCTCAAATGTCCGGCCGGCGTCTTCGTCGTCCTCTTCGTCGCCGAAGTCAACGGCCACACCCTGCTGCTCATCGAGATCCGCCTCTTCCGCAGCGCCTTCTCCCATTTCGTCGTCCTCATCTTGTGCATCATAGTCCGTGATCTTCTTGCCCAAGTTCACAAGCTGGTTGAACTCTTTATTCGTGAGGGTGATTCCGAGAATATCATCGATCTCTTTCTTCTTGTCAAGATCCTTCAAACTGTCATCTTTCAAATATTCCAGTATCGAATCCGTGGCAGAAGCAGTGACTGCAAGGCCATAATCTCCACCCATCTTTTGCGCCACGTTCGCCGAGATCAGATCGTAGATATCCTTGGTCGCGGCGGTCCGAGGTCGATATCGCAGCCCTTCGATGTTCATATCCTGCTGACTCAAAATACCAGCAGCACGCGAGCTCTGCACGGGCTCCGTTCGTTTCCTCTTGCGAGCCTGCTCTTGCGTTCCAGCAGAGACTGGCGCCTTCTCGCGTGTTGTCCTCGAGCCCATTTCTCCAAGGTTGATTCTTCCAGCGAGCGATTCGGGATCTCCAGTCGCATCGTCTCCCCGACGAGACACGAATCTTCGGTCCGCTTGGAGGACCAGATTTGACATCGCCGCATATTTGTATTGATTGAGGTTGTTATCGGCGGCGCCGCCGCCGCCCTTCTTGGAGTCCGCCATGATTGTAGATGCGCCCTTTGCAACGGACGGGGATGCAAGGCAATGCAGATTCGAGCTCGAAGTTTTGGAAGTGAACGCCTCTCTGGAGTCGGAAGATGTGATTAGTCATTCGACGCTAGCGAGTCATGTCGCCACACGCATGCGACTCCAACTCCCAACGTTACGCGGAAGAAGATACAATCAAGACCAGTATGGCAGACGACGAGGAAGGAGACCTGTGGCTCTTTGGATATGGGTAGATTGTAACCATGTCTGGGTTTCGCCTTGAAATCTTGCTAATGCGAACGTAGGAGCTTGATATGGAAACCGCCACCAGATTACGGTATGCCCTGTCTGTAGCAAAACATTAGAACGACAGATGGACTTATTCTATCCATTCAAGATCTTCGTCTTCCCGGCTACATTGAAGGCTATGTGCGCCGTTTTTGGCAGGTACGAAGCATGTGACAAAACCAAGGGATGTATGAACAAGCAGCTGAAGCGTCGACAGGCGAGGTAGGCGGACCTTTACAACACCCATGTATTTCTGTGAGGAGACTGAGGAAAGGGGTTCCCCATCTAGCGAGGACCATAGAGGCACACCCGAAGCACCGGGCCGCGTCTGTACCCTGATCGATCGCAAACTATGGGAAACCCTCACGGACCAAGTACAACCGCCCTTCCCCATCTCTCCTCATCCGTCCATCTAAACTCTTCTTCCCCAGCACACCTCCGCCCCGCCCAAAGTCTGGGGCGCAGCCTACCGAATCCCCGCCCCGAAAGTCCCCCAAGTCAAAGAATACATGAACATCCGCGAGATCAACGGCTATTCCATCCAGTACGCTCCTTTCCAACAGCAACCGAGCAAAAAGGAAGACATGTCCGCTACCTACCAGCAAGTCCACATGCCCGATGGGCAAGCAATCAAGTGTCTGGTCTATATCGGACTGCCGGATAATCCGCAATTCTTGGGAGTTCAGGATCCTCAGGCGCTCGCGGAGCATATTGTGAAATCGAGGGGTCCGAGTGGGGAGAATAAGGATTATCTGTATCAGTTGGAGGAAGCGTTGGATGCATTGAGTGCTGAGAGTGGGGATGAGCATATTAGTGATTTGGCGAGGAGGTGTAGAGAAATTGAAGCGCGGGAGGCGAAAAGTTAGGGTAAAAGCGCTTTGGGGGTAGAGAAGCAAACACCTGGGACTGGAAGAGTGCGTAGAGTCTGAGTCTCTTCTTCGTCTTCATAAATCTACAGATAGAGTAGAATAAACGAACGTCGCCTGTCCGTGGAACTAAGTCTGTCCCCTCTCCCTTGGAAAACAGCAACCTCGCTATGCAACAATGACCGAAACTTCTTTCTTCCCATCCTCTGGTGACGCCTTTCGCTAGAACGCTCATGTTGTACGCTTGATCAATGATCTGAAGAACAAAGGGAATACATTCATGGTCCGCCTCGTGGAGCCTGACTCCATCGTTTAAAATTCCGCACGCCAGCGTTGATGCTGACGTATTTGCCAGCCTTCGGGTCGTAGAAAGATTTGACGTCGAACAGCATTCGCCCTCGGGCTCCACGCACTTCGACCAGTCCTTGAACAACAAACGTTCCCCGCGGTGGCTCTATTTTCGATGGATTCCACTGCTTTGCAAGCGTGCCTTGAAAGACATGCATAGCTATGGGAAGGTCTGTCGAGTTCGTGGATGAGGTCGCTGGCATTGGCACTGGTATTTGCCATGGAATTCGTTTGGATTCGTCGGCTGCTGATCGCGAAGGCTGCGCTGCGGGACTAGAAGACGCGCCAACGACGGCGCTGGGATTTCCATTAGGATCCAGCTGGGCCTTACCAACTTCCTTCCGTTCGCGCGATTGCTGTTGCTTCTCCATCATTTCCATGGCGTGTCGATACCGCTCTTCGGGACTGAACGGATCGGCCTCTTCCCAGCCCAATGCCTGCTTGGCTCTCCGATAGTTGATGCCGGCCAACACTTTAGTCATAGCCCATAACGAGTCAAACGCGGCCTTGGGCCACAGTGCTCGGGCTAGTCGCCATTGTGCCTCTGGACTGATACGTTCTCGACTCCACGCCAGGTATCCATCTCCCCATTCAAGTCCACTGCGCTCGTACTCTTGCGGCGGTCCATCGGGAAAAGAAATGTCTAGCCAGTACTTCCCAACCTTGGCACCAGAGCCCAACTGCTTGCTGATCAAAGGATGCTTTTGCGAGCTGCCGTGTACGATTTGCACAAGCTCGTCTTGAACCTTTTTCTGCCTCTGCTTGTCTTTGGCCATTTTGATGAATTCCTGCCATTCTGGATCCGAGCCCTTGTAGAATGTGCGGGGCATCTTCTTCGCCCAAGTCATCGGTATGAAGAGGCTATCTTCTTCCACAAACTCGTCATCTTCCCTCTCTCCTGCACCAGCATCCTGGCTCTCTTCTTCTCCATCGTCGCCGAGTACTTCCACCTCGACAGTAATGTACCTCGAGAGAATCGTGCCATATCCTATTATAGCACCAAGATAGAGTCCATGCGTTATGAGCCGGCGATAAGTAATACCTGGCTTCTTGAACCGCACTGGTTGGTATCGCAAGGCTTCGCCATTCTGCTTGTACACTTTCTGGGACTGTAGGCGCCGTTGCGGAAATTGGTTTATCGTTCGGGGCGGTACTTGCTGTTGCCGCAGCCTGAATGTACGTGGGAGCCGGTGCATGGCTGTGCGTAGTGGTCGGTATGCTAGCGATGTACCATGAGGGCGGATCGCGAGAAGAGGTCGTCAGGTTTGAGGCTCCGCCGATAACTCTGCGTGTCGAGTGGTGAACAAAGGTTGATCGTGAATGTCGTGGGTGAGAGAGATGCGTGGATGCATCTCGGACAAGTGACGCCGCCGCGGCCGCCACCTCAAAGCCGGCGGCGCCAAGCAGCTCCAGCATCTCGGATGCAGCCAGTCGACGACATCTCGACCATCGCATCGTCATCACACGCACACAACGACGATGAAGCTCTCGGATACCGTCGTAATATCAGCATTATGCTGGACAGCTCCGTTGGCTGCCGCAGCTACCGCACACGTCTACGTCCACGATCCTCAGTCGCAGCCTGCATCAGGAACAACACCAAGGAGTCTGGAGCCTGTATCGGCACGACTGGTCTTGGCGCAAAGAGCGGGAGTGGAAGACTATCACAGTGCAGATCTTTCGAGACAAGAAGTGATTGAAGCAATCAACGAGTACGGCGTGCGGACTCCCTTGTTTGCTGCGGCGGACAAGAGCTCCAAGAAGGCGTTCATACTGCTGGAAGGGGAGGATAACTCATTAGGTAAGGGGAGAAAGCTAGCAGAAAACGGAAGTCACTGAAATATCATAGCTTCGGTCCCTTCGTTGCGATCATATCGATCGTTCGAGCTCGACCCGTCCCCTGCGAAGCCAGCAACCCGAGCACTCTTCGTTGACTTGGCCAAACAATCGCTCCCGAAACAATACCTTCATCTCGATGATGATGAAGTCTTTGCACAGTTGTACGCCTCTCGAGCCACTTCAGGCGAAGGCGATTGTTTCCATGTGACCAAGTCTGCCGCGGACTTCGAGGCTGTCTTTGATCGTCTGGTCAAGGAGAAGAGCTGGAGCATCACCGCAATGGTCACGCCATCTGGCGTCAAGTCATCGGCAGGAGAGACAAAATATCAGTGGGGAACGTACACTATGCCGGGCGCTCAATCACCACTCAAGAAGAGGCAGCAAACGAAGGAAGAGCCTTTATCACTTGCGACAGACTACGAACCGGTGCAGTCCTCTAGTAGCACGCCACCCTCTACGTTTGATGCCAACAACACTGAGCCACTCAGAGGCATTTTACCAGCCTGCTTCTCGACCCAGTCAGCATGCGAGAGTGCAACACGCAATTGCACTGGCCACGGCAGCTGCAGCAAGAAATACCACGACAGGACTGCTGGTAAGAGTGGTATGGATTGCTACTCATGCTCTTGCAAGGCAACCAAGAGCTCTGATGGCAAGAAGACTACCAAGTGGGGAGGGCCAGCATGTCAGAAAAAGGACGTCAGTATCGAGTTCTGGCTCATTGTCCTGTTCACCGTAGGAATGATCTTTGTCATTGGATTCGCCATCGGTACTATCTGGGAGATGGGATCCGAGGAGCTGCCGAGCGTCATCGGGGCTGGTGTCAGTGGACCAACGGCGAGGAAGTAGAAAGGGATGTATGAAGGGTCGTGGTATAACAAAGCGAGGCATGACTTGAGGCGTTTATGGCGAGCAGGTCGGAAGCAGGGTCGTAGAGAGACACTGTATGTGCGATACCAGTCTGAATATACTTGGCGATGTACAAGTCTTGTGGGATTGTCGTGTGCAGTCACCTCCAGCCTTCCATGGTGATCGTGCGGACTGACCTTCCAGCGTAGGTAGGGTACACGTCTTTTGGTCTGCTGCCCTGCTTTCCACTTGGAGCCGTGAAAGGTGCCTCGGCCACAGTGTACGATACATCGCTCCGCACACTCCATGCCGTCGATGGGATGTCGCCGGACCCGGCCTTGCTCGATACGCTCAGCGGCGATTTCGTGGAGGATTGGGAGAGCTCGCTGTCACGCGCTGTACTCAGCGAGAGAAGGGTTGGTGCGACAATTCGGAAGGCTCATAAGGCTGATTATCCGTTTCAAGGCCGACCAGGCGGACTGCTCGAGAATAAGGTAGCCCTCTCACGTGGGAGTGGGACGAGGTCGCGTTGTGCGTGGTCGGATCAAGAAACAGCGAAGTGACGGCGAGACGGGACGATAGCAGACGTGGGGCTTACCTAATGCATCTCTCGGAAAGGCCCTTCCACGCTGCTCCCGCTGTTGCGACGAAAATAGCACACCACAACCTAAGCAAGACATCCACTTCGTCACCGAGGGGCTCGCTACAGCAGGAATTCCATGTTTACCACCCAGAGCAGAGCCGCCAGAACTTCCTCCGCCGCCTGATCGCGCGCAAAATACCGTCGCCACCCCGCCCGCTCCCCGCCGCCTGCAGCAGTACCGATTCGCATCGCCCTTCGCCTCCTATCCAGCGAGACTGGTCCTGTCGGGTTCAGTCCGCCGGTCTGGATGCGCGCCGGGTACTCACGAGTCACGAACGCTTGGTAAATTACCTTCACCACCACCACCACCATGGGCAGGCGCAAGATCGAGATTAAGCCGAGTGCGTGTTTCCTTCCATTGTTTCCCCTCTCACTCCCCATTCGACTCCTCAGCTGACAATGCGTCGCGACTAGTTCGAGACGACCGCAACCGCAGCGTCACCTTCCTCAAGCGCAAAGGCGGCCTCTTCAAGAAGGCCCACGAGCTCTCCGTCCTATGCTCCGTCGACGTCGCGGTCGTTATCTTCGGACACAATAAGAAGCTCTATGAATACTCCTCGTCGGACATCAACGAGATAATAGGGAGGTTCCAATATGTACGCGACAAGCTTTCAGGGTCCGCAAGCACGGTACAAATGCTAATGGTGTACAGTATGGCGGCGCGCACGAACATAAGGGTCCTCAGGACTTCGCGGACAAGCACGGAGGCGACGACGATGACGAGGATGGAGAGGGAGGAGAAGATGGCGGAGATGAGGCGCGTGGAACTCCAGCACCGGACCATCCCATGATGCACCCACATATGGCCAATCATCCTGGATTCCAACACGTAAGGCATGGTACACCTTCGGGCTCACCGCCAATGCACAATGGAGCGATGCCACAATTCTCGCGAGGCCCATCTCCCCTGCCGCCGGGCATGTCTCGCCCGTCTTCGCGGAATGCACAACACCCTGGGCAGCAGCACATCCGTAGAACAAGCTCGAATCTGGTGCCACAGGCTGGGCAGGGAGGCTATGCGTACTCGCCCAACCCACCATTCTACAACACTCAAGCCCAAGCTCAAATGGGTAGACCAGCACAGCAAGGTGCTCCGCAACAAGCGCCTTACCCTCCGTACCCACCGCAGGGCCCTCCTAGCCATCCCCAGATACAGCAGCCCTACATCCAGGACAACCGAAGACCGTCAATGCCACCGCAATACCCAGCTGGACCTCCTCCGCAAGCTAACATGCAGCGAAATCAATCACAGGAGCATCTCCAGCCACCTCAGCCAAGACCGCATGCTTCGCCTCAACCTGGCCAGCAGCGACCGACTCCCTCTCCGCAACCCCCGCAACAAGCATTCCAAAGCCCACCTATGCCGCAGCCCAAGCCTCTTCCCGCTCACGCCAAGAATACAAGCATATTCACGCCAATCGATGACAGTCGATCGATGCTTGCACAACATTGGGGAGCAACGAGCCAGGCAGATGCGCCACGTTCTGAACCGGAGATCAAGATTGAAGGAGGAGGACCGCGCTCACAATCAATAGACATTGCTCAAATGCAGCGAGAAGGTCCCGGAAAGCCTAATGGGCTGTCTCCAAGACCGTCTGCGATGCCGCCTCCGAGATCACCGCAGCCGCCACAGCGAACTGCCAGCACGCCCAATATTCCACAGCAACCAGCAAGATCAAGTACTAATCAGTCAGATGCTAAGAGGCCTCGCCTAAAGGTGCAAATCCCTAGCGAGCAATCGGGAGACGAAGCTCGGACAGCAGAGTCAGGCCAAGGCGAGGATACGAGCGCTTCGCAACCAGGCAATGCACCTGCGAATCAACAACCTGGCCAGCCTGCACACGGAGTCGTCCTACCTCCCCCTTCACCGAGTGCAGGAGCATTGTTATCGGCCGGAGCACAAGGCCCGCCTAACCCATTCGCGCGCCCAGCACCGCCCATGAGCACTAACCCGCATGCTGCCAACCGAGATGCGGCGAACAATCACATCGAAACACCAATATCAGCGCTACCGAGTCGCTTCATGAACGATAATCTACTGCCGTCGCCGTCATCTTTCTATCCGGAGTGGGGCTTTGGACGATCTGGCGATAGCAACATGCTCCCTTCGCCGCTGAATTTCCAAACGCCTGTAGCACCCAATGGCTCCGGATGGCGGGAAGAAGAGCGCAAGCGAGGTGGTGAAGACCAAGAAGGCGGTGACACGAAGCGGACGAAGACTTAGAACGTACTTTTGCTTTGTAGATCGGGATGGAGTTTGGGCAGTTTGGGTCAATTTCGGATGGCCGGCCTCACGCATTGGGGCTTAGGGTGTACTGATATATGATGACTGGTTCGAGCGATACGGGCATGGGACACAAGAACGTTCGGAGCAATTGAGAATGGCGTTTTGGGGGACATTATCGTTTGATTTGTTAAAGCTCTGGCAGAGGTCTATTAGATAGCTTCTCTATACCCGACGTTGGTAATGATGATTCCTTCTAAGATGAGTTTCAATCTGGGCTTTGGTTATCCACGTGACCGCGCGTTTCGTTCCTGTAGCTTTGACCTCACTTCCGAACATCAAGTTCAACGTCGCACAGCGCACTACCCGTTTTCTCGTTTTCTCGCACTCTTTCGCCTTGACTTGGAAATCATGGCAGCAGTTCCCGCCTCCCGCATCGCTCAATTGCCCGGTTACGACACCGCTCCGGACGTCTACGAAACACCCGACCTCAACGACGACTCCACCACCGTCGCAACGTCTCAAACCTCACCCCGTTCCGCAGAACCCTCGGACACAAGCTCCGAGGAAGAAGACGAAGAAGACGATGCCAATGACGACGACGACGACGAAAGTTTCGGCGTCAGTCGGCGACGGTTACATCCCGAACGCGCGCGGAGTGTCTTTGGAGGCGTGCAGACGGGTGTCAAGGGCGCTGATCTGAGCGATCGGGTGGATGGGCGGAGGAGGGGATATCGAGTGACGAAGAAAGGCAAGGAGGGAGAAGAAGAAGAGGGGTTGGAGGGGAGGATTGCGCGGTTGAGGAGGGAGGTGGAGGAGTGTAGGGTTCTTGCTGCTGCTGCGGAGGCGGCGGCGGATGGGGAGGAAGATGGTGATGTCGACGAGGAGGAGGGGAAGGGAGTGGAAGCTCTCAGTAGATTGTTGGCTGGGATCGAAGTCCCGGCTAGCTCGCGCAGGAGGAAGAGTAAAGGAGGCAGGAAGAAGCAGATTTCCCACGACGCGCATGACACGGCCAAGGAGAGGCAACCGCCCGGGGAGGACGAGGACGAGGAAGAAGAAGAAGACCTCACAGACGAGCAAACCCTAAGCCGAATCTCCGCCTTCGACACCCGTCTCGCAGCCCTCGAAGCGGCCCTCGGCCTGTCCTCCTTACCATCCGACTCCACGACCGCAACGGAAACCCTCCCGCTCCTCCCCTCTCTCCACCTCCTCGACTCCCAACTCGCAACCCTCAACACCGCCACCTCCCTCGCATCCCTAGAATCCGTCTCCTCTCGCATCGCAAAGCTCAAAGCAGAAGCCCAGCAACTCTCCCAATACGATCGGGACGATGGAGAAGAACCCGAAGACGACGACGGCCCATCGGCGGCGGCGCCGCTCACACCCGAAGACTGGAAACATCTGCAATCCCTCTATGCTCTCCTTCCGACCCTGCAATCTCTCGCGCCTACCGTTCCGGCTCTCATCACCCGCCTCCGCTCGCTTCGAACGCTGCATACGACTGCTGCCGGCGCCGCGGGAGATCTCGATTCGATTGAGCAACGCCAAGCGGAAATGGATCGGGAATTGAAAATGTGGAAAGAAGGGTTGGAGAGAGTCGAAGCGGCGGTTAAAGAAGCCGACTTGCACAATGGACGGAACGGAGCTATGGTGCAGGGATGGGTGAAGGATTTGGAGAAGAGGATGGAGGCGCTGGGACGGTGATGAATTAACGCGGAACGACGAGACGAGCCTCTAATGTCGAGTGTGTAGGGAAGCACATCGATCTTGGACGATGCGGGCTAGAAAAGGGCAATAACTCAATATGGGTATCTCCTGCTGCTTGCTTGCTTGCTTGCTTTGCTGAACTTGCTGTGCGCTTCACGTTTACCTCCCAATATGCATCCTTTCCCAGTGACCTGCCTCTGGCGTGGTATCCACGAGAATGGAAGCGTTCTGAGGGGGTTCAACCTGCCCGGCACGTCGTCTGGCTTTCCTGCTGTCTGTGCAGTTGCGCAACAAATGTGCCACTTGACTGGCATGTCGATTTGGCGGCACGGCCCTGTGGTCCAGCCTGGAATCGCTGGTCGCTCAAGTCCAAATGTGTTCGGCGGGGAAAGGAGAGCTCATCGCTGCTTCAAGATTTCTTGTAATTGTCGTCCGTTAGCTTCATGCGCCTCTTCAATACAGACCGGTGTCGGTCTGCGGAGAAATCGAATTGAACAAGAAAAGACTTTGCGCACCGGTCAAGAATTCCTCACTGTCGCAAACAAAAGTCAGCAGCGCTCTCCGACGGCGGTACCGGTGCATGTCGGACTTACAAGCTGAGTGTAATGTATCCATCCCGATCCGAATCATACTTCTTGAACACATCCGTCATCCTCTTCAAGCTTATACAAGCCTGCACGAAGAGGTCGAAACTGAGCACTTTTTCTCGCACGCCGTCGTCTCCTCTCCCTCTGCTATGCGTTTTCGCGTACGTGCTGAAGAGCAATTGTACGAATTGCGGGCTGAGTCTGTATCCGAAAGCAACCAAGGCATCTTCAAATTCTCTCAGCGAAATGTTTCCTGACCTGTCGACGTCGAAGCGATCGAACAGTCCTCTCCATGCTGCGAGGAAACCCCAGAGTCCACAGAATTCGTCAAAGTTGATGGTTCCGCTGCGATCGATGTCGAACATGCGGATCATCATCCTCACGGTGTGTAAGTCGAAGGCGGTGTAGTCGCCGTTGACGAGGGCGCGTTGGAGTTCGGCTTCGGTGAGCTGGCCGCTGCGGTTCTTGTCTACTTGTAGAAAGAGCGGCCAGAGCGCGTCGCGGTCGTTGCCGTCGCGGGGCGGAGCGGTGGTCGGGGGACGTTGGTATTCGGGGATCGGAGGGCGGTTGTGGTAGCCTTGCGGTGGTGGGCCTTGGCCGTAGTTTGAGGGTGGAGGAGGAGATGTTACGCCGTAGCTGTTGTTGTTGGTGTTGGTTCGTGGTGGAGGTGGTGGCTGCTGGTTGTAGCCTTGTTGGTTGCCGTAGCCTTGCCCTTGGCCGTACCGCGGTGCTGGAGACTGATTATATTGATCATAGCGGGGCGAAGTCTGGCGGCCGTAATCGGTGTAGGCTTGGTTCTGAGGCGGGGGATTGGAAGAGCCGTATGCGCCTGGAGGAGCTGGAGACTGGTAGCCACCCGCGGGGCTCTGTCTGCCATAGCGATCGTCCTGGCCGGGTCTTAGATTCGAGACTTGAGGTGGTGGAGGCACGGGCTTGTTGTAGTTGAGATTCGAATCGCTCCGTCCGTCTCGTCGTGGCTGCGGCGCGCCGGCGGAGGAGGAGGAGGAGGAGTTCGGGTTCAGCATCTGGGCAGCTTGCTCGGGCTCTGCATGACTGAAGTGAACGTGTTTCATCAGCGCGACGTTCCTCCCTTAAAGCAGACTTGCGCAATCTCCGCCGTGACTCGGCAAGAGCAGTGCAGGATACGGATACGAGGACGAGGACGAGAATACTCACGCGGGCAGAGCATCCGGGTTGTAGCCACGGTTATAGGCCATGGTATGACGCGGCAGGCGACTCTGAGCGGCTCTCTTCCAGGCGTGACGCTTCGTTGCGCGCCGACTTACGCTTACAAGAGGCGGATGATGATGGTGGATGTGACTCGACTCCGAGGGGAGATGCTGAAGGTTCAGATGGTGCAAGGTGGGCCTGCGCTGAGCGGGGCGGAAGAGGAGGAACTTGAGCCCAGTAATACTGTAATACAGTAGTAATGGTTGATGGATTGATTGATTGCGTGGTACGGGAGAGATCCCAGCCTTGTGCCTGTGCCACCAGCCACTCACACACTGCAAAGCGCCGCGGATGACGTGGAGATCATTCTCTGCACGTCACCTCTTCTTCCCCTCCATTCGCTATCGTCTCTCGGTACCTGCGTCCTGCTCACTACTGTCCCTTGGCTCGCCTGTCTCGCCCTGCGACGATGCCCGGGTTCTATCGGCCATGGTCGTTTCTGTAGAGGCCTCCCTTGCGTGCTGATTGCACACTTCTGTAAGTCGCTAGGTGAGAGGAAGCCTGAGGCATGATTCATTTTCTGGGGACCCATCACATGGAAGCCACGCGGTTGTACCCGGCGTTCCAAACAAACTCCTCGCGGTAGTACTGAATTGACCTGTATCCATAGACTAGGCATCTATTGAGAGCTAAGCCCGGTTCGCCGCCGCCGATAACAATGCTTTGCCACGAGAGCAAAAATACAGATGCTGTTGAGCGAGACTCTGCAGATCATGTGCCATTCCGAAGTCGTGTAGGAGGTTCTCCTCGATGGCGACCCCGCGCAAAGCGACGTCGCCGTCGCCTGAGTTTGCGTATATATTCATCAACGAGACCATGTCGAGCACATACGGCCACAGGCGAATGAAAACTCGGAACCCCGTCCGCTCTTCCAAAGATAACCATTCGACCGCGAGACTAGTATTGCCGTGGGTGACCAGGCGAGAATCCCTCGTGCTGTATGTTTTTGCTTGTTGTACCTGGTATTTTTTCTTTAGCAAGCCCGATGTTAAGCATGAAGTTCGGCTGGTGTAGGGCCGTGGAAATACCGGTATGTTTATGTGGGTCCCATCTCCTGAGTTTGAACACGGGGAAAATGATGACAACCCCATATTACGATGACTCCAGGAGATGTGCACATTGACATAAAGTTAGGAATGCAAAAACATGACTTTGATGTCGTACGGACGTGACTTCGGTAGAAGTTCGGACTGTGTGGCGCAGTCTTGGCATTCACTCCACCTCCTGTCACTTTCGAACTGTGACCTACTTTAAGGTAGCAAGTACTCATATCGACATACTCTCTTCTGTTCTCTCTCACGGACTGAAAACCGGAATGCGGGGTGACCCAACATCAACTTGCAAGCATAGGCAGACGGAGGAAACAGCCGCGAGGAGAAGCTGACATGCACAAGATGATCGCATTACCAGATACATGTAGCTGCCGTCGCGTGCTACGGTAAAGACCAAAGCAATCGAATTGACCGATTGCTGTGGTGTGTAAGCCGCTATTTTCCATGAAACCAAGGCGTGGATGCGATGCATTGTCATCCCAGCTCGCTTGTCAATTGAAGAGGGCGTACGCTGTGCGCCTACTCCAGCCAGCCTCTGCGTTCGAGACAACGAAGACTTGCATATGCAGCCATGTCAACAGCATGACCTGGCTGGATGGAGGAACACCTCAAGGACTCTCAATTGAGATGTCGCTTCCGCTAACTCGCTAGCTTTGCTCTTGCCCAATGTATCAACATGGCCGTGCCGACTCCCAGGCAGATTTGGGAATATCTTTTTGAAGAGGATTAGTATCAAAGCTGACTTACTCCAAATTGTCGATCGCGCATTCGCAGATAATCCTATTAATGCTCGCAGTGCGAAGACGGATTTCGAGGACAGTATGGAGCACGGCAAAGCGGAGATACAGCATTCAGGCGAAACATCTACAGACTGGTCCGCACTAATTGATCCTCAATCGTTGTCGCGGACGGTACTGAGTGCTGTTACACCGACGACTGGGAAGACATTATCGTATTATGCTACGGCCTGTGGCCCTCGTCGATGCTGTCGAAATCCTCCTCCTGGACGAACCTTCACTAGATCTGACTATAGAAGACGACAGACAGAAAGCCGCCTAGGGCCTGGCCTTGAGACATGCCCACACGGACATACAAGATCCAACTGCTGAGGTGAAATTGCTGGACGCCCTTTCGAGCGAGAAGGCAACGACTCAGACAACAATGACAGTAAACCCGCTGAGTTCGATTGAAGCTCGTTGATGTACTTGTAAGTGTCGACAATAGAAATTCATGCCGGATATGATTGATGTGTTGCCTAGCATCTCACAAAACGGAACGATCGTCAAGAGCGGGAGGTCACGCCTGCAGACTGCAACCGCCGACGACAGACCTTTTATCACATTCTACAGCATTTCAATGAGCGTGCAATTTCCGAGTCGCTGCTACGCTACCGAAAGCCACACTTCGATGGAGTTCGACTGGGGATAATCGCTATATCTGGAAATCCCGTAAATGATTAAGATCGTGAAAGAGGCTGACTTCTTTCACGATATTGGCGATGTTCGCGAAGACTTCTCCATGGTCCACTCAGTACTCTCGCAACGCATAGAGGTCTGGAAGCGATGCACACTAGCTCCGTTTCTGGAACATTGGAAGGACGATCACTGTATCGATCAACTGGTATAGATATGACCGTGGAGGAGGAGAGATCGGAGCAGGAAACAGGCAAGCCATTTCTGGATCTTTTGTCTGAGAATGATGATGAGATTCGAAAGTCGGCGAAGCACGAAGGGCAAGGGCAAGATTGGGAACGTACGACAACTGCAAGATCTAGGAATGAAGGCGAATCACCAAGGCTCAGGCGAGCTGCGAGATATTCAAGATGAGGCCAGTAGATCAAAGCGGCAGTAGTTGAACGAGAAAAGAGAGAGCGCGCTTTGTTATCGCATGACAAGACACCTGGCACGAGATCGCCAGCCCACAATATCATTTCGCGCGCTTCACGAGACCATTCTGGATCTACGAGCAAAGCAGGCCAGCATGCAAGAAGCGCATTCCACAGCTTTCATGAGCGCGGCAGTCTTCGGCTTCCCCTTGGTCACCATGATCTTCACTCCATCGTCCTTTTCGGTACGCCTATTCGCATTATCCATCAAGAGCTTTCAGAATCACCAGGTGAAATTCCGTTGGGGTGGTGATGGTGGCACTGGTGTGTAACAGACATACTACATCGGCAAGTTGTTCTCTAAGCCTCCTCCAAGATCGATTCCCGAACTTCACGAACCGAGATCTTCTAGCTATTGAACAATTGTAGTTATTGTGCTCGCCATGTAAGCTGCAGTCGACTCCAGGCTTCGTGGTAGCCGAGACAGAATCACAGAAGGCCTTGGCAAATGGCACGCTGCAGCCCAGAGGACTAAATCTTCCAATGGCAAAGCATCTCCCGACCGGTGCCTAGAGCCAGGAAGATCCGCTAATTATGCTGATTGCCAACACTCCGGCCTGTTGTCCGTCGTCGATTAAGATTAGTTTCAGATACACGGGTTGACCCAGAACGTACCTACGTGTCTTACAGCCTTGTGTAGACGCTGTGTAACCTTTTCGTCGAGCACACTCCTGCTTCTTTCCCATACTCGCCCTCAAAGCCAATACACATCGGGCAACGCGGAAGTAGATGGGAGGATGGAACTCGACGTAGTCCAATGTCTCGACTACTGAGAGGCGTCGCAGTGCTGGAACCTTGAAACTGTTTTTTGGAACTTGATTTTTTTGATACCAATTGATGATGACTAGAAACCGATCAACTACGCTGCGATTCTACGCTTCCTCTTTTCAAGCGAAGCTGTTGCCAATAACAAACGACACATCGTTGTTGTAACTGACCGGTGTGTCGAAAGGATTGGGTCCACCGTTGGACGCAACGTAGCCCACGGCGTTATAGTGTCGCATCCAGCGAGTGGCATAGCTCCAGGAGCGAATGCTGTTGCCCTGACCGTTGAGGCCGGCCTCGGGACAGAAAGTGGCATCTTCATGCATCAGCTTGGTTCCGTCGTCCTTGTCGACGTGCAGTTGGCTGTTCCTGTGGCGCATGTAGCTTCCGGAAGTGTCCTTCGATTCGAAGGAGACACACTGGCTGTTACCGAGACCAGTGCGGACGATCCAGCTGGCAGCGCCCTTGAGCTGGCTGCTGCTTGACGAGGAGACAACTTGAGTGTTGACGACGTCGCTGGTGTGGGCGATGTAGCGGTTGGTGTAGCCAGGAGTTGTGACGCGGAAAGAGATGGAAGAGCCAACGTTGACGGCCGGACCGGTGGTGAGGGCAGTGGTAGAGTACTTGGCGGCCACGATGTTCTGTTGGACTAGGTTCTCGGTAGCATCAGACGGGAAGCCGGAGGTGACGACACCCTCGTAGAATGTGCCCTGAGCTGCGTTGCTGTTGTCGCCACCGATGCCGAGGATAATAGAGCCTTGCTTCTTCATTGGGTCGTAGTCATTGTTTCCGTCTGGATTGGGACGAGAACCATTGTAGAAGGTGGAGAGTGCACCCGTGGTCGCATCGCCACCGCGGATTGCCCAGTTGTGCGGTCGGCCCTTCACAATGGCAGTAGTGAAACGGTTGGTGATGGTTGGGTCATTTTGGTTGTTGCCAGCATTGACACCAGAGAAGAGACCGTTCTCGAGGTCAGCCATGATCCAGGGTCCGCTTCCAGAGCCGGAGCTTGCGCTGCCGTCACCACCACCGAAGTAAATAGCCTCCATAGCTCCGTCGTCCGACGCTCCGGTGTCAGTGTTGTCCGACTCAGCGTTACCGTAGTCGAAGCAGCAGTGGCTATTGTAATGAGTTCCATCAACAATTGCGTACATGCCTGGAATGGAAAGTCAGTCGATGTCTTCGGTAAAGATGTGTGTGTTCCGCTTACCCTCAGGATCATCACCGTGGGCTACGCCGCTGGTGTTGTCGATACGGTATCCGGATCCTGGCTGGATGAAGACTCCGTATGCCTTGTTACCACCGACCATAATAGGAGCGCCGGTTGCGAGAGTAAGGTCATCAGGCTGACCTGGACCATCCGGTCCACTTGCTGCACTGCCGGGGGGAGCGGCAGTGAGGTGGTTGTTGCGGCCTGACTGATCATAGATGATGGAAATCAGACATGTTGTGCTGCTGCAGAAATTGTCTTGGGTTGCCGCATTTGCAACCCCACCGGCCTTGAGTGTGCCGACGTCAGTCGTTGTGTTGTCGGAACCACGCTTAACCTGGTAGAGTCTGCCGCTGTAGTTGTCGTACAGGGCTCGGACAGGACTGTGAGCAGCCACGCATGGTGTATTGCCAGACGCGTAGATATCACACGGACCAGCAGTAGCAAGGGTAGCTAAGGTGGCGAACAAACCAGATTTGGCCAAGAGGTTTGACTGGGTGAACATGGTCTGCTAAATTGGTCCCGTGGAAATGAACGGCTAAAGGGCGTGTTTCCTCCATCGTGAACGGGGTCTCCAGTGCGCATTTATAACAACGCATGCCACTGCAAGTGCCGCAGATCCCATCGTCTGAATGGTTCCTGGAGAATCCAGCTGATCAGGAATGCGCCTCCAACTCATGAAGAGCACCGAAGGACACCACTTACATGTTGGGTTGGAAGTGCGTGATCCGCACTGTCCGCTTCCAGAGCCTTGACTGCTGTCATGCGGGCCAGCCGATGCAGCTAAAAGCGCCGCACTCCATACCTGCGTGTACTAGAGGACTAGGCATGCCGTGTCGCCCCAGGACGGTGAAGTATACTGTGAAGTATAACAGGATCTCGTGGCATAGAAAGCCGACTGGGCAGACCACTCGGCCGGATCGCCATAGAGGTCCGAGTCACATGAGAGGCTGAGAGAGGACCCACCGGGAGCGGGCCCCCACCTACCGGAGTGGGCAACTGCTGTAGCGTATCATGCCGAGGCTGGAAGGGCTTCACCGTTGGCGACGTGCAAGCCACTGCACCGCTTGGAAGTTTTTGGCAAGGCTTGGCCGTCTGGATTGCCTGTAGCCATCTTAGCTACGAAGTAGCGTTGAATCGACAGAGCTGTTCTTTACTTCTTTCGCCAAACGCGCTGTCCCTACCGACTGGAGCCCCTCTCCGGACACGGACTCTCCATACCCCGATCTGGTCCCGCTTCGCGCTGTGGGCTAAACGGCCTACTCACGTCCCATCCTTATCAGTATTATACGGATGATGCATTCCGCTGCAACGCACATGCAGCTCGGACGATGTCTGAGCTTTACCAAAGCCGGCGACGTGAACACTTCGAATTGTCATGGGTCTGCCAAGGAGGAGCTTGCCAGGGTTCTTTGGTTGAAGAGGTGATCGGTTACTTGTTCACGTTGTCCCTCATCGATGATCGGCCCGATGAATTTTGTCCACCATGATCATGCGAATCTTCCTGATGACACCTTGGATGCGAACGGATCAGGCGCTTGCCGCAGATGTTAGAGAAGGCAGGCAACGGTATGCCACCCTCCACCACCGTAAATACACAGTCAGATGGAAAGTCTCGGCAGATGTTCCTGCGATATCGAGCATGAGCTAGTTCGGGTAAATTCGATGAGGGCATGCATGCGGTGTGACATCCCGCGCACGTGTCTGGTTCTGCATTTTCAGTCGGGAAATCTAGCATGCTATTAGATCGAAGTTCGCTTGTTGGCGTCTGTTCGCTGCAGTGGTGGCGCTCTCGGATATGCCCGCATCTGGGGAGAAGCGGACAGCGCAGTCCAGCCCAGGCCGATGTCATAGCTCACATCCGTTGCTCGAAAAAAAATTTGAGAGTTAGTAGTGTGAACAGGAGGGTGGACCGCTAGAACTCTCTGCGAGTGTGTTCGAATCGCATCGCCGACCACTTCGAGCTTTCAGAGGATCCAGATCTGCAGCTTGTCCCAACTTTTTCTCTCACCACTAGTACTGCACGTCCCATTTCACGGACGATGCATCAGCCTGACATCTCCTTGTGTTGCCGATGGCAGCCATTTTGCTGTGCCTGAGCACGTCTGCGCCTACAACTATCTCCCCGAAGTTCCAGTCGAGCAAAAATTTGATATCTTTTCAACAAGACTTGCGGTAGGACTGACCAGAAAACACTCGCAGCTGCGGCACTAGAGTGAGGTACAGAGATGTGTTGCGCACCATCACCATCAATTCCGTCGTGACGGAACGAAGCGGCGAATGGTAGTCGGTCCTTGGCGTAGCGAGATCCGGGTAAAAGCACTTTCCGAATCACGGCTACCGGCGTTGAATTTGAGCTTGTGCTTGAACAGTATTCCAAGCGGATCTTCTGGATCCAAACGCAACTGTGAGTCTCTCTGAACATGCCAGTTGCCAGTGTCAAGTTTTTGCTTGCTCTTCCATGAAGATGAGCACTCCGAGGGTCAGAAGCAGCGGCTCTGAGGAACAGCGTGGCGTTGGCTTCCTACCATGGTAATGATGGTATGCGTATTGGCTAGGAGACTGCGTACCGTCTGTGATCACGACTCGTTATGTACGTTGATCGACAGTCTGGAAAGGCTTCCTTGTACGTCGCCTGTTGTGGCTGGCAGCCCCGACAGTCTGGGTGCGGGAGGGCAGAAGCGTTGAAGACAGCCTGGCCTCAGCTAATATTGGTTGCGCCTCTGATGAAATACGCATCGGCTTCCTACCGGCATCGCCAATCGTGATATCGCTGCATCTTTCTCGACGTTGGTCGCGGAAAGCGGGAATGCCATCTCGCTGCCCCCGGGGTTCAGTCATCGATCCGGTCGCGAATTGTAACCAGGCGTAGAAGTCCGGACCCAGTGAGCCGGTCCTGCCGGCCTGTCTGGATCGAAAGTAGTTTTGCCAGCTTTAGTTGAACGTTCTCGTGAACGTCCCGGCGAATGTGAGCCCATTATGTCTTGGCCGTCACATTATGCACCAATAGTCTCCCAAAGTGCTCGGAGAAACTCATAGGACAATGCAAGGGCCCTTGACAAGGTCTCCAACGCCATGGCGGGTCCATGTTAGCTGTGATGGGCCCATTCGCAGATGAAATGAGACACCAAACGAGGCTCTGCGGGAAGACCGGGTGGCGGTACCGCAGTCGAGTGTTGTCGATCCTGTTGATGATCAGGGCGTGCGCGTTCAGCCAGCCGTGGATCCGGGCCTTGCTGGGATTGCCAGAGGGTCTCCGCTAACCCGCCGATGCGCGTGCGGACAATAAGACGTGTGCCTGTACATCCGAGCATGCTGCATTTCGTTGCTCTGGACGAAGATGGCGATGTTGGAGGTGTGTAAGAAGTGGTACAATGTGAGACATGAGGTGGAGAGACGGGGCCAGCCGTTAGCGTGCTCAGTCAGCGCACCAATCAGAATGCCCTAGAAGCATTGCTTGAAATTCCTCAGCTTAGACCTCACTCACCTTTCTGCACACTTACCATCGCGTTATGATACCACTACCAGACTTGAACACTTGAGACAAGCTCGATATGCGCAAGAAGTGGACGGCACACTCCCACCGCAAACATGTTCTACGACCTTAACATCCCGTACTCCGCAACCGATACGAACCTTCCAACAACACTGGCATTCCTGCATGAGCTGGGCTACAGTGTCGCGGCTCTCAATCATACAATCGCCGGGAAGCTGCCTACCGACTTGACCAGCCCAATTCCAGATCCTCTTCCATTCAAGAACGTCCCGCCGAAGCTCACCGTGCTGCGCCGCGTTACGCTGGTTCTCACAGAAGCTCACCAAAATGCGCGCCTTGCTGCTCTCGCAAAAGAGTACGACATCCTTGCGGTACGACCAACTGATGAGCGCACGCTCCAGCTAGCATGCGGCTCGATTGATTGCGACATCATATCCCTCGATCTGACACAACGCCTGCCGTTCTTTTTCAAATACAAAACCCTGAGCGAGGCGATCAAGTCTGGGAAGAAGCTGGAGCTCTGCTATTCACAAGGCCTGCTGGGAGATGGGCAGTCTAGGAGGAACTTGATCAGTAATGCGACACAGCTGATTCGCGCGAGCAGAGGCAGAGGACTACTGATATCATCGGAAACCAAGGCCGGTGCTGTGGGTTTGAGAGGACCGTGGGACGCAATCAACCTGGCTGCCGTGTGGGGACTGGGTCAGGAGCGTGGGAACGAGGCCATGAGTAAAGAAGCGAGGAATGTCGTGGTCTCTGCGCAATTGAAGAGGACTAGTTACAAAGGTGTGATCAACGTGGTATATGGCGGCGAGAAGCCCCAGCAAGCGGAGAAAGATGCGAGCCTGCAGAATATCAAGGGCAAGCAAAAGCAGGGACAGAAGAGAAAGGCCGATGCTGTGGAGCACTCCAGCGGCAATGCGAATGCTACTGGCGTCGATCCACCAATCAGTAAGCGTGAGGCTAAGAGGAGAGCACACAAGGCGAGGATGCAAACGGCTACCAGCGGTGATTCCAACATCGGAGATGACACAGCTCAGCACGTACAAGGGGTGACATAGTATCCATCTATGGATGGAACGAACACTGCCTCGCAATACGCCCTCAGAGCGTTAATAATGTCATAGCATGCTTCGGGCTTCATTTCCAGATACCAGACATCCTTCAAATTGATTTCTTACAATTATTACGCAATGGGAAACGACTACAAATAGACGCAATCAGATGCATACTATCACGTCCTTGGGCAATTCAATTCAGCTCGTATAGCTCGTACTGCTAAGAATTTCCACGCCTCTTCAATGAATGTAAGAACCTGGTGTTACGCGGGATATGAAGTTTAGTGTGCACATGCGTCGACGCCGCTTAGTCACTAGCGCGTAGACCACCTCACGCGTTGGCGACTTCTTGTTCGTATCTTTCAACAACCCAATTCTCCCCATGTCACGTCATCCACTATGTCTTGCTTGCTGCTAAGCAAATTACACGGTACCCTTCCATTTCGCCCTATGTGGATCGCATTACAGCTCAGTTTTTGCTCTTTCATCAGTATGTCGTCTGTCATCAAAGCCAATCATCTCCAAGAGAATATCAATTTCGAGGAAGCATTCCATTATTCTTCAGGAAGATGACTGTAAGCTATTTTTCATGGTCCTGGAATGCACCTTGGCTCACGGCTTGATCAGATACAACGAAGCCAAACGGCTCCAGGAGAGGCACTTGCGTTTCAATATTGCAGCACTCTTCAAAGCGGCGACCGACTCTATTGGACGGAACGTGACAGAAATCGATACGTTACAGAAACTCGCGGAAGGTGGGTTCAACCGCACATTTAGGATAACCATGAAAGATGGCTTTCAAATGATAGCTCGGCTACCTTACCCAATGACTCAACCGAAACATCTTGCCGTGGCCAGCGAAGTTGCTACATTGGACGTCGCCCGCGCGAGTGGAGTTCCGACACCAACAGTCTATGGCTATTCATGTGACGCTAAGAATGCGGTTGGCGCGGAGTACATTCTCATGGAGCATGCTCGTGGGCGGCTTCTGGGTGATACCTGGTTCGAACTTTCGGACAAGCAACGCATTGCGCTTCTTTCACAGCTTGTGGAGAACGAGACGAGGCTGTTTTCAGCGGTACTGCCAGCTCATGGCAGTATATTCTACGAGAAGGACCTCCCTGAGACCTTTAGAAGGCATGCCTTTTCGGTTGATGGCATCTCGGAGAAGCTTTGCGTGGGTCCAGACGTCTCCATACGCGATTGGTTCGAAGATCGAAGCCATATAGATATCAGAAGAGGCTCATGTACGTTTTGAGACGTCCCTATGGTTTACATTCACTGACAGCTTACAGCTAAGACAGCGCAAGAAGTTTTGGAAATGGCTGCTCTCAAAGAAATAGCCTTTCTCCAGCAGTATGGCAAGCCTCGCCTGCCTTTTGAACGGGTTTATCGCGACATCACAAATTTCGAGAAGTCCGATCCGCAGGAGCACATCACGAGTCTCGAGAACTACCTTGAAATCACTGCTCAACTTGTGCCGAAAGACGAATGGCTCCATAAGCCGACGCTTCGTCATCCGGATCTGAATCCGAACAATGTTTTTATCTCTGAAAGCCAAGAGATCACAAGCATAATTGATTGGCAACACAGCGCTGCTTTACCATTATTCTTACAGCTTGGCATTCCGTCCTACTTCCAGAATTACGGCGATCCAGATTCGGAGAATCTTGGCAAACCGCACCTTCCGGCTGACCTAGATGAGTGGGATGAATCTGATCGCGCAAAAGAGCTTGAGCTCTATCGACGACGTCACTTACACTTCTACTACGTGGCAGCAACTGCAAAGAAAAACAAACCTCATTTCAATGCTCTTATGTATCCAGGAGGCCTCTTCCGCCGGAAGATCTTCCAGCACGCGGGCGAACCGTGGGAAGGCAACAGCATAACATTGAAGGCTGAATTGATCAAATTGACGCAGTCTTGGCGAGACATTGCTGATCACGCATATGGATCTGATGGCCCAGTGCCTCCATGCCCATTGTCTTTTGACGAACATGAGGTGGAGAAGACTGTTGAAGCTCTTGTACGACAGGAAGAAGCGGATCAGGGCCTGGAATTCATGCGAAATTTCGTCGGTATGAGTACTGATGGGTGGGTGCCGAACGAAGAGTATGAAGAGGCTGTAGCCAAGGAAGCCGAGATCAAGAAGGAAGCCTTGGCTTGCTACGAAGACGACGATCCTGAGCGAGAGATGGCTATCGAGCACTGGCCATTCGACGACCATGACGAAAACGAGTGAGCTAAGAGCACTCCTACTTCCTCAAATAGCCTAGTCGGCAACTTGATGAAGGCGCGAGCTACTAGTAGATCGCAAAATCATCTCTGCGATTTCTACATGTCCTTTTGCAATTGCAAGGGACACACATTGCTGGCCCTTGTTGCCAGAAGGCATAGAAGGATTGGCTCCCGCATTCAGAAGCAATCCGACCACTTCAGAGTGGCCATTCTCAGCTGCGGCGGCCAAAGCCGTGTTGCTTTTGAAATAGCCGCTCGGGGCGTTCACATTTGCGCCTGCGTCCAGCAGCTGTCCGATTATCGCCACATTTCCAACAGAGGCTGCTGCTTGCAATGCTGTAAAGCCTCGATATTTCGACGCGGGAGTGTTGATCTCCGCTCCAGCATGAATGAGGTACTCTACAACTTTCTCATGGCCGGCTTCTGCAGCACCTTGTAATGACGTTCTTCCGTAGGAATGCGCGATCCGCCCATTTATCACCGCCCCTCGCTGGATCAGCTTTTCGACGAGCTGCAAGTTACCGCCCTCACACGCGGACTGTAAGGGAGTTCGGCCCATGTATCGATGTGGCGGAGTGTTGATATCAGCACCTGCGCTGAGAAGACAGTCCACGACCTCATCATGTCCGGCCATAGCAGCGACGCAGAGTGCCGTGCGGCCTCCATTGTTCCCGCCAGCGGCATCTACCTCCGAGCCTGCAGTAAGCAGAGCTTTTACAACTTCCAAGTTGCCTGCTACAGAGGCCGCTTGTAGGGCCGTCTTGCCGTAAAACCCCCGCGGAAGCTCGTTTGGAGAAGCACCCTGCTTCAACAGCAACAAGACTCTAGAGAGATCTCCTGCCGATGCTGCTAGTTGGAGAGGAGTCCACGCTTCAGATTCGTCGTCTTCTTCTGAGATTTCTGTGACGGTCTGGTCGAATAAGGCAGGCCTCATGACTGGATTGTGGTGAATATTCTGCCTTTCTGGGGCCAAGCTGCTCCGTCCTGGCATTTGTGAAGCCATGCCCCTATATCGAGTTCACCACTGAGCCTCAACGAAGAGCATCGCCAATCCTGCGGACCGTATTACTGCCGTTCGCGAATGAATAGCAAGAGGTTTTTTGTCTGTTCAATCGTCCACCTGTTCATGACAACTTGAATTCCTGGTCTTTGCTCGCGATGACCCTTGTTCGCTGTATTCTGGCCAGTGTATCGAACTTCGCTTTGCACATAATTCTTCCGGAGCTGCTGAGCGCTGATTGATAAAGGTGGCACGGATTAGAAGGATTCGTTTGCCTGCTAGCTTCATGCACGCGAGGTCATCTGCATCCTCCGGAGCTTTCTGCGCCGCTGGGAGGCATCTCGTCTGCCAAGAAGTATCATTTCGAGAACCACCTACACATATTCGCTTGACTTTCAGACTGAAAGTCGCATGACGAGAACGCTCGGTACATTCCTTGTCTACCCAAGGCAGATGCTACAAAACCGGCCCATCGACCACTTCCCAGAACCTGCCCCGAAGCAACACAGATCCTATTAAATCGGCTTCTATCGAACCCTCATTCTCCAAACACAAGAGCAGGAAATGCTCTACGCATTCTGGCCCAACCCTCTCCTATCCACGACGACGCTCTTGCACCCGCCGCTCAGCCATTTCAATCAGAGCACGATCCTCCGTCAAAAGCGCCACCATCTGCATTGAATCCTGTACATCGTTTTCGGATTTCCTCGAATTCCCTTTGCATTCGCGCAAGTTGATCTTGCATACTTTGCAGTACGGAAGGCAACCTTTCTGGACAGTACATCGGATCTAGGTCAGCTGGGGAGGGTCTTTGGATTCCGCTTTGGTTGGCGTATATTCCGGTGGGAGACGTGAGCTCTTGGCTGTTGTTGTTGGGAAGCATTGTTTGCTGAGGTGAGAAGGTTTGTCTCGGTTTGCAGGGTGTGATTTCAGGGGTTTCTTCGTCTGAGGAAGAGGAGGAGGCTGAGGCGTCTGCGGACTATTCCCATCTCTTGCGCCGTTCCTTCGGGTCACGACGGGGACTTCTCTTGGATGCTACCGTGGCCGTGGTAGTGACAGACATCACGGTCTTGCCGTTGCGTTTCTCCACTCGGGCTTTTGTTGTACATCTGGCTTCCGCTCTACGTCTGGCTTCCGCTGTACATCTGACCTCTGCTGTACATCTGGCTTCCTGCCGAGTCTGTTGAGCTCGGCGTCCCCGGACACCTGGGTGGTTTTTGTGATGATGTGCTCTATTGTTCTTGGCCATTATGATGAACAGGAGCAACCGGCTAGTGACTGGGTAGTGAAAGACGTGAAGGAAGGAAGCAACAGGGGCAAAGACCGATGGGTTGTCTTTCCCCTCTCGTAATTCATCCAATCGATCTACCAGGGAACTGAATGAGAGAGCTGCTCCATTGAGCAAGAATGTTCCAGGATGATCCTAGGAGTATCTCGACCTCATTTACCTCCTGGACCTCACTCCATCTATCCCAACCCCCGTGGTCTCTCCCCACAGAACTCATCACAACCTCGATCATCCCATTCCGCTTGGAAGAATGCTATACATCACGAGTTTCGATCGAATCTTTCCACAAAAAATGTGACGACCCCGCGACGAAGCGGCCAAACAGTACACTCAAGGGCCAGGACGGTGGAAGGATACTTTGAATCCAAGAAGCGTCTTCTTCGATCATCGATCTTGCTATTCCGTGAGCAAAATGAGCTTGATTCTCCAAGTATTAGGCGAAATAACGCTTGGGCGGAGGATTTCCCGTTGGCAAATCGAAGAGTACGAGGTTTTGAGACATTTTGTTCTTTCGCATTGAATGCCTCAGAACTGCTTGTGGGTTTGAGAGGTCTAAGCGGAGGCGACACTCATAGTGTTCATGTACGAGCGGCCGAGGATCGTCGGCTCATCAGCCCCGGCCGAGCTGTGGAGGTACATGAGTTGCGGCTCTTGCGGCATTCTGAGTTTGAATCCTGTAGGACGCCTGTCAGCTCGTTTACCCCGTTCATTCACGTATTGAGTCTCTTCAAAACCGTTCAAGTAGTCTCTGTGCATTTTTGATTAGCCTATGGCGCTACCGTACATCCTCCCGACGATGGACGCTAGGTGGCCAACCTTATAGGGCCTGAAAGGTCCAGCCCCGACCATCCTTGTACTGAGGTACACCGTCCGTGATGTAGAGCATGCTGTAGCACTGCGCCCAAACTCCTGTTCTGTCCGTAACGCTTCATATCACAACCATAAGCTCCGGCCTCTTCATCTTATCGTCCTCGACGGCAGGGTAGTACGGGACCATCGCATCTGCACTCTGCACATACGCATCGTTGTACAACCGCCAGTAGGGTGTGCGGACTCTTCTAGCAGGGTGAAACAATCCTGCCCAGACATAGTTCATGACAGCTCCAGTGCCAACCGCAAGTCTGATCGCGTCGACTGCTTCGATCACCCGGTCGATGACGTGCGGACTGGTCTCGAACAGGTTTGGGTGGAGCAGGTTGAGAAGGTGCAACATTGCGTCTTCACATCCGAGGCCAACCACACCCAGAGCCAAGTGCTTGACGACGCTGGCTGCGGTCTGGCGATGGACTTGATCGCGGTCGATCAGCGCATCCTCGAGTATCGGAGTGACAGCGTAGACATAGTCCTTCGCCATCTCACCAATGTATTCGAAGAGGAAAGACAGAGCTTTTAGTACACCGTTTTGAACGTTCAGCTCTGGAACGCGATATTCGTTCATCAAAGCAGGTAGGACTGTGAAAGGAGCACACGTCTCAGCCACGATACCGATGGCGACAGCGGTGCACACTCTGGACTGACGCTCCTGCACTCTCAGGTTGTTAAGCAGAGTAGCGAGGACATCCTGAGGTCCAATAGCCTTGGCAATGAAGCCGAACGTGTTGTTGGCGGCACGACGAATGCCCTTCTTGTGCGCCTTCAGCATATCCAGAAGTTCGAAACAGATGCGCATCCACTCGCGGGCGTTGACGGATTCTGGTCCACGATCGGCAATACGGCCCACGAGATCAATAGTGTTCTCTTGCACCTTCTCATGTCTGTTTCTCAGAACAGGCGTCAGGCGGGGGAGAAGATCCTTGATGGGCGGCTGCATGCTTGCAATGCCCACGACGGTGACAATGCTCCTCATAGCTCCCAGAATACTACCCAAAACCTCGGGATACTCTTCACCCAGGTACTCATAGAGTACAGAACCAAGCTTGCCAAGAAGTGCGTCTTCGTCGCATTGCTTCATCACAATTGCGATTCTAGTGATGAGATCGGCTGCCTGCTGTCGTACAGTAGCTGACTTGTTGTTGAGACGCCACAGAATAGTGCTGACAATCTGTGGAAGGTACGGTTTGCATCGCGTGCCGAGCGCATTGACGACGGTGCCGAATCCATTGAGTAGAACAACATCCTCCACGCTCTGTTCTTGGAAGGAGTGGAGAATACCATCAACTAAGCGCTCTTCAAGTCGCTCGTTGATGTCGGCTGCGCCCATCGCTGATATGACCTTCTCAATCGTCTCGACAGTCATCTTGCGATATGCCTCACTCTCGTCCTTGAGATTGTTGACGATCCGCTCAACAATCTCGCCGACACCGACTTTTTGACCGAGGTCGACGGTCGTCTCGACTACCTGCTTGTAGTTCCTCTTGTCCAAAGCCATGCGTCGAACCCAGAAGCTCTTGAAGAAATCGTTGAGCACGGTGTCTTTGAGGTACTGAGCAGTCACACCGTTACCGCCTGCACATTGGCTGATGACCTTCAACACGACCTTCTTCATTTCCTCGTCGGGACTCTGGAATTCGCGAAGCAGGATCTCCATGATCTGCCCAGTGTAGTAGTTGCCATATTCCTCGTCCATGAGCGGGATGATGTAGCCGACTGCTTTCAAGAAACCTGCCAGTCCCTTGCCACGCTGCTTTCTCGCACCAGTCCATAGCGGGTTCAGAATGTCATCAAAGCTCTCGATACCAAACGGGTTGGAGGCTTCAGCAAGCGCGGCAAGAGCAAGAGCAGTGACGGTCCTCACTTTAGCCTGCTCATCGTTCAGATTCTCGCCAATGCAGTCTACAAGACCTTTGAGATGCGGGAGGACTGCACAACCCATGAGGATTGGAATCTGCTGCACAATCTTGACACCAGTGTGTCGCGCTTGCCAGGACTTCTTGCTCTTGCAGACCGCTTTCAAGAATGGAAGTAGAGTAGGGATGCCAAGCGCCTGAGCAACGACCGCAAAGGCACGAGCGGTCGTGTTCCGCACGTATTCATCTACGTGATCGATATCGGGCCGCATTGTACTGATCATGTGCGCAAGACCGGCAGCCTTGGCGAGGTTGGAGATGATTTCGCGTCCCTCAACGCGAGCGTAGTAGTCTTGATCAATGAGCAGTGGCTCGATGACGACAAGAATCTTGTGGACGTAAGGACGAACCAGATCGTCTAGCTTGTAAAGGACACGATCAATGACTTTAACCAAAAGATGTCGCTCTTGATCCTCAAGGCTTTTCTCCATCAGCAAGGGAAGGATCTGGTCGAAGAGCGGACCGGCTCCAAAGATGCGTGCGTTGTCTGTGAGTTGGCGGAGCGCCGTCTTTCTCATCGGTGGAGTGCCGTTCTTGACTTTGAGCAGCAACCGCATGATCTTGCGTTGCTTTAACTCCTCGTTGCTCAAATCATTTTCGTCGGCACCGTCTACCAGCCTGCCAAAGTATGCCATGTCTTCGGCTTTGAAGAACTGGAGGTCTCCAACACCGGGAATGTCGGACGGAAGCTGCTTGCCCATCGATCGAGGATTGACAGGCTCCTGCATCATGAAGCCTCCGGTATGAGCGGGAGTTGCAGCTGGGGTGATTCGTCTTGAGGGAGCTCGCAGAGGCTCATATCCCGGAGGAGGCTCGAGGATCTTGTAGCCTTCGCTTGGGAGCATCTCATCCAGCTCCTCGTCAGAAAGCGGTGCATTACGTCCTGAAACATCGGTCCCAAAGCCAACACCCGCTACAGGCTTCGCTGGAGTGGCGTCCACGGCTGTTGAGGTGGATGTGCCGGGCGGAGCGCCGGTTGTGACTTGATCCCACTTCTTCTTCCTCTTCGCAGATGCTGCTTCGCCCTCCGGCGCAGGAGTCGAGTCCCATCGCGACGACTTCTTGGCTGCTGCTGCTGCTTCGTTCGAAGCATGTCCATTCGCACCATTCGTCTCGGCACCATCTGTATCCTCGGTACCACTATCCCATCTCCGCTTCCTCGTGCGAGATTTGCGTGCCTGCGTCTGCTCTTCCGTCTCGGGCGAATCCTCTCGATCCCCGAGCGCTAGAGGTTGGTCCCGATCATCCATATCATCGTCCTCGCCATTGGCAATCTTCTCCTTCTGCTGCTCGACAATGAGCTTCTGCACCCGCTCCTCCTCCCGCTCTAGCTCCCGCTGCTGCATGACCTCGCGATAACTCTTCTCATCACCATTGACTCCCCGCTTGAACCGCTGCTTCTGGTAGTCTGTCTCCCTGCTCGCAATCTGCGCCTGCTTCTCCCTGCTCTGCAGAATATCCTCCTCGGCTGTCTCGCCATGTGCCCACTCACCAATCTGTGCTGCTGTAGCGGTATACTGACCGACCAACCTTCCTGCATTCTCATCCTCCCCATCCATGTCCACGTCGTCGTCGGCCGCGATGGAGGTGTTGTAGCCGGCGAACTTGTTGGTCGCGTCGTCGCCATACAGGTCCTTGTCGAAGTTTGCGGCGAGGGAGTGGCCCCTGGTGGTGTTAGTGCGCTGGCTGGAGTCGGAGAGGCCTTTCTTTCCTGACGCTGCATTGCGCTCGGCCTGCGCTGCCCGCACTCGCTCGAAGTCGGCGTCAGACATGGTGGATGCAGCGGCGGCGGCCGCGAACTGCGCGCGCCAACGTGCTGACGGTGTGTGGTCAGAAGACGAGCTCCAGGCGGTGGCGGTATCAGGTTTGAGTACCTTGAAAACGGTTACGGTGCGCGTGGAGGCGGACGTTGGCGGTGATGATGGAAAACTTGGAAAGCTCGAGGTGACTTGATGATGGAGAAGTTCTAGATCTCGGCTGCATCACAGCTCGAGCTCACTAGGTCACGTGATTTGACATGAGTATTTGATGGCTATCAATCAAACATTAATGGATGCCGAAACTTCCACACTCCCTACTCCTACTGAGGCCACGGAGAGACATATTCTGCTCCTTGACCATCATCGAAACCAATGACAACGACCTCAACTGCCCCGATAAGCGTCGACACATACACATTTCCGCCAGTATGTGCACTCGGTCTCTTCTCATACCCCGTCATCTCTCCTTCTGATCCATAGTACGCGCCCTTTTCGAGCCTGGATGACCTCCAGTCCTTCTGCAAACCTCTGCCTGAGTTGTACGTGCCTCCACCATCTTCATCAGCAACGCAAGCGCCGAGCCGGCTACCTATTATTGGATATACAGCAGAGTTTTCGCCTCAACTGCAACTCCAGCGGCTGCTGCAACACCAACGACATGTCCGATTATTTTATTACAGCCAGATAAGCTTTCTGCGCGACTGCGGCGTTCATTGGGATCACGCGTATACCGACTCGGTCTTGCTCGGGACGCTCCGCCTTCAGTCAAGCCAGCCGAGATCGATCTCCCTCCCTCACTCTTCATGCGTCTTTCTCTGTCGCTCACAACAAGCGTCAACTGCCAACAGCATCAACGCCGACCCACCAACCCTCACCTCCCACAACAAGTGTCAACAACATCGACTCCATCCCTGGGCGCCGCATATGCGCGAGCGACTCGTCTCTCGAAGAACAGAGTCGAATTGTCGTCGACCTTATTCATCTCGCATCTCTTGCAACTCAATCCTATTCTTCCCGAGACGCACCCAACGCCACTGTCTCAACCGTCGCGGAAGAGAACCCTTACGAGCGTTCCCCTCTCACCATGCCTTACTTTCGCGATCAAGTCGTAAGGGAGCTTACCTCTCTGTACGAGCTGCTTGTCAGAATGTATCTTCCGGACGACGCAATAAGATATCCGCCCCCTGGAGGCTGGCCTCATATCGATGGCAAACGCTTCGCCTTCATGGAGAAAGCGGAAACCGTGATCGATCTCATGCGGCATATTCCCTACATTCGCCAAGAGCGACACCTCGATGCTTTCCTGGTATACCCAGGGGTCATTTGCAACGACTATTCTGGAAATCACTTTGAACAGTCGGCAACCAAGCACAAAGATCCCGGTCTATTTGAACCAATGGAAGACCATAAGCTGTCGCCATCTCACATAGCTATTGGTCGCCCAAGCGTATCAGATGACGGCTACTTCATCTTTATCAACACCAAAGACGGGTCAGTGAGGAGAGATGATTTCGTCGTCGGCATTCATGAGACTTTTGCAGATGTTACCGAGCTCTGCAAGTCTATGAAAGAAGAGTTCCTCGCATTGAGATGTATCCCAATGGATACAGAAACAATTGATGGAGACTCAGGACGATTTCCGCTGCATGAGAGCACTGCCGAGGTAAAGGATGCTTATCAGAGACATGGATGGCCCTCGGCCACCTTTCAGAAGGCGCAGTGTGCGGTTGAGGTCGCCGAAACCATGTATAATTACCGCGGTTCGTACTAGGTAGCTATCACATTCATCTTCCGTTGAATTTATTCAGCCTTATGCCGGAATCTGGAGCTCCGAATAGATACATCAGCTCGACGGCTTGCTGGATTGAACATTGACGTCCTCCATCTCAGCTGCGCAGCGGGTACATGGAGTTTCCACCGCACGGACTAGCAAGGTCGTGTGCGTGATGAGAGTCGCGCCTGCAATTCGGAATCGCAATCGCGACGATGGGACGGGACGGGATGGGACATGCCGAGCCTCATATCCACTTCACTCCTCTTCAGCCGTTCCCGGCCTGAATCAGAACTCGAAGCTCCTCTTCCTGCTTGCAGTCGATCGACACCAATGATAGCGAGACTCCTTCGCACCATCAAATCTCTCCGAAGCCGCCACATACCTGTTTCACGAAGCGCCAGGCATCTGCGCTACCAACATGCCTCTCCTCGTCTCCTCTTCCCGCTCTGCGCTCTGCGCTCCAGACACTATCCTCAGACCGACCACATCAATCATAGACTTGATGCGATATTCGCGGAGACGAAGATTTCGAACGTTATGAGATCCGGCCAGGCCTTAGCTGCAACTATTATCCGGGAAACACTTTGAAGAATCAGCAAGCTGCTTTGGGGATACAGATTGCCGAGCGCAGGCGCCGCCTTACTGCTGGAGAGTTTTCTTGCTTCGTTGGCAATCTCGCTTGGCCCTTCGGTGCATACTGGCAGACTGTGCCGCATCGAACTTGTTCTTGTTCGGCATGTTGTCCATGGCGGTAAGACATGGCACGTGAGTCGCTATATACTCGCGAACGATGTCGTCTCAACCTAAGATCCCCAGGGGATCGATATTGGCGTTAAGCTATGGCATATGAGTTGCGAGTACGACCGACAAAGCTCTAGACTACTCGATGCCCCTACGCAGTTACGCACCTTGCTGGACGGCAGTCCGTGCCGCTTGCAATGTCAAAAGGACACCTTTGCTGCGTCTCTAGACTTCTGTTGGCAGCGTCAAGTCAGGCGTCCTTACCCAAAGAAGCGCCGATACTGCAGACAAGGGGCGCGGTCTATCTCGAGGGGATGAATAGTTTACCTCATTGCTCAAACGGACAGATTCACTGCGGCACACCATGTTTTGACATACGTTTGAAGCGTCAATCGAAACGTCTAAACCACAGTTGATGCTTTGCCCCAACTGCTTCGCCGCAAGACTAGAGATACTAATAACCCGGTGAGGCCGTTGCGTTCCATGAAGTTCCGGTACACACATATCTCGACCTTCGCCATAGGTTTGTTTCTCCAAATCCATTCCTGAGCAGGTACTCGTCTTGGAAGCCCTTTATTCCTGCTATTTGAGCCACATACTCAGCAGAAAATGACCCCTCGACATTCGATCTTCCTCGCCAGTCTCTGCCTCCTACGCTTTTATGTGTCAGCATCAACCACGCACAAGATTGTCCTCCCCCTTGAGAAGCGCTTGGATACCGTCGAATCCGAAAGCGAAACGGAAAACGAGGCACCCAACAGGAAATTTTGTACAATCTACCAGAAGGCCATAAGCTACACTTACGAGGGCAAGACTACCACTACCTGGGCCCCCTTGGACAGTGACAAGTCCATGGACCAGTGCAAAGATGCTTGTCCCGTGCAAGATCACAATAGCGTTCACAGCTATACTTGTGGCTGGACGGGTGGTGCCAATTATGTGTGGGAGAGCATGACACGTCAGTGTCCACAGCGCCAATCGATCTTGTCCTTGATACAGTATCCGCTAATCTCAGCACAGTTCCCGACGTCAACCCTCAATTGCGCAATGCGACTGCCCCCTGTGTCTGCGATGATGCCCTGATTGACGAACTCGTAGGTGATTTCGTCAAATCGTTACCGGCTGTTGCTGAAGTACGTATTTGCTTCCCGATCATGGATGACCATTCAAGTCTGTTCGTAATCAGACATTTCCACTGTGATGGCCTTTTGTTAAACAGGAAGCACTAACCGATGAGCCCCTAGGTAATCTGTGATGTCTGGGTCGCAGCTCTGGTAGGATTTGTTGACTTCCTAATAGACTCTGTCATCGATACCGTTGAGGATGCCATGCATATGGTTGAAAGTCTTGGAACTATCACCGCTCCAGACGGTCAAAAGTTCTTTGCTCTCAACGCAGGACACCTCGACGTCATCCAAGGAGCACTCCTGATGAATCGAACCTATTCAACTCTGGAGAAAGGTAGAAACGCTTTTGGAAAATTCATTGCAAGCAAAGTTTGTTCGCGGGGAGCGCTCTCAATCGACCAGATCAATCAAATTTTCGATGCTGTCAACACCGCCAGTAACTTGATAGTCACAGCCGCTACCCTTCCGACAGGCGCGGGTGCTGCTGCTGATGCGTTTAGACTTACTCAGATTCCGAAGTGGGCGAAGGGTCTCGATCCTCCGGACAGTGTACTCCCCAAAGGACCTGCCCCAGAAGCACATCCTAGGAACCCAATCAAGCCCTCTCCACATTCCCAGGACAAGCCGGCTCCTAAGTCGGAAGCGAAGCCGACTGAAAAGCCGAAGACCACGGACAATGCTCCACCCACGACATCTGAGCATAAGCCCAGCAGTACTGCACCGCAGTGTCAAAGGAAGAACGCCAAGAGGGGTAAGGGAGGCGGTAAAGCTGGTGAGTCAAGCATCAAATCCCGGGATGTTGAACGTGTTCAAGAAAGCGACGAAGAACACTAATCCTGAAACAGCCAAAGAAGGCGACGAATGCAACCCGATAACAGTCTACTACATCGAAAATTCGAAAGCAGTCGAGACAGAGCACAAGACCAAATGCAACGGGCAGCGGTGGCCACAGGCGTGCGCGCACTACTCCTCCGCTATCCATGTAGCAGGCCGCAAAGGCAAATTCACCTGCAGTGACAACTACAATGTTGGAAGGGGCAATCAAGATAAAAATCGTGGTGTCAATGCGCCCTGGACGAACATTTGGTCCGCTCAACATAAGAACGCCGACTGGAAAATTTATACTCGAGACGACTATATATTCCCTGGTGCATCAGCAAGCAAGGGAGAGGCACCGCAGCCGAACGATCCAGGTTGCGACAGAGACGAGTGGCCACCTGCTTACTGGATTCCATTAGGTAAAGGTGGAGCGGCAGAATGGGGCCAGCAGGTCAGATTTCTTCCCGGATCAGAAAACAGAGGAGCGGCCAGTCTTTGGACGAATTTCTGTACTTCAAACGATGGGGGCAAGGGCAATGCGCAGAGGCTCGTCAAAGATGCAGATGGCAATCAACTCAACGGCGACGACAAGAAGCTGCTTCCAGAGGAAAGGCGTCCTCCAAACAAAGATTTTGTGTCCTGGGACCTTGCCGATGTCGTAGAGAAAGACAAAAAGAAAGGCGGTGATGGCAAGTGGACGTCCACTATCTGGTACAAAACTGTAACGTATTCGCGCCCCGTCTGGGAGATAACCTTCGACTCCTCAGGCGTTAAATCTCCCACGAAACAGAACGACTACCTGCTGCGCGAGAATGCATGCTGGCCAAAGGACCTTGTTCCAGAAGATCCTGGCTATGTCCTCCTGGCAGAGGATCCGTGGTACAAAGATGCCGTGCTCGATAAGGATCCTTAGAAGAATGCGGAATTAAAAGCTCAAATACAATTGCAAAAGAGAAACAACAAAGGGGAAATGGTTCCTTCAGATGAAGCCAGGTACAACAAACCCCCAAGCCCAGCTGAAGTACAAGCGGCGGAGCAGATACGGAAGCACGCGGGTCTAAAACCGATGAACCCACAGCCCGGCGACAAGCGGCCAAAGCCGGCCAGCAATCCATCGAACAGCAATCAGCCTTCAGCAAAGGACCCAAAATCCGGGAGTTCCAAAAACTCAAAGAAGCTCGTCTTGAACGTACGTGGTGAGCTCTTTGTCCGGGACGATGCGTTGAACGTCATCCGACCTCTAACGGATGAAGAGAGAAGATACGATCTCCAGATCTTCCCGTGCCGCGATCGAAAATGCACCGAAGAGGCTCGCGAAATCGAAAACAATGACGAGGGCGGTGTTGTCATTCCTGGAGTTGGTCCACCTTCCCTTCCTTCTGTCAATGCGGCCGTTCCAACGCTTGTGACCCGCATCAAGGCCGAGGAGCCGGATCTCAAGAGACGTTTCCCATCGGATGGTGCTTTACCCGTGGCAACTATTACTCCTGCGTAATTTCTCGGCGCTTGAGACAATGTGATCGCGCTTATGTGTTTGCTGTCAGTATTGCGTCGCTGTCTTCGCAACTCTGCTCTGGACTTTATGCTCGTTGCTCGGGACTGTGTGAATGGCCCTCTCCATGGTATATTACCGGTGCTGCTGCTGCTGCTGCTGCTGAACTATAGCGTTGATTTTTCTGGTCTGGTGACGGATCTACAGCATTTGATATCATTTATTGTTAGCTATCGAGTAAGATTCTGTTTGAGTTGATTCGCAGGGGTCGTGATACATGTGGTACGGATGTGATCTGACGTGTCCGTAACTCGACGTGTCGTGCCGCCGCCGTGGTGTTACTTAGAAATTCCCAGAGGCACTAGCTTTACCCAGGTTCTCGTTTTCCCAAAAGGGTATCATGGGGAAACTCCGCTCGGAGGCCGGCCTGCTAGGGAGTAATGAGCTAATATGACTCTTTAGCGCCAGCCATGCTCCCTTCGCTGGTTCTCAAGTATCTGATTCATGCGGAGTGTTCCATTCCAGCTCAACGTCGTCCGCTATCAGCAAAACGGTCGATGAGATTTCGTTCAGGCCCTATGAGTATCTTCAGCATGGGCTTCACAAGCATGTGATTAGATTTTCTCGCTCGGCGGATGCTTCGGATGGAACCTAGTGAGCAAGATGAGGGAACAGGTGAGGTCGTGAAAGGCTATACCTCGGTACACGGGCCGAACCGTCCCGTCTTTCGATGCCACATCCGGTCGCGCACTGCTTTCTACAATTTGTACAGATCTATCACGTCAAAGCCTGCGAAGCGCGTCGACAAGAAATCATCGGGCAATCGAAGTGTGTCAGCACCATTGTTACAAGGCTCTGTCGATTGAGCTTCAGCAACCGGCAACACAAGGTGCCTTGTTGCTCTCGAATTCACCCGGCACCACCGAGCACAGCATTCTTGGATGGTTGCAGCCCGTATTGCCATGCATTTGTGACTGTTTAATCCCTTGAAGGCTCGCTTCGAACGTCGTGGCTCTTCCGTGTCGATTGAAGCATCACGCACGCTCGTCAGTCCGACCCTCGAGGAGAACGTTCGCACTACCTCAACACTGGGTTGGAGCAAAAAGACTGCGATTACCCTGCTACGCACAAGTCGAAGCAGAAAGGAGAGTGGGCTATCGATTAGTATACGAGGAAAGAGCTGGCGAACCAATTTGCACTCTTCGCGGCTCCGAAATGTTTGTGTGGCCCCTGACAACACAGGCTCGCTGCACACGCCAGTCTAAGATCTTCAAGACCGGAGACTAGCTGCAGAACTCCCAATACCGTTCGTCTCTAGGAAGGCAGCGCGCGCGCTCCTTAGCTGCATAGCACGGCTATAAAATGGAACGGGTTAAACAACAGCCTCCAGCTCCTTCGGTTGACCACTATTCCCAGTCATCAAAACGTCCGCGAGCATTTGCGATGTCTTTGTCCAAAACTCCAGTCTCTGCCTTGGCCTGGTGCTGCTGTTCTTGGCTCAACAGGCTGGTACAAACACCGCTGAGAACCATCTTGCGCTGAGCTACCAGAAGTGCACTTCCACGGGATGCATGACCGCAAACACAGCTGTGGTTTGGAACGTCAATTCGCGCTGGGTTCATGATGTGTAAGTACACTTATAACTACGAATTCAGCTTGTGAGGCATGTCTCCAATGCAGACTCACTCTTGACTACGTTGTACAGCGGCGGCTACACCAACTGCTACACTGGCAATATTTGGAACGCGGCTCTTAGTCCCTACGCAGCTGCTTGTGCCTTCAACTGCGCTTTGGACGGCGCTGATTATGCCGGTACCTCAGGGATTCAGGCGAGCGGGAGTACCCTCAACCTCAAGCTTGTGACGGGTTGTTAAAGTGGTACTCCAACACGACCTGTCCAGTCAGTGACTGATACTAAGCGAATGACTGGATCTCGCGTGTACCTGATGAATGAGAATAATTACGAGATCCTCAAGCTCAATAACATGGAACTCACGTTCGATGTGGATTTGTCCAAATTGCCTTGAGGCTTGAATGAAGTTCTTTACTTTGTCAACACTGACGCCGACGGTGGAGTGGCGAACTGTCCTACCAACGAGGCGGGCGCCAAGGTGCGACACAACGGCATTCGATTCTGTCCAACAAGAGTGCCAACGCTGCGAAGTATGGCACCGGATACTGCGACGCCCAATGTCCACGGGATTTGAAATTCATTGCAGGTAAGGTAGTTCACCTTCAGTCCACACGGGCATTCACAACGTCTGACTTGCGTTACTCCAGGTCGACTCTGCTGGCTGGAGCTGGACACCTTCCACGGTGATCTTAACTCGGGCACTGGCTCCGTCGGATCTTGCTGCAGTGAGATGGACATTTGGGAAGCCGATTCCATCTTCAACGCGGTCGATCCCCGTGTGTGCACCACAAACGGTCCACGTTCGACCAGTGCCATGTGTCGTGTTGGCTTGGAGCGATAGTCCTCATACTGCGACCAGGATGCATGTGACTTCAATCCTTACCGCTGGAACAATCACACCTTCTACATTCCAGGCATGACTATCGACGCCAAGACCAAGATGACTGTAGTCACCCAGTTCATCAATAATGACGGGACTGCTACCGGCACCCTTATTGCCATCCAGCGCATCTACGTGCAGAACGGCAAAGTCAGCCAGCAGTCAAACACCAATGTGGCTGGAATCATAACCACGATCAAATCACGGACACCTTCTGCAATCAGCAAAAGGCTGCTACCGGCGACACGAACAAGTTTGAGAGCTTTTTCTGTTGACGGTCCACTTGCCCTACGGGACGTTCGGTATCGGATTCGGCTCAGTCGTGCATTGCCGCCCAGGTCTCTGTATTCAGCTGTGCCTGTGCCACCAACATCAATATTGCAAGCGCCCAACATACGAATTTATCAGCGCCTGCACTTGACTTCGTGGTACCTCGACAAAGACAATCTCCGTTTCAATTCTTTCACGCTTTCTGCTCATATTGCTGATAGATCAGGATGGGTCTTATGTCCGACGAAGACATCCGAGAAAGCAACAGACGACAGAACGAGGCTTTTGAGCGTGCAGAGCGTACCGCACAGAATCCACGACCTCTCCAGCTTGATCCTGCATCTGCTAAGCAGCGTAATGAGATTGCTGCAGCCCTCCTTTCATACTACAAATTCTTGACTGGCCTTTACATTCCCGAGGAAGCGCTCAGGCGTCCACCAAAAGGAGACCAAGGATGGGACTACATCAATGCCGAGCGATTCGCATTCCTGGGCAAGACCGATGCTGTCATTGACCTATACAAACATATCCCCTACATAGCTCAAGATCGGGCAATCGGCTACCAGATCGATGTCGAGACAATTTGTATCGACTATACCGGCAAAGATTTCCAGCGAGACGCGGTACAGAAGCAGGAAGCAGATTCCGTTACGCCTGGTCAGTTCGATGGGCAGGATGCGCCCATTTGGAATCGGCTCAAAGAGCCACAGCATGTCGCACTCTTGGCCAAGCCTCTCGAGACCCATCGTGGTCTCTGGATTGCGATCGACATCCGAGATGGCAAGGCGGCTCAGCTCATGCCCTTGAACGAAGTGAATGAACAGACCAGTTGGGAGTTCAGCAACATTCAGGATCTCCTCCGGCACCTTAGAGAAGAGTTTATGAAGTTGGCATCTTTACCACTGGCGCCAAACAACGTCGTTTCGGCCGAAGTCAATGGCGAACTGGATCCACAACGCGCACGCGTACAGGAAGTCTACCGCGACTACGGCTGGCCATCTGCTGATTTCGACAAGGAAGCCTGCATGAAGAAAGTCGAACAAGCTGACGAAGCGTAACACGAAAGGAGAATTGATGCCGCGAGACAGGGTTCAGTGGAGAACGGCTCTTTAAAACTCGACCAAATCCCACTAGGCCCAAGGCAGGTCATTGTAGCACAAGCAACTGCTATCCTGACAACGGCGCTCACTGTCAATAAGTTCACCACAAGCTTGGCTGGCCTTCCCTTTCGATGCCGCGAGCGCTTTTGGCAGATGGACTAATAGCCCGGGCAACGCTGTTGTCGGTCCGAGCAAGAAACTCGTAGGTGTTGCAGCCAAAGCCCGACAGAAAATATAAAGACCGCGACGGCACCACGACTCACGAATACAACAAATTCAAGTACACTCGCGCTGTGTGGGAGATTGCGTTTGAGTGCGAGGATCCTCAGATTCAAGACCTCAAGATCGACAAGCCGTCCAAGGAAACCAACTGGCTGCTGGACCAAAATCCCTGTTAGCCACGGTACATTGTTCCAGACGATCTGGGCTTTGTTCTGGCCACCGATGAATACTTGTATAAGCAGAACGTCAAAGCAGTCGCAAAGACCCAAGGCCTGTAATGACGCTCCCTCTCCTGGCAGATTCAGAGATGCCAACGAGAGGCTGAAGGCAGGGAGACCAGCAAAATAGAACCCACTGACGATGCAATGCCCAAGGATTTGGCACAAACAAGGTGACTTCCCGCTCTTCTGCAATCTAGGCAACATGGGGTAACGACAAGGGCATTCCAGAAGATATCTTCCCCGTAAGAGGCCAAAGACCGGCGACGGATCAGGCGGCAAATGAAAGCACTTGGAACTCATCGACGACCGCCTTCATCTCCAGGACGACGACTTCAATGTCACACGACTCTTGACGAACGACGAGATATTGGAACACGTGGAGATTGAAAAATGTGCGGATCGACGTTGTCTCCAGGATGAGGCCGACGATGATGGCGGCGGCGACACCCTGTTTGTACCTGGCGTTCCACCTCCTTCAAGGCCATCCGCGGCCACTGCAATTGCAACCTTGGTGGCGACTACTCTCTTGCGTCCGGAGCATGTCAAGCGCAGTCCACTGGCTGCCGACTTGCCTATAATCACTCCCAACGCGGTCGATGGAAGAGCTTGAAGCGCATGTCACCACAGCATGGGTTTCATTCGAGTCTGCGGAGATTATTGGCGCTTGATTTGTTGGATTTCCGCTGGAGGAGGGTCGATCAACGATGACTCTGATGTGCACAGGGTGAATACCATTTGGGCCGTGCCTGGATTTGGATGTGCGTGGTCTGTCTTTATACAACATCTAGCGTCTTATACTTGCTTGCTTGCTGGCTTGCTTCGAATACACGAACTGGGTACATTTTACCTACAAATTCCCAAACCAAAGCTTTCATTCCCAAGCATCTGCAGTCCGTGGCACTACAGCGATTTCGAAGTCCCTGCTGACTGGCTTGGATCTCTCGCGAAAGGTCTGCTGCTGACGACCAAAGAGTTGCTAGATCCTTCGGCAAAATGAGCGATCATCATCTCGCCATGATCCAGCGTGTAGAAGTTGGTCTGCTCGACATGTCTCCTGGGTAACATCATTGGCTCAAATATGCGTGCTCGCTCGGGAACATCGCCGGCCTGGAGCTCGGATGGAATCCCAAGGGCTCCAGAGGCGTGATGTTTCAGAGCTTGTTGTTCTTCGAGTTGCATTATAGCTTCCAAATACGACGCGAGATATGCACTGTCGAAGAAGCCTTGCAGGTTGATCGACCGGATGACGGCAACGCATCGTCGTCGCACCGCAGAGATTCGGCATTTGATCGCGACGAGCATCATGGTGGTGACAAAGCCCGTGCCGAAGCTGAAGAGCGGAGGCGTGCTGTAGACGGTGGATTCGGATCTTCCACCGTCATCTCTGTTGGCCACATACTGCGTTTGTCCCATGTGAAGGCTGAGATATTCCTCTGCTAGGCGTGTAATGTGAAGGAACTGCTCTTCGAAGCGGTCCGCGAGCTCTTCGGTAGCATCACGCCAGGTCTCAACCCGGTACCAGACGTAGAAGAAGTAGATTTGCGAGAGCAGATGATCCGACCTTTGTCCTGGAGTTGTCGGAACGGAGACAAAGGCAGAAAGCCACGATTTCAGGTCTTGACGAATGCTTTCATATTCAGTCCAGAATGGGTCGTTATCGTGCAGGGGAATCAGCCGTGACACACACCCTATGTGAAACTCTCTTGCATCCTCGTCAATATCGGTGACCATGGTTGGGTTTTGCTCAAGATACTGTTCGCAGCTGGTAAGCAGCATACGATACACCTCATTTGCCCGTTGAGCGAGGTAATCCAGATGTATGTGGGCCTGCTGAAGCGAGTGAAAAGAAGTCGGTAGCTCCTCAAGGCACACTGCACTCAAATACCTGTGAAGCTCCAAATCAGCCTCAATACTTCACAAGTGGTGGTACTGACATACGGCTCCTCTTCATCAACCATATTCAGATCGTTGTCTAAGCACACAAAGGTGTACTTCAACGCATCCAGATAGCTTCGCATGGTTGTCGTCGTGGTAATCACCCGATCGTCCCCTGGCTCTGGAACCGCGTCTGCGCTCCGCGTCTGCTCATAGAGGATTCGGAGGCCTGTACGAAGATGGAGAGAAGCCTTGTCATCGTGTCCGGAGAAGGCTTCGTAGCAGAAGAACAGTATACAAGTCAATAAGACAACAACAAGCTCGCTCTCTTTGAGGATACGCTTCTCCACAGCACACTCTTGGATGTAGTGCCGCAGCCCGGCTATAGCTTGCGTGTATTGCTTGTTGGCAAGGCTACGTTGCTCGCCATGAATTTGCAACGCACCAGCATGGTCTCGGCTGGCCAACGCGCGATGCATTGAGCCCAGAGCCGCTGCTGCATGTGCAATAGTGCTATCATGACGGCTGAGATCCAGAGATATGTGCTCCCACCAAAGCTTCTGCGGCAACAAGGGCACAGTAAAAGTGCTGAAATACTCCAGCGAAAGATTCTCCCCGCTGCTCAGGTCAGTACTCGGCAGCAGGAAGTATCTCCGAACCGCGGGTTCCAGCCTCCTCCGAGTGATGACATCCTGAGCCACTGGGACATTATCGTAGAGACAGGCTCGGTCACCGCGGCGGCAGTTGTCACATGCCGGACGACCCTCGTCACATTTGATACGACGCAAACTGAGTAGAAGTTAGTATTGTTAACGTTTCAAAATTTCATCGGACCGACTGACCGGCAGATTCGGCAACCCGAACGAGTCTTGGAATGCTTAGCACGCTTCCGAACGATGACCTTGGTCATGTTTGAGTCTAGACCATGCTGTTAGGCTGATGTCCACAAAGGCAATCGAGATGGGCCATGAAGATGTGGATGGTGTTGGGCCCCACTCGTAAACGAGCTCCGTAAACGAGGTTCGTGGGCAGCAGTACGCGACAGCAATACGTGTGGTGATGTTGTCGATGGTCATTGAAAGAGAAGTGAGGAGCGTGTCGAGTGGTGAGAGGAGGAAGATGTTTCGGCCGTCTGCGTCTGGGCATAATGGCTGCAGAGCTAATCCGAGGCTGATCCGAGCCGTCGGGGACTTCCAGCCACGCACGTGGGGGCACTCCAGGCGGTGCAGCCAAACGAGATGTCAACTGACGTAATCACAAATATCATAACTCTATGCGCGCCCATCTCAATCACAGACGTACCTAAGACGTGTCAGACAACACCCTCGAAACTTTCCAATGGCTCCCTGTGCCACCCCAACGAGCCAAACGAAGTCAGACGAAACTCGACAACGGCAGAGACTCGTTTGGGCATGACCATCATGTCCGAAGAACCCCGTAAGTCGTCGTCACCTTCAATTTATATCATAGATATGAAGAACTCCCGTGGCGGCGATGGCCATGGGATCGAGTGGTTTCCATATATCGCCTTCGCAATGACCTTCGTCCTGATTCTGGCGCTCGTTTTAGCACTGACGCTACGGCATACCTCCGCAGCAGCAGCAGCCGTTCCTCATCGTCACGACAACAACAAACATGGCCATCTGAAAGCACTGGTATATCGAGGTCCAGCATCGTGTGACGGTTGTCCAGAAGCCGTCGCGAACCTCCTCACTTCCTCGCCGGAAAACATTCGAGTCGCATATGTTGGCCCCAAAGAAAAGACGAAACTGACACGCGATGCTTTGTCCAAAGTCGACATCTACGCACAACCAGGTGGCGGAGGTATCAATATATTCAAACCCCCCTGCCAATCAGATCCGAGTTACTGATTCTATTCCATCAGATCTCGACGAAGCCTGGCCGCACCTGCACTCTTCCAAATCCACAATTCGAAAATTCGTCCAGAACGGCGGAAGATACATCGGCTTCTGTCTCGGGGCCTACCTAGCAGGCCACGGTCCGGGATTTGATCTTCTCCACCCCAAGGACGACACGGATCAAGAAGTCAAACAGCCCGATTCCCAAGTCAAAGACGAAGAAAAAGACACCATAATCCAAGTCGACTGGGACTTCTCGAACGGGACCAAGGCGAAGGGAAGGTGGATGTATTTCCAAGACGGTGCGGTGATTGAGTTGGAGCACGGCTCGAAAGCGAAGGTTCTGGGGCGGTATTCGAGCAATGGGAATCCGGCAGCTACGTTGAATAAGTTTGGGAAAGGGTGGGTCGGCGTGATTGGACCTCATCCTGAGGCGGATCAGAGTTGGTGTAGGTTTGACTGGGAAAGACGAATCGTCAAGTCTGATACTGATGAGATGCCGCAGACGATAGCTATGGTATCAGCAATCCCGATGGTATCCATTTCGACATTGGATACGACTTTCTCGGGACCGTGGTAAACGCTGGGCGCTGAAGACAATCTTCTCAGCCTTTGCACAAGCCAGAAAGCAGTGATACTCTCACAAAGTCTCACTCTCAACTTCCAAGCCTAGTATACTTCGGCGCGCAAGCAGCAGCAGTCGTAGTCGTGGTTTCTCTTCGATTGATCCCGGAAGCAGCGTAGAGAGGAGGCTGATGTTAGTGAGCCACGGCATATTGAGTAACCCACGGCAGGGGCGCGTCAGGCTTTGGTGGCCTGGAATTTCTGTCTTCTGCTTGCAAGTCAGCGAATTGTTCCAAGAGTATTCTTTGATGACCTTGAGTTGGGTGATCGCGATGTGAATATAGTCTGAATGCAAAGTGAGCGTCCAGAAGGACAACAAAGCCGGTTGATTGCAGCACCTGATAGTCTACAAAAATATCAGCCACATCCTTCGCATGTGCACTTCACACGCGTTCGCGTCTCGTCGTTGCATTGTGGACAGCCTCATTCCAGCCCAGTGTACCAAATGTGTCGTTGACCCTGCGTGGACCAAATACGGGTGGCGCAGAGGTGATGATACCTGTACTCATGGGTGTTCCGGTAGTAGTGGCGCTCGTGACGCTCCAGTCCCGAACTGAGGCCACCGGGACTTTCTGGTTTGCGTTGGCAATGTATGATGTGCTAGCCCACTCTGGATCGTGAGCAGGGCCAGGTCCAATCGCACCCCACTTGTTTGGATACAGCTGTTGTACTCGCGCAATGTCTCCCTGGCTGATCACGGTGTTCCGTGAAGTGGTGTTCCGGTTGGCAAAGTGTGTTGGTGGGATGTGTGAGTGTGGGTTGAGAAAGGTAGGAGTGAAAGGTTTGGGAAGAGGGAAAGGAATGAAGCAGACAGAGTAGCGAGTTTTGTTGTGCCCCCCTACAGGTCACGAGGAGGTAGCACACTCATAGCCGGAGGGCAAGTGCGTGGGTATGTGTTTGCTCTCCGAGAGAAGTCTCTCTCCTATGCGCCCACGGAAACGGGAAGTTGCGGGGGAGGTGAAGATAACGTACTTTGGTGAGGGGTGATGTCTCTCAATCAGAAGCGCCGCCGATCTGCTTGCTGTGCATGATTGTGAACACCGCCTTCATCAACTCGTAATCATTCATCCGCTATCTGAACTGGATATCAAGCACATCGGCATGAGCCGACAATTTCATAAAGCAAATCGTACAGCAAGAGACCACGCCGTCAGGAAACAACGCAGCGAGACGCATGCGGCTCGTAATAGCGATAGCGCTCCGCGTCGGCATCGTCCGCATGACGAACACCATAGTCGCCTTGTCGATGCGAGCCACGCCGCTTCAGAGGTCGGACATTCTGATGAGATGTTGGTCTGCCTGGGTTGCGGCGTTTCGATTTGGGAAGCATATGGTCTTCAGCCCGGTTAGGATCATTCAAGAGGAAGCCGACAGCTGGGAAAGTGCTTACTGACAGTGCCATCATCTCCTGAGGAGATCAAGCGCACTTCGGAAGGCTTCAACAACCTTGACGTCTGCAAAACAAGTGTCAGTCGGTGGTTTCCACGCCTTGAACGTCCAGTACCCACAATGCAGTCGCTTCTGCTCGAGCTCATCTTCTTCGTTACGCACATAGACCATCTGGGTTCTCAAGCTGGAGTGTACATCAGTGACAATGCGTGACAAGAAGTTCGAGCGGCGTACCGCTTGAAGCTGCGATTAACCTCCTTTTGCGAGCCTGCAGTTGCCCAGATTCCAAATGACTAAGAATCAGTCAGTGGGAGCGTAGATGATGGAGACGTGGGTTAGCCAGACGTCAAGCAAATCGTTCCACTCTCCAATCAGGGCAGCTTCCTTCTCAGCGAAGAATTGGACTTTGTCATGGTAGCGTGCTTCCAGCTCGCGCCAGTCAAACTCGGCAATCCGCTCGTCAGGCGCATCAGAGTCTGAGCATTCCGACGAGTCATCGCCATCCTCGAAGCACTCTCCCTCCGCTGTCGCTCCCTTGTTTTCGGCTTCGGCGGGCTTGGCCGACTTTTTCGCCTCGGCATCGGATTGCGACTTGGGCGGCTGAGCAGAAGCAGGCGGCTGCTTAGGCTGATTTGCCGTGCTTGACGTGGGAGCTTCTTGGGTTAGGCGTTGCTTCTGCGAGTCTGGGATCACGGTGGCGGAGGAGTCAAAGAAGTCAACGTTAGTCGCGTGATCGTCAGGCTTGTCCGACTTGACAGCGTGAGCATCATTGGTGTTGGTAGCATTTCGCGGTCCGTGAGCGAGCCTCTCATCGGCCTCCATCTCGTCATTGGAACGCTTGCGGGAGCTGTGCCCACTCAGTGGCTTCTTAGAAGGTGGAGGCATTGCCTCGCTCCTGGGGGGTGCCATTGCCTGTGATGGTGGAGAAGCTGGTGCAGGTGGTGGCTCGGGATGATGAGCCGGGACAGAGCCGATGTCTCGGTCGACAATACATTTATCGTCCTCTGGAGGCGCGACTTCCCGCGTCGCTGACTCATTCGACATCATGCCATCTTGCATCTCCGTTGGAAAGTTTGGGAAGGAACGGTGGGGGAAGGGAAGGTGAAGTCGAAGTTGAGTTCCAATTGGGAAGGAAGTCGACGGGAGCGGGAGGACGTGCAGACGGACCTGGGCGGTGGCCTGAGCTTACAAATCCGCAAAATGGTTTTGCCGACTGCCGAAGCGGCACTCGCTATAAGTCGCGACTCACTCTACCACCAT